GTCGACATGCCGGTCATGCTCCTTCAAAACTTGCGGGTCTCTCAAGGTTGGGTAAATGGCACTTTAGCAAAAATTTTAGAAGTCGATGATGAAAATATCTTACTTGTAAAACACAACGCCGACGGCAGCCAACAAACAATTTGGATTCAACGAATTACCAGATCGATTCCAGGCACAAGCTACGTCAGGTCACAATTTCCAATAGTCCCTGCGTTTGCTACTACCATACATAAAGCACAGAGTATCACAATTGATTCTGTTGCGATTCACTTAGATAACATGCCTTCCCACGGTCAAATGTATGTAGCAATGTCCCGAGTAAGAAAAGCTGATGATTTATACTTCTTTGGTGCAGATCTACCTGTCAGAATTAAAAGAAAATTTGGTGTGAACCTTGACGCTGTTGATATGATTGAATACTCTGAGCAAAGGCATCAAACCCCATGAGTCGTACAAATATTATTCTATAAATAACCACATACATAGCACTATAAATATCAACACAAGCAACAATATGACTTTTAAATTATATATATAATAAATATCGACTACCAAGTCATAACGTTTAGTAACAAACAACTCTTAATGATGATCTTAAACCTCGATTAGATCTCAAGAAAAATTACGAAAGAAAAGTCGAAACAAAGTTACATAGTATTGTCTCCATTTCTTTTTTGCAATTCTCATTAAATCACGGTAAATTGATTTAAGTACTTTTTTTTTTTTTTTTTTTTTTTTTTAATATGTGAAAACAATTTTCTGCGTTCAATTTATAAAATTATCCCCTCCCTCCTTCACGGCAACTTATGAAATGTTAGACAGCTGGCGATCCTTCGCCTAATGAATAGTAAATAAAATAGGTTTTAGGAAGGTAGTTATACTATTTGAACTTTTACGTCAAGTTGAGTATAAGGAAAAAGAAATCAATAGTTTTGATTTAGGATGATTGATATATTATGTCTTCAAAAGTAGAAGAATAATGTATAAGAGTTAAGGGATAGTTTACTTAGACTGTTTGAAGTATGTATATTTTTTTTATCAGATGTCTACTATACCAGGTCTAATAATTTATAGAACGTTCACAGTGGCGGACTGGGTGGTAAAAACCCGCAACATGTGGTAAAAACCCGCAACATTTGGTGGTAAAAACGTCCATTTTATACCACCGAATGTTGCGGAATTGTGGTTCGTTTACCACCGGATGTGGTAAAACTCCAAAATTATACCACCTAATGTTGCGGGTTTTTGCTACATGCTGCGTGTTTTTACCACCTAGTGTTGCGGGTTTCTTCCGCATGTTGCGTATTTATACCACTTCTAGTAGCTACTAAATTCCACTTGATGCGTCTTTTTACCATAATAAAGCGTCCTTTCACTCAAAACGTAGTACGTACGTTATCACATCATTTTAACTATATTATTATTGATGCTGATGAACCTTTATACTGTTGTGCTATCAAGAAATACATTATATAATAAAAAGCAGGGTTTAAATGAAAACGTTTTATTTTATTCAATTTTTATTTCGTATTTTACTTTATTTATTATAATTTTTGTACATATCATCTCCAAATTGATAAGGTACACTTACCTCTGTAATACTTCTTGCACTTACCTCCATAATACTTCTTGCACTTACTATTAACGGGCCCAATTAACACCATACTTGCCAAACAGCCGCATAAAGATACAGGTAACATTCGAGAGTCCCGCGAGATGTAGCAGTATATAGACCAAATCATTTTATCAGCCTAAAAACAAATGCAGCCTAAAAGAAAAAATTGCAGCCTAAAAGAAAAATTTACAGCCTAAAGAAAAAAATATAGCCTAATTGAAAATTTTTCACAGCCTAAACCTGCTTTTCAAGTCCAAAGACGGCTCGAAATCTATACAACTCTTTAGAAAAACCGTATTGGAAATTCAAATGATAATTACCTTCAGCATATGACAATGTATACACATAAATTCTTGGTACTTTAAAGTGTAATGACATAATAATAATTTGTATTTCATATGTCATATTTACCTAGTTTGTATAATCTACGGTATCTATTACTTAAATAACAGCACTTACAACACGAAACAGAATTCCGGGCTGCCTTAAAAAAAGTTATAAGAGAAAGGAAAGGGAGAAAACTAAATGAACAAATTTATTAATCTATAGCAAATTATTTAAAGTGCGAATCACGCTAAAACATCTTCTACAGTAGCTGATTGTAACACTTTTTTGTAGAAGCACATCATCCATTTTTCTACGGATTTGCTCCTTATTGGTCAAAGAAGAGTTATATTCTTCTTATAAAGCTTGTTTGCCTTAAATTAACTATACTCATAAGGTTAATCATTATCCTGCTAGTTCTTTAGCTGATTTGTAAGTTGGTCGTATCTTTCTCTGTAATGCGTAGACAAGTTTTATTATAATTAAATTCTTTTCAACAATTGATCTAATGACAGTGCTTGTAAAAGAAAAAAATTTAAAAAGAGGAAAGGAAGGGAAAAATAAAAATAAATATAAATAAAAAATTATATGCCGATGGTTGCGTGTTTTATCCACCATGTTGCGTCTTTCCGCAACATGTCGTGGAATTACGCAACATGTTGCGGGTTTCCGCTACCGAGTCCGCGGCTGTGGTTTCTTTTGACAGAGGTTTTCTTATAAATTAGAATAAACAAAATAGATGGAGGAACTTGATCTCGACTGTTTAAAGTATGTAGGTTTCTTATTACAGAGGTTTACTATACAAGATCGAATATTATACTGAAGGTTTCTTATTACAGAGATTTTCTAGTATATATGTATTTAAGTTTTTATGAAGTGAAGTTTTTATTACGACTGGTTGAAGTATGTAGGTTTCTTATTACAGAGGTTTGCTATACAAGATCGTGCTATATATCACCGCAAAATTTCTATCGCGGTCAATTTTTGATCAAATAATAACCAGCAAAAATGCGATGAATTTTTGACCGTAATTGCCGCGACGGCGGTCAATTTTTCACCGTGATTGCGGCGATGGCGGTCATTTTTTTCACCGTAATCGCGGCGATGGCGGTCAACTTCTTCACTTTTTGACCGTAATCTTCGCGAATGCGATCAATTTTTTCACTTTTTGACCGTAATCTTCGCGAATGCGATCAATTTCTACACTTTTTGGCCGTATTTATTAAGAATGCGATACTATTATTGGTCGTATTTATCACGAATGCCATCAATTGTTTTACTATTATTGGCCGTATTTCAGCGGTATCCTTAAATTTTCCCTTGCTAATCAGATTTTATACCCTTGTATTAAGAACAGTTATGTGTTTATGTTATAATTATTTTATTTATTTTTTATTAAATGTTTATAAAATAATAACGGCAAAAGGGATTATAAATTATGAGGTAAAATTACAGGTAAAATGGAAGGGTATTATACAAATAGAAAAGCTACATACCTAAAATTAAAAATATTAGTGGGTGGCTTATGTAGATTACAGTGCTATTTTATTTACCTTATCCTATCGCGTGCTTTGTATTGATACGTAAGAGTATTATACGAATAGAAAAGCTACATATCTAGAATTAAAAATATTAGTGGGTGTCTTACACAGGTCACAAATATCACTTATTTATTTACCTTAGCCTCGCCTAGTGAGAGTTTTGTATGCATTAAATCTATAGACTACAGTGTTAAAGTATAATACAATCAAATATAATACTGACTTACATTACAATCGAATGGTTACAATCAAAAAGAGCAGGTTTAGTTAGTTGCACAGAAGAATATAGAACTTACCTTCACGGATGCCAGAAGTCCACTAACTAGTTTACCTTATGGTTAGGGATGGGATGGGGGCTGAACACCTCTATATTTACAAAAAAATAAATTATATTATCATACACATACATCAAAGCTAAATACAAAAAAATATTGTTGGGGAAAGAAAAGAAAAGATACTATGTCTAAGAAAAAATAGAAGGTTTTTTTTATACAAAATAAAAAAAAAATCTGACGTGATACAAAGTCTCAAACCCAATCCATGAACCAAATCATCCGTTTTGTTTCTCTTATAAAATCATCAATAATTATCGTAAAGAACTATTTTTTTCGACAATATTATTCTAATATTTATTTCTAACCTCTAAGGATAGCAAAATCAATATTTGAAGCTATTTGTTTTTTTTTCGGAGTTAAACTTAGGCGATTGCGGTCAATTTTTAATAAATCGTTCCTAACATTTTGCGGTGTATTGATGATTTCTTGTTACAGATGTTTTCTAATATATAAACAAAAGAGAAGAAGAAAAAAAAAGAAAGAAAATAAAATAAAAAATAAAGAGCGATAAACGACTCTGAAAAAAATAGATGTTAAATTGAGATAAGAGAAGTCTGAATTTTATTATTTGAATTTTGGAAGGATATTTATATTTGTTATAAGGGCTTGTGTGACCACATGTTGTTTTTGATAAGGGATTTAAAGGGTGTTACAAAGTCACAGACTGGATCTTTACACTAGCAGTAAAATGTAAAATTAAGGTTTTTGCCTCGAGCAATGTCCTGAATGTTTTGTTTGTCTTACCTTCACGTTTTCCAAAGTGGAAAATTGATGCACCAATGAGCCCCCGCTACCAAGAGATTAGTAATCATGACTCGTTTCCAAGTATCTCCGACGCCAAGCAATTATTAATCATGACTCATGGGTTTCAGCCACGTAAGCTGAAACCAACACTAAGACTAATTAAGTAAGCCAAGACATTCTTAAATGCAAACCCATGTTATCTGAAAAGATATAAATACTCCCCCTTTCCATCGCCTTCCCCGTTCCATGTCGATTATCTTGTATCTCTTGTATCCTTCCCCTTCCCTGTATAATCTCTTTATTATTATTAAAAATTTGTAAACCTCTCTTCCTTTGTCTTTGTATAACTAGTAGGTATCTTCTGATATTATTGCTATTATATATTCCTAGCCACGTTCCTGACAGACACCTTGTCAATTAAGAGTGCATTAAAAATGTCCACGTCATCATTTTTTAAAATAGTGGTCATTGCAGCACTTGGAGGAAAATTCGTTTTAGTCTTGAACGCCTTAAAAATGCGAACATCACTGTTGGCAAATGGTTAATGTTTGGGTTGACTAGTGTTAAGGCTGTTTTAATTAAACGTGGACTGGATTATATCTACTTGGAAGAAAGACACGACTTTCCCAGCTTTGTCATTTGCTGAGCACACTGAACTAGAAAACTGGTTATCCTGTTTATCAGCATTCCGTTCAGCCTTTACAACAACTGGTTCTTTGGATCTCAGGAAAAGTAAAGTGGATAAAGCTTGTATCATGTGGTCGCGAAAGCACAAAATAAATGGGCATGAGGTAAGCTAGCCTATACTTATGTTTATAACATATTAACTAAATACTGCTTTAGTTACTTGATACCGTAGCAATACGCCAGTATTTCTATCTTAAAACGCGCGAACGTCTTTTGGCAACTGAAATGTATTTGAAAGAGGCAGCTAATATTGAATCTATAAATGAAGAGGTTGAACTGATTGAGCCTGGATGTAACATAAATGAAGATATGCTCGATGAAGAAAACACACCCGGCGATAGCGATACGGAAAACATACTCAGCAAGAACAAAGAAGGTCCCAGCACAACTAATGAAGGTCATAAGGCGGAAGACGAAGAAAAAAATGCTGATATAAAAAGCATGTTTACGGGACTGGATGCTCAAATTAAATGGTATCTCTCAACAGGAAAGTGTGTAGATAATGAATTGTATATTTTCGGACTTCAATGCCAAAGCTACCATCCGAGCCGAAATCTTATTCTTGATCCATACGATAAAAATTACATTATGTACAACGTCTTTACCAGAGATGAACTTCAGGAAATTATTGATTACAAGAAGAAGACTACACCTTTACCATCTGATGAGTTAATAACGTTCCTGAATCAATTTAATCTGGATTCAACGGAGAAAATACGAGCTGCACTTGGTAAAAACAATCAGTTTACGCTCGATTTTGACCCCCAAAAGGATGCAGACAAAGATTGGATCATACATACTATACATTCTCTTTTGAGAGAATTTGAATATGGCAATATGGATAGATCCCATAGTGAAGCATGGTATCAGTCACATATTTGGTCCATAATTGAGTCATGTTTTGATAAGCTAAAGGGAGTGGAAGCCGCAATTGGCGAATCAGCTAGTTTCAGTAGCAAACGTAGAATGAACGAAAAACGCCACAAATCTGCCATCACTTCTGCACCTCGTTTAAAATGCGGCTATAAATGCGATCTTGTTTTCCGACAATACGACAATGGGCATAACACGCCGTTGGAATTTGGAGGAAGCGAAGCCAAACCAACCATTGAAGAAGATTTCGGATCTAAGTTCTTGCAAGAAGGATTCTTAAAATTACCATATATATTCAAAGATATGCTAGACGTCCTACTTGAAAAGGTTGGGTATGACAATCGATCTTCACTTCTTCGCACTGTTGGGTTCATTCACTCAGGGCTCTCTTGCACAATGATCGAATTGGACCGATCTACAACTGATATCTCTCGTGTTTCTAGGGGTAGTACAATTGAAATAAGCAATTCAGTTTCAAACTTTGGCTCTACCGTTTTACCTGCTATACTCTGCTCTTGGATATGATGTTAAATTGTCAAGGACGTATTGGACACTGTTTTATCTAATACAAAACAAAATCAGAATGGCACTTCCTGGGTCATCATCTGTTTGAAAAGACCACCGATAGCTATCACACCAACCTCATGATTGTGATCCTCATCACTATCACACTCATTACCCTCATCACCCTCTATTAGTATGAGCTACAAAATACAGAAACATCAATTTTAAGGCACCCCTATGGTGATCTGCTATATTGTTGCTACATTAAATAAATCCATATCTATGACATCAATACATTAAGAATGCTTAAGGAATTAATTACCCAATATCGATAGTTAGTACTATCATATCACAAGGTTACAAGAACACAGCGACTAATGCTTACTAAAGATATGGAAGTACAATGTGTCTAAGATGACAGTAATTCCAAGTGTAACATATTTACAAAATAAGCAGTTAAAGGTAACAGGATACACACTGCGAAAATGATAACAACTTCAAAGATACACTAAAGATAGTGGCACAGCAGATAGTCTTCTTTTATATAAATACTTGTTCATTTTATTTCATAATAAAGAAATCTTATAAACAGTCTCAAATTATTCATAAACGGCCTTATAATTTTTACTTACCTCCAAACACAGCAACCCCTATACCATACAATAAAAGAGAATCTTTTTTCTTCTCCCTATTTTTGCCTGCTTTTACTGTAGATATGTCTAATCTGACGAATCTACACCGATATATATAAAATAAGGACGTTATTCGATCTTTTGTGATCGGTTTGTCTGGTCAAATTACTTTTCCTTCCAGTGACCAAATTAGTTTCATATTTTCTCGGAAATTTAGCTTCTTAAATGTGTGGAGAAGTTTTAAAAAAAGTGTGCATAGTTTTCAAACATTCGTGAAATTGAGAGTGAAAGCACATTATTAGTGTTTCTATAGTGAAAATGTCTATCATAAGAAACTACCTATATTAACCAGTTCCTACAAATACTAAATAATCTTTTTTTAATATTAACAAAAACAGGACGTCCGAACGGAAACATCCCTTTTGTTTCAGTAATCCTATAGCGTAAACATTTGTAGAAGTCTCGGATAACATGAAGTAAATTTAAAACAAAGAGTTAACAGTGCAATTACCAGTAATTTCACTTTTTTTGCGACTTTTAATTATTAAACGGGATACGAAAGAATTTTTTTTTCTTTTGAACAAAACAATAGGGCATTTTGTATATAAATAAAACACCCTAAAAAGCCATCAAAAAGGATAACGATTTACAGGATCATTTACAGGTCTCATTTTAGTAAATACGAGGTTTTTTCAAAGCGCAGCCCGCCTGTGGTGATCCACCTACTGTTGTTACTAATCACGCCATAAAAGAATATTAAAACCAAATCTCATTTCATCACCCCATACATTATTACATCACAACACGAACTAATCTCTTATGCATTATATCATATCGAACTACAAGCACTATTTTAATGCTGTGTAACTTATCCATCAAACTAAATTCATAATCCGATTTCTCTTAAAATATATAAATAGGCAAACTGATAGTTAGAATAGAACCCTCTCAATTAATAAAAACTTATAAGCAGTCTCAAAGTACTTTATTGTTTTTCTCTTTTTTAAACTCTATTCTCAACTATCACACCACCGAACCTTCACTACGGTTCGGTACGCTGCGCTTTGAGAAAGCCTCGTGCCGCCGCAGGCCTGTTTAAAAAAGAAAAAATAATATAAATAGTTACGCACAAAGTCAACGAACAATTATAGCTTAAGCTACATTCTGCATTATCTGCTTGACCCTGGAGAAAATTTCGATGTTTATCTGTACGTGATTTCATATCTTGAAGGAGACCATGTTTTACACCCAGATTAAAACGCTGATCTACCAAAAAGTATTGATTGCTTATATATCTGATGAACTATTCTATGCGCAATGTTTCTGCTTCATAATTAAAGACTTGATAATCCAATATATTAATTTTAAAGAATACACGTTTACACACCTAAAACAAACAATTTTCGGTTCTTCTCTGATTAAAGACATAATGTTTGTAAAAAATGGTTCATTAACTGTTTTTATGAGCTCGATGATATTATGCGTAATGCAACAGTGCGTTATATTGGGCAAAACATCCGGGCACTCGGTTTCTTTGAATTTTATCTCCGTAAAAACATGCTGATGCTATTATTAAAAAGATCATTGCTTAAAAGAGGTATCTTGTTTTCGTGTACCACTCATTAAATGCTACATTAATACGTCTCGTTATGTGGAGAGAGAAAGTATTTGTACCCACGTCCGGTAAAAACATCCCCTATTAATTTTCTTTCAATCCGTTTCTGTACTGTCAACCTATGCATAATAACTTTCTCTTCAATAAAATTGTCTTTTAAAAACAATTTAGAGCTGAAAAACTAATGCTTAATGCTATTTGTTGTTGTACTGAGTGGAAGGGTAACGCTTCCCCCGAAACCCGCGGACCCCCAATAGTAACCTTTTTTTTGCGATCACTTTATACATAAAACGCTGTCAAACTTTCTATCGGTCCAATTTTTGAAAAGATTTTGAAAAAGTTAGACCGACGGTGACGGTCCAAAAATTCGACCGATAATTTAAATAATCAGTCGAAAAATTGGACCGATACTGACGAGTACAAGCTATAGTTTCAGCAGATAGTAACGTAGTAACCTTATTATTTAAAAGAATGGTATTGGCTAAAAAAATACGGCTGGCGTACACATTTCACGGGTTGCTACCCTTGCACATATTGAAATTTAGAATCGTATATATTGAAAAAAAAAAAGACTTTTATTTAAATAAAAACACGAAAAGTAGTTATAGATATTGCAGAAAAAAAAACAGTGTAAACCCCACGCAGATCTTTCCAGACTAACTAACAGAGCAGACTACTATTGTTCAAAACGAAAGGACACGGCCAGAAGTAACTATCATAACACTCATAAAAAATAATAGCATATAAAATATTCGGATTTATACATTTACAACTCAAGGTTACTAGATATTCCAATAGAAGATCCCATTTCGAATAATAGATTGTCTACACTGATTAGGCTCATCAGTCATTAGTAAATACGGCAATAATATCAAGTGAACATAAACTAGTCCATAATTTTACCCACGCTTTAAAAAGCTATAAGTACCCCCCTTTCTTTCAGAGATGGAAGGGGGATTCACTTTCAATAAGAATAAAAAAGCCTACAAGCAATATTAATCTTATTCTTCCTGTTTTTTTATCTTTCATTTTTCCGTGTCAAACAAACCGTTTTTCCACAAGCGCAAAAACCAGGCTTGACCGAAGAGTCTTGCGGTATACCACTCACACACGATCTTCTAAGATGCTCGTGTCTCCTGTGGTGACCTAGCAAGGCTATAGCTATATTAGAGCTAACAAAGGTTTATCCATGCTGACACCATTTGTGATATAAGCTTAACAATAAATGCCATAGTAAGAACTATAAGGATATTACATCACAAGTCTAATTTAGTACGTCTGAGAAATACTTAAAATTTAGTTTAAAGTAAAGAGAGTTAAGAAGACTTAGCATTTATTAGAACAAGACTAAATTAGTGACTATGTAATAATCGTATACATTTTTAGTTGATCAATGATAACTTCAAGATAGCACTAGAGATATGAACACAGCAGACAGTCTTTTATATAAATACTCGTAGTTACATTTCATTTATTAATAAATGACAATCTTATAAACAGTCTCAAACTACTCCTATAGTCTTTTTATAATTTAACCTTACCTTAAAACACAACATCTCCAAAGCAAACCACGTTCTCTAAGTAGAACAAGCATTCCTTTAAATTTCTCACGGCGCTGTAAACAGGATGAAATAAAAATTGATATGAGTTTCTTCTAATTTGATATAACAATTATGTATATTTACTCCGTTCTTATGTTTTTCAACAACCTCCAACGTATCCACCGCCTCTCCTTTTTCTTTGCGCCTCAATATCTCTTTTTTTTTTGCAGCTTGAAAATTAAACGCCTCGTACTTGTACATACTTTGAGCCTGATGATGCCTTTTCTATCTACAAAAGTGATATCCCAAAGCGTATACTTGGTACAAACCGTCACATTGGTGTTCCCGGAATTTATCCTTGAGGCAAGAATAGCATCATACGCAAAGGCCTTATGGTTTGAGCTTTTGTCAAAGACAAAGATACCAACACAGTTAGGATACAATTCATCAAAAAGAGGAATTACATCATTCAACTGGTTTGTTAAATTTTTGTTGGTCCAATAACCATCGCCGCTACTGTTGCCAGGGAAGAAAATGACTCTTGATATCAAATTGACACCATTGACTGTACCTCTTATTGTTCCGTGGCAGGGACACATAAATGAACTGATCATGATAGATCTTCCTGGACCTTTAGGACTGATCATGGATTGGTTCTTCTCGCACTAACGAGTGACTTTACAATCATTTGAATAAAAGATTGATTCGTCGTGAGTAATTAAAGCCATCTTCTTTTCATTGTCCCTCAGGTTAGGTTGAACTGGATCAGCATTTTCATCATCCAATGTATAGGTTTCCATACGCTTGTGCCATTCCATCATCTGACGGGCCCACTTGATTCGATATAGAACAACATCAGGACGCTCATGACCATCAAAGTATGTTTGATCCTTTCTTACACATATACGCCCAAAATTGTAATCAAGCTACTAAAGCATTAGTATATGTGCTAAGTTTTACATATTGTGTTTACCAGTCTTAAAATTAAAACCCCAAGCGTTCAAGTAACTTGACAGAGCATAGTTCGAAAGAGGATGCTCTGGTTGAGCGGAAATCACATCGGCACCCTCGACGTCATTTTCCAACTCAAACAACTCGAGTACTTGTTGTCGAAGATGTTGACGGAGTGCAGGGATACTTTAAGGAATAAGAGCTTGACTTCGAAGCCAAGCAAGACATTTCCCCTTCACATCGGGATCACCAAGGATCGATCTTCTCTTCACATGCTTACCCTGCTGATGAAGTGGAATTTCACCAGTACTCAACAAAGTTTCAAACCACTGTCTAGTGACACAGCGGCGGTAAAACTTGGACGCGTGAGGCCAGTGCAAATTAACCGCACGCGTTGTTGCTCCAACAAATATTTCTCCTTCCAAAAGTTCGAGCATAACTTGTTTTGCCATAACATACCTTAAGAACTGGTTAACACCTTCTTGATATTGATTGGATGTACAATTTTTGAAAAAAACAATCTTAGACTCGAACAGGGGCAAGGCGTCACAAATCTTTTCCAAAGCAGCTTCATTGGGTCTTCTTGGTCTTTCAATTTTTTCAGGTTGAGCTACTGTAGTGACCTTGTAAGAGTAACAGAAAGAGATGTAAATATAGACTGAGTTCCATTTATTAGGTTATCCATATGTATATATGATATCTTAGAGTTACACACTCTTACAAGATTGTTATACTTGATTAATGCGTATTCGATTAAATATCAGACTATAGTAGCGCTCACTGGCACTAGTTCCTCAGACTATGAAATGGTGTTTCCCTTTGTTTGATCCAATAGTCTAAAAAAGTGTTTGACCAAATTGGGATGAAGTGTAAGTTTGATATGGGCTTCGTGAATAATATGCGCGCTACTATCATCAATGCTAAAAAGTTGATATGCAAACATTTTATGAGTTCCAGGCTTGATAAAGAATATCTTCGGTAACTGCTGGATTAGTGAAAATCCAGATGGCTGAGAGAGAGGGTTGTTGATCTGAAGGATAGTCAGGTTTCTTGGGATAGAATCGACAGCTTGGAAGATAGTGTTAGATAGGTTGTAGTGGTTGGTGATAGAAGTAGATTAATATTATGGGAACAGTAGTGATAAAAGATGGTGTGGTATATAGTCATAATATGATCACAGTTCAGATTTGAGGAGAGTGTACACGTCTAGTGGGCAAGCAGTCTTGGGACCATAACTCCTCTAATAGGGGTTGTAACCAACACCACTGAGACACCCTTAGTTGAATGCCAAAGTCCAAGATACCTACTCCTCCTAGTTGGTAGAGTCGACAACTTGAGTTCTGAAAACATTCGAAATATAAGGGATTAGTATACAACCGGTTGAATTTCGGTGATCTGAGGTTTAGTCGTGGGGAGTAACCGAATAACATGCTACAATGTCGAATAATGTAAGGAAATTAGAACGGTAGCTCGTTCACGGATTGACAGTTATCGTTGTTTGTGGATGTTGCATGCATCATGATCAAGTTGATTAATTGAAAAACAGAGTTGAAAATCTAGACAATGTAGTGAAACTGTGGAGTAATGGGAGTGCCACCTAGTAATGTGTTGGTTTAACAAGAATTATTTCCAAGCCTTAGAGCGTTTGATATTCTTGTTACAGTGCAAAAAAAATAATAAAAAAAAAAAAAAAAAAATGCGCAGCAGCCAGAAGTCATGTTACACGCATGAGAAAAAAAAAAGGTTAATCTTGCATGAAATCAATTTTTAATTGGTTAAAAAAGTTTATATTTTTTCATTTTCATTTAATATTAAAAAAACCAAGACCGCTTGCGCCCCTACGTTCTTGGAAAAATGGTGACCACCCTTCCCACAAAGTGGAAATCCATCGAATAGGACGACTGACAGTTGATATCGATGGTTATACCGCGTACTCCGGAAAGATCAGCGAGAGCAACCCCAAAGAAATCGTTTGCCAGAAGACATTTTTTTGTGAAGAGAAAAAAAAAAAAGAAAAAAAAACTCGTCGAGTGAAAAAAATGTGTCCCTTTTATACCTTTTTTTTTGTGTGGATCGAATTCATCAGTTACACATAAAAATTTTGGGACTTTCATCTTGACATCATTTGTTTACACATCAAGATACTACACTATTGGCTCATGAATCGAAATTTATTTTGGCTTACCAAATTTGGTGCATTCACGTATATTTTGTATTATAAAACGAGTATGTGACTGCTCTCTTTTGATGCGCCCATTTTTTTAAAAAAGCGCGTCAATGATTTTGGGAAATGGTATTGGTACGGGCAAAAAAAAGTAGGCAGCAGAATAAAAAAAAGTTATACAGTTACGCGCAATAAAGTTACAGATGGTCTATCAACTTCAATTCATATTAATCAGATAAAACATTATTAACTGTGACTCTGTATGCGAGATGGAGTAGATCTCTTTTTTAAAACTCAATAGGGCAGGTGGCGCGCGCGCACAGTCTACAGTTTGGAGCGCCTTCCATATTAAGGTCTTTCATTATACTTCTTGGAATAACATGAACTACAGTAAAAAAAAAAATCTTCCCAAAACGTAGTGAAAACTGTCAGTAGAACAGTTATTTGAAGGCACTACTTGATCATTCCTATTCATTACCCATTAAAAGCTACATGGTGTGTTTACAATTTAAAAAAAAAGGGGATTCGTAGAGTCAAGTAATCACAAAGTCTCTAGATAAATTTTATTTCTTTGTAAAAAAAAAAAATATGTATATGTGATCAGAAATAACTTTCCTCGTCAATCATAGCACATCACACACTGACGTCTTGCTATAAAACGAGTACTTCTTGCAACACCCACTGTTTATTTTCAAATTTCTTCACCTCCAGACACGGACTGGACTGAGAGTGCTTCCAGTTTGCATCGTCTTCTCAACAAGATCCCGATGATTTGCTTCTGACTTTCGGTTAACGTGGTACGTCTTGCAGTTAGTACTGATAGGATGTGTGTCGTCAAAGCAATCCAGCGTTTTTTCCACGTCCTTTATATCCATCTTGAGGTGGATAACGGCTGTACACCCCCATTTTACCTGTCTTTTGGTTGGGTCTCTTAAGTACACGCTCATCAACATTACCGCCTTCTATTATCCTCCGTGTTGATACTATTACAAAACCATCATAGTCAAAGCATACACACTTTCCGCATTTCTAGTACAATCGTAATGTCCAAACCAGTTTTATGTCGCTTTATTGCCTATGGAAGCCTTAGGTGGAAAGTTCTTCTTGCTAACAACAGCCTTGATGGCATCACCATTGTCAGTCTTATATGTGTCCTTTACTTCTTCAGCATTACTGAGCGATCTATAGTCAAACTTGTTCATGAGACCTTTTGACAAGTGAGCCTCATTTTGATCTTTGAAGGTGTAATTACCAAACGTTTGCTCGAAGCCATCGTTATTGCTTCCCTCTTCGTTAAGCTCGAGCAGAAGTGCCTGAATAAGCAACACATTGTCCTAGATGTCTTATTCTGTCATTCCGTATGATGTCTTGAATAAAAAACCTGTTTGTGAAAAAAAAAGAAGCTCTGTCCTGCAAAAGTGGATGTCGAAACCGAAAAGAAAACCCCGATCGCATTCTGCTCAGTGAAAAATTCACAGACTCATAGCCCATTTTATTAATTTGCATGTGGAGAATCATTAGAACTACTGCCTACTAGAAGTCCATCATGCACGAAGATTTATTCAAGCCTTTTACTTTTTATAAGAATCAGAGGATAACAGATCTTTTGGCTGACTTAATAATAATCTGAAAGGATAAGCTGTCCCACAGGTCAAACAGATCTACGGCCTACTGGAAAAGAGATAGTACAATCATACCCACTGAAACGTTTCATGGTAATCTGCGTCCAAAACAATGCTAAGCCATTTATATTTTTTTTGTATGTAAACCCGCAATTTTCGCTGTTTTTCTTCTTTATCTCTTCAAATTGACCACGACAAGTAAAGACATGTTTGATTCGAAAAAAGCTGAGCGAGCAATACCGATAGCGCACTGTACTTTAAGTAATTAAACTGTCGTGTAAAAGTAGCCTTTGATACGTACGAATTCCAAAAAAAACATTAGGGGGATTCATTAACTATCTCATCTGTGACGATACCAATATCATCAGTAAAGGATCTCGAATTGAGAGTAAGATTAATATTGCTTGTAGTCTTTTTATTCTTATTAAAAGTGAATCCTTCTTTCATCTCTGAAAGAAAAAGGTGTATTTATAGTTTTTTGAAGCGTGAGTAAACTTATGGGCTATTTGGTGTTCAGCTGGTATTGTTGGTTGTATTTACCAATGACTGATGAGCCTTATCAGTGTAGCCAATCTATTATTCGAAATGGAATCTTCCATTGGGATATGTACATATAACTCGGGATATTTTATATGTTATTATTTTTTATGAGTGTTATGATATTATGCACCTGTCGATTAAGAATCGATGGAATGATCTTATATGCGATTTTATATGTTAAATAGTGCAATTTTCATACAGCTCGGATTCTCTTGTAACACTGTAAACTCAGGTCAGTTTTTTTTTTAATTAATAAACTTTATCTTGTTTTCGAAATGTTGTCTGAAAGAATGATTTCTACTTACATAAGCATTAGTTGCAGAAAATACGTGCTTGTTTTGAAACCTATTGTATATAAAGTTATCCGTATAATCATACAGCATTTGTTTTGGAATACGTTATATTTATATGATAAAAAAATTACAGACTATGCATAGAATGGGCAACAAATATAACAACGATTGGTTGTTGTGCAATATATATAAAAGATTTGTATCTTTTACGGAGAGAAGTGGCCAAAAGCTTAACAACTCTTGTACGTTTGTTTAATGATTAAAGACAATTAAGAAGTAATCTGAACAAGTATTTAACGAAAAGCAGAGGTCAGCTATTTTTTTAGACTGTAAAAGGTATATGATTTGGTACAAATTAATATCAAATTTCCCCGCCACGAATTGTCACTTTTAATATTGCACCCTACCCGGGATGTTAAATAGCCGGTTGGATAATCTAGTAAAAATGATCAAAGGAGAATTAAAAAATATAGAAAAAACCCGTGCTGCATTAGGACATTTCGTGTTACGTGAATTCTGGGGAAATAAACTTTGGAAATAAAAGTACTTTAATGGCCGAATCATAATCGTATGGAAATGATTTATAAAGATCAGGTGAATTTTATGGATTATCCTACCCATCAGAGTTAGGTTTGAAAGAAAAATTTTCAAAGGAGTTGTGAAATCTTATTTTTACATAACAAAAAATATCGTGACACTGAAGACAAAGGTTGCTCAATCAATAAAGCAAATCATTTGTATGAAGAATATGATATTTACTTCATCAGGGAAATCATTTTATTTAAATTGCTACATGCAAGTAAACAACTTGGGAGTAAGAAGCTCAGAATGCATGAAACGAGTTGATTTCGGCTTAATAAATCAGTATCATGGTTCCTTGAATTTATGTTCCCTGGTCCATTTGGGACATTACAAAAATTAGTATCACACAAATAGAATGGTTTTTTGAATTAACGGTAATTCTTCTTTTCCATTATTTTTCGGAGCATCCATCGTTTTTCTTATAATAAGGACTGGAAAATCTATGCCCTGAGAAATAGGCACTTCAATATTACAGAGAAGAATTACACGCATATTCATTTGTCTGGAAAAAAAAAATATTTAAAGAACGAAACTTTACTCCATAAAGAGAAATATCTCCACTCGTGTTACCATTACGTAAACTGCAAAATGACGGCATATAAAACAAGTTCAAATACGAAAATTTTCCGCTTTTCCCGTTCTTTCTTTTCTTCCCAGTTACTTACCAAAACAAAAACAAAAAATGTCTGTCTCTAAATTAACCGTTGCTCCAGGTGTTGACCAATATACCTTGATTAATACGAACAAGACCTTGGCTGTCATGATCTTGACTTATGGCGCTACTATTTCTCATATCTTAACCCCTGATAAGACCGGTACTATCCGTGATGTCTGTCTTGGTTTCGATAGTTTTGAATCCTACAAGAACCCAGCCAACCCCTACTTTGGTGCCGTTGTAGGTCGTTTTGCCAACCGTATCGGTCAAGGTAAGTTCTCCATCGATGGTCAAGAATATAACATTGCTGTCAACAATGGTCCCAACACCTTGCATGGTGGTCTTGACGGTTTTGATAAGCGCATTTGGACCGCCACCATTGTTTCTGAATCTCCCCCATCTGTTCGTCTTGAACTCGTCTCCCCCGATGGTGATCAAGGTTACCCTGGTACTTTAACCACACAACTTACTTACACTGTTAATGATCAAGATGAACTTTCACTCGAATATCGTGCTACCACAGATAAAGATACAGTAGTCAACTTGACAAACCATTGTTACTTTAATTTGTCGGGTATGGAGTTAAACCCTAACGTATTGGATCACCGCGTCACTATGACAGATGAGGTAAAGGCTGTTTTGGAATGTGACGACAATTGTTTACCTACCGGAAAGGTTCTCAGCTGGTCTGAAGCACCTTGGATGAATTTCTCTGTAAGTAGTATTTTTGTTACGTATCAAGGAATTAATTTTATTAACACGTTTTCTATAAAGGGTGAAAATGCTGGTAAACCTATCGGTGCTCGTCTTGAACACCTTCAAAGTACCCACGGTTATGACCACCCTTATGTGATTCATAATGAGTACAAGACAGACACAGCAGATTTACCTCTTCGTGAAGCTGTGACTGTGTACTCTCCTGATACTGGAATCGAGTTGGATTTCTCTACCACGGAGCCTGCTTTCCAATTTTACACTGGTGGCTGGATCTCTGATAAGTTGACTGCTAAGAAAGCACAAGGTGAGGTCAAGATTGGTCGTAGCTCTGGATTCTGTCTTGAAGCTTCTCGTAACCCTGATGCCCCTAATAAGCCTGAATGGCGTAGCTCTGTCTTGCTTCAAAAGGGTGGTGTTTACTCTCAAAAAACTGTTTATGCTTTCCATGCTCGTGTGGATTAAGTTTTCTTTTTTTTTTCTTTTCTTTTTGCATACAAATAAATTTCCCATTGCATGAACTATCAAGTTTATTTTTAGTGCCACAACAACAGATGATTTATTCATCAAAAAAATTGTATCTGAGAAAAGGAGCCGTAAAAAGTCTACCAGTGATAGCCATAAAGAGTAATTGAAGTGCAATCCATTTGTATTTTTTCTTGCCTTGTCGCTCTTCTTTCAAAGCGCCTTGACGTAATGTGACTTCAATCATCACCGCTACCCCTTGAAGCGTGAAAAATGCAAAGTTCTCCAGTGTGATTCTTCTGCATGCACTCATAATAATCAATTCATGAAACAATCCGCTAATCATAAATGAAAGTAGGCCACGTATAGATCGACTCGACCAGTATGAAGATGAGCTTTTCTTTGCTATTCCTTTCTTTGTTTGTGTTCCGCTTGAAAATACTTGTGTATGCAACAGGTTTCGAACCACTTTATTCCATCTCTTGCTGTACGCATCAAAATAAAAGCAATGTTAATAAAGATCATTATCCCCCTTTCCCTTTTCAACTGTTTAAACATACCTCCAAAAGTCTCTTGGGCTCGTAGCAAGAATAGGCGAATCAAAAAGATCCACCATATTCCATGCAAATAAAGTCTGTTCCAATCCCATAAAAATATCCACAGCACCCAATAAGCAATAGGCCTTGATCCCAAATAATATCGTATAAATCAAGCTCATAGGATGTAGCCAAGCATATTCCAACGCATCATCCGGATGCACAGGTAACAATGGATTAATAAACATTCGCATCCATATCAGTTTAAATACACCCAATGACACTTTGGCTACACCTTTGTATCGAATTTTTGCTTTGTCTGTATCTTTATCGTCTTGGATGGTCACCTTGAATAGATCGTACACGCATTTTTTGAAGGTCAGTGTGTCTGTGGGCATATGCGCAGCATAAGAGGCGATAAACCACGGCCCTGCAGCGAACAGAATATTGCATGGAGGGTGGTTGGATATAAATATCATGGGTAAAATGATATGCATGAGGGCCATGCCGATGCGTAGTTGGGTGGCGGAAATGTATTTTCGTAAGTAACGTTCATTACTCAGTAGACTATAATCGAGACCAAGTACCACGGCGTACAATGTGATGAGTGTAGTTGCTGGAAGGATAATAGCTGGAGGTAAAGCAATGTCTACCCATGGTGGTCTGGTATGATCAACATAATACATTTAAAGAAAAAGAAATTGAGCCAAAAATAAAAAATAAAACTCTCCCTTTTTTTTCAAAAAAATCTGCATTCATCATCGGAAGTGTCACATTTACGCCTTTTTAAAAGATTACAAGCTCAGTTGCAGCCCAGGTTACAATTTTCATACTTGAAGCAATTACACTGCGAAAAAGGGACACACAGGCTTTTGACCTTCCTTTTTTTTCATGACCTCCAAGTTGTTAGATATCAGCCTGCCAAAGCCCATTGTACTTCCCACAGCTCAACTCACCGGGATGTATGCGTGTATGTTGGGCATTGATTATATCCTACTTCGAAACCAAAAAAAACTACTCATCTCCAAACACACTTTACGTCTGGGCATGACGGTGGTTCATGCCATTGTACCTTTAGCCATAGTCTCACCTTTGCTCCCCAATAACGTTACCTTTGCAGCCGTACCTTGGTTCCTCGCCTCGTATAGTGCTTATTTACCTACCGAGAACTTTACATGGACAGGATGGTTAAAGGCACTTTACGGTACCATGGTAGATCGATCGGACCCCCGACGTAATAAACACGCCCAAGGTTTAGTAAAAGCCTTGCGAGGTGTGACAAAGTTAGCGGTGTTATACTTTGGTGTAGAACCATTGTTACCTACAATGCCTGATGCCATGTTAGCATATCCATGGTTTAGCAAAGAAAGTTTGACAGATACTTTTTTGTTTGGGTTAAAAGCTTATTTAATTTTGGGTGCGGTGGACGTGACTACGGGGTTGGCACAGGCTATGACTGGATGGTGCATGGTGGATATGTTTGATTCTCCATTATTAGCAACCAGGTATGAGTGTACCTGTCTTCCTCTCTCTCTCTTTTTTTTTTTTTTTTTTTTTTTTTTTTTTTTTTTTTTTTTTTTTTTTTTTTTTTTTGTTGGATTCTAACCCCTTTTTTGAATTAGTCCTAGAGATTTTTGGAGGTAAGATACAAAATCGGTTGTCATAAGAACTGGAAAACACAATAAAACTAAACATTGCGAATCTAGTCGTCGATGGAATAAGACAGTCCGTAATTTATTACATAGTCTTGTCTTCACACCATCTTTAGATGTAGACAAAAAGACAGTTGAAAAGAAGCAAGGATTCTTCTCTACACAAATGGGACGTGGACTTTTATCCTTCATAGTGAGTGGTGCCTTTCATGAACTCATCATCTGCAGTGTCTGCCGTAAACTGACACTGGAAAACTTTTGCTTTTTCACGTTACATGGTCTCGCTTGTATGGTCGACCGATTCAACCCAAAGAAAGAACCTCAGGGTTTGGAAAGAGTGGGTCGTATCATGGCCCAATTGAGTTTCATGGTCGTGACAGGCCGTTTATTTTTGGCTCCCTTTCTTCGAACTAGATTTACAGAGATATTACCCATCACCCATCAAATTTATTGATTGATTTATAATAATAATAAAAGTTTTAAATGGCTACGGTTTCTTTCTTGAGCCATGCTACGGTCAATGCATTATCAGCAACAAGAGGACTCAACTTAGTCCAACATTCTTCGTGATAAGCATTAATCCATTGAATTTCAGAGGGACTTAAAAGATCCTTATCGATCAATCCAAGTCCAATAGGTGCAATGGTAACATGTTCAAAACCCAAGTAGCCACGACCTCCAAAGTTATGAGGTGTCTCTGCCTTCTTGACCAAAATGACATTCTCAATACGGATACCAAATTTACCATCTTCATAATAACCAGGCTCGTCTGTCACCGTCATGCCCACTGCCAAGGGAGTGTCGTTATAATTAACACGGATACCAATTCCATGAGGTCCTTCATGAACATTTAAGAAACAACCGACACCATGACCAGTACCATGCAAGAAATTTAAACCATCTTTCCAAAGTGCTTGACGAGCAAAAGGGTCTAATAAATAGCCCGTAGTACCTTGGGGGAAAACAGCTTCATCAATGGCGATATGACCTTGCAAGACACGGGTAAAGCAACGTTTTTCATATGCGGTAGGTGTACCAAAATGGAAAGTACGTGTGACATCGGTGGTACCATCCAAGTACTGTCCTCCAGAATCACATAAGTAAATTTGACTAGGATCGATGATTTTACAAGCACCCTTTTCTGGCTTGTAATGAATGATAGCACCATTGGATCCTGTGGAAGAAATAGTGGCAAAGGAAAGCCCGACAAAATGATCTTGTTCTGCACGAAATTGTTCCAGACGATCAGCTGCATCCACTTCATCTAATTGCTCACCGGCCAACAATTTATTTTCGAGCCATGCAAAGTAATGGACAAGTGCAGCGCCGTCACGAAGATGACATGCACGCATACCATCTAATTCGGCGGGGGTTTTGATAGCTTTGGCATCAGTGATATAAGAACGTTCTTCTACCACGTTGGATTCTCCTACAGCCACTTCCACAGCTAAACTGGTTTTGTTGTTCACTAATAACTTTTTACCATTCAATTGCAATTCTTTTAAATCTGTGAAAAAATGAGCATAAGGCTTGGTGGTGACGTGGGCAGCAGCAAGATGAGCATTCACTTCTTCTGTCAATTTATCCAAATCCAGGTACAGGATGGCCTCGGATTCAGAGACAATGGCATAAGCGAAAAAAACAGGATTACATTCGATATCCGAACCTCTCATATTAAATAACCAAGCAATTTCATCCAGTGCAGAAACAACAGTACCTGCCGCCTTTTTTTCTTGAAGATGACGATGTACATCCTTTAATTTATCCTCCGTAGATTTACCTTTCATGATTAAAAAATATTTTTTAAGCTTGTTGCCTTTTATGGAAATTGTTGACTATTTTAAACAACGTACCTGCGTACTCAACGGGTTGCACAAACACTTTGTCCTTAGGTGCCTCGGGTCTATCTTTACCCCAAGCGAGGTCAATAAGATTTTCATGGATAGGAACAAGAGATGAACCCAAATGTTGCAATTCAAGTGTCAGTTGGTGCGCATCAGCTATGAGAGGACGGTTATAGTTTATCATTTGCCTACTTTTTTTTTGTTCTTTGATTAGTTACCAGCATTGATGAGGGTAGGATCCAAGCCAATACGCGAGCCAGAAGGAAGATTCTAGAGTAGAGGTACAATAAGAAATAAATAATTACAAAAAGAGGAAAAAAGAAACATACATTGATGAGATATTCTTGCCAGGTAGGTACACCGGGAAGTCCACCCTTCATTAAAGTCCAATTGTTATCCAATTGTTGAGAGGCTTGTAAAAAGTATCGACCATCCGTGAACAAGGCGGCTTCGGTGGTAGTGATAATGGCGAAACCTAAAAGAAAAAAAAAAGTGTGAGAAAAAAAACACAAGTTTCATTGGGAGAAGTAAATTCTATACCAGCAGAACCAGTGAAGCCGGAAATCCAGTGACGACGCTTATCACATTCAGCGATATATTCACTCTATGATGAATAATATGAGTTAATTACTACGATAAAATGTATGTGTATATAATTACCTGGTGAGCATCCTCAGAGGGAGCAAGACTAAGAGATATTGAAAATTTAGTGAAGTGGGATAGGGTATTAATAAGAAGAAATTTACAAGACATCAACATTGTGTGCTTCCATTTGGGCACGAAGACTGGCTAAGCGATCTGAAGTAACTGTCACCATTTTTAATTTTATTGTATATGATAAGAAGAAAGAAAGATTAAAAAAAGAAAAAAAAAAGTTGTGCCCCTTTATACAAACCCACACAAAAAAGAGCCGACGTCATTATTTTTATGTGTGCAACAGTTTTTTTTTGGGTGAAAAGCAATTTTTATTTACCGACCACAATCTCTTATTCTCTCTTTCTTTCTCTCTCTCTCTCTTTCTCTCTCCCTCTCTCTTTATTAATTGATGGAAGAAAATATTGTCATGGAGGAAAGTAATAGAATCCAAACCAGAAGATCGAGTCGTTCTACCCGCTCAGCCTCTCCAGTCATGGCAGTGACGGTCACGACGGCGGAAGAAGTGAGTTCTCCTGTTTCTTCTGTGGGGGAAGGGACTATTAGTACGACACTTAATGAGGGCCGTGTTACGCGGTCTCAATCTGTAGAATCCAGTGGTTATGAAACAGCAGACTCTAGAAAACGAAAGCGAAAGGCTAAAACTACAAACTCTCAACATAAAAAGAGAGCCGACTCCTATCAACCTTCCAGTCACACTCTTAAAAGCGTCAACAATAACAATAATCCTGCTGCTCTCTCCACCTCTTCTAAGCAATCTACCGGTACCGGCGGCGAAGATATTGAGCGTGAAACTCGAACTTCCACGCAGAGAGTATCTAAAGAGGCCAGAGATGCAAAGAAAGCACAAAGAGACATTATCATTCGAGAGAGGTAAAAAAAAAAAAAAATTAACTATGATGTATTGTGCTCTATCTAATCATCTTTTCTCCCTTTGTATAGGCTCAATGAATTAGATAAACTGGAGAAGGCTGTTAAGGACGGATCGCACTCTGAATATCACAAATTGCTCTCTGATATTGAGCAAAAAAGAACAAAAATGTTATTTGTAGCTGAAATGCGTCGATCTCTTGCAGAAGGAAATGTAGTGAATTTCTTCAATGCTCAAAAGAATGCAGCCTATTCACAATACTATGTACGTTTTGTCACACCTAACAAAAAAACTTTTTTTTTTATAACGCTATTTTCTACAGTGGGACAAATTAGCTCTCCGAAGATCCATGATTCAACATGTGCAACATAAAATTAATACATTGGAGCAAGAATATTACTCTAATCATGTGCAAAGTAAGTAATTTATATGGCAATTATTTGTCCAAATTACTCACGTCTTCTTCTTTATTAGGCTCCTTGGATGACGAACACTTGTCCGAATGGGTTCCACCCGATAGGCCCTCCATGATTAATATCCTTTTTAATATCACATAATTTATATAGATTTTTTTTTTTTACTAATACGTTATGTATCCTTAACAACCTTCCACGTTCTTTAACTCTAGGTCTGACGGAACAAGAAGCTGAAAATGACGTAGAATGGGCTAAACAAGATCCACATGAAGAAGAGAACCAACACCATCCTTCATACCCTTCTCAAGCACAACATACTTCACCTCCTTCTTATTACCATTCATCTCCACCACCCTCAACACAAGCACACACTCACTCACACGCTCACGGCCACGCGCATACACAAGCACAAGTAACATCCATAGCATCCTCATCTTCTCAAGCACAGTCTACAAAAAACAAGCGTGAATCACCACCATTAGACATGTTGGCATCGCTGGCCGATCGTCAATACCACAAAGATTTCAAGGAGGAAACCACCGAAAAGTCATTTACTTTACCACCTTTGAACCCTTGGCGTTTTGATCAAAGACCTACTTTGCCGACTTGAACATCCGACAACTCCGATTAAACCAAACAAAAAAAAAAGGTTCATTTTGAAACTGTTTCAATGAAAAAAAATAAAAAAAAAAAATATGCAAAAAATGAAAAAAAAAAATACAAAAATATTATAAAGAAAAGTTTATTGCAGAAAAAAAATAAAGGGTAATAAAGCAATAGTAGTATGTTTAAGCAGAACGGTTAGCCTTTTCTAAAACAACCTCATAACAGACCTATTAAAATGAGGGTTAGACAACAATAACTAGGGTTTGATTACAAAAGACTTACTTCGGAGGCGTCAGTGCCTTGAACTTCGATAGCAATACCAACCAACTTTCTACGGAGAGCTTCTTTACTAGAAGCGTACAACATCTTTTGGCGAACCTTGGCGGTATCGGGAATCCTATAGGGTTATCTTAGTAATTAGGAAAAAAGGGGCGGGGGGGGGGGGGCTGGGGCGGGGTACGCGTATTTGGGAAACTTACCAAGAGTAAAAGGTGATCTTGTTTCTCTTACCATCTCCAGGTTTTTCATATTCAAAGTCATAGACAGCATAACGAGGTTCGTTATCAGGAAGTTGGCTAAGGAAGTCGTCATAGTCACCAGTCTCGGAAGACTTTTCAACAACAATTTCTTGGTTGTTGTCTATTACCAAAATTGTGTTAGATTTTCTTTTTTCTTGTATCTTTCCTTCAACTTTCACACACATCACACACACACACACACACATATATATATATATAGCACCCCAAACTCAAAAGAATAAACTTACCAGACAACTTGAAAATAAGATACTTGTAGCTCTTACGGAGCTTAAGTTCTTGATAAAGATCGAGACATTCACTGTTGACTGCTACACCAGAAGACTTAAAAATTCCACAAAAAAAAAGTTAGTATTCCCATCATCTTATTTTTTTTTTCTTAAAATGACAAAAAGAAACACTCGTTCCAAGTAAACACGCTTCTTACTTTGGTCTAAACCGAAGCAAACGTTCTTTTTGCCAAGAGAAACAATATAAATAAAACTTACCATTTTTAAAAAAGTTAATTATAAAAAAAAAGAAAAAAAAAATTAGAAAATTTAATTGATTTGTTGTATTTTTATAGTGTCTCTCAAAAGAATCTAAAAATTACGTCATATTATATCACGTGATCTTTTTTTATTATATATATATAAAGTTTTTTTTTTATGATTTTTTTTTTTTTTGTGGCAGTTTACACAACAGGACATGTATAGAACAGGACCCAAGTTTCAAAGCTCTTCTAAAAAAGCATCTACAACCACACAATGTCAAAAGTGTCTAGAGCATGGTCACTGGGTAAGCTTTCTTTTTTTCTTTCTGCTTTAATGATGGACTAATCAAAAAGAAAAACTTTTTTTAGACGTATGAATGTAAAAAAGAAAGAAGCTATAAAGTCAGGCCTACACGTACACAACAATTGAAAAAACCCATCAAATTATACGAACCTGAATTACCCAAAGAGTTGGGCGAGGGTCACGGCTTAGCAGATAGAATCCTTAAGAAGAAAGAAAAGGAACGTACTGGCAAAAGAAAGAGAGCAAGGTAAAAATTAGCTTGTTATTACTCTTTTGCTTTTTTTTTACTAACGCATTGTTTTAGATCTTATTCTTCAAGCAGCAGCAGTAGCGGTAGCAGCAGCAGTAGTAGTGGATCTTCCTCTGGTAGTGATAGTGGAAGTGATAGTGGTAGTGATAGTGATAGTTACAGCAGCAGTAGCAGCAATAGCAGTAACAGTAGCGGTGGTAGAAGGAGACACAGAGCTACACGTAGACGTAAATCCAGCAGCAGTAGTAGTAGTGATAGCGATAGCGGTAGCGACAGTGAGGTTGTAAAAAAGTATAAAGAAACTAAGCGTCGTCCAGATTGTAGTGAAAGACATTGAATAATAAAACAAATTTGCATTACAACTCGAGCAATTGGGACACCGATTTTAAAATGGTACACTTTCTTTGTATTCTTCACAATTTAACCATTAACGCTGATGTGGATAGCCGAACAGTTCCTGTTATATTGAACAGCAATAATGCATGGAATAACAACATTTCTGGTAATGATTTCATTCAAGCCTAGCTACTAGCTTCTGTGTCAAACATTTGACAAGTTCCTTTTGTGTGAAACCAGCGCTTTTTAAAGATTTCATCTTTTATTGACAATGTTATTGACATGTCTTCTTTGCCTCCATTTTACTGATTCATTGGTAACATTATTGACTGACCCATTACTTTCATGACTGAATATCACTTTTGAACATCGTGTTTTTGTTTCATTATATTCTAATATTCTTATCAACTCATATTATATTGCGAATTATATAATTTATACGAACATAGTTTTAACTTCAGATATTACTTCAGCACCATGTCCATCAGTAGTTAGTGAATCACAAAAAAGTGGTATGGAGCTGACGAGTATATATCATGGTAAAATCTTTAAAAAGCAGACTTCGATGCTATTTATCTTAAACTTGATATGTTTACATGCAACGGGCTGAACCTATTTAAAACCAAAGGCCTGCTGATGTTTTTATATCAGCATTGACATGGCCCTAGTCTAGTTTCTTCCAGGCTTTGTCAAAGGATGACGCTAATTTTATGAAATTGCCAGCAAACATCAACGTTCACAAAAGATGAATAATTAAGGTTGTAAACCTCTTGCACGAATGATTATGCCGCAGTCGAGCGTAAACACCAGTTGACATTGGACCTGTGTTTTGATTATGGAGCCTTTAATAAGGCTTTAGGAGAAGAGTGTATATTATTTCACAGAAAACATAAAGGCGATAGGAGTAAATTAAAAGTATTGTATTGCTTTCAAAAGAGGTGAAAAAAAGTTGGTGTGCCACACATACACACAGCTTGCGCGCTGCGCTGGATTCAAACACACTTTTTCAATTGGCTGGGTGACGTAATTTTTAGCTGGTGCGCTTGCGTGTCAATTGGGTAGGAAGGCCAAAAAGCAAAAACGCGCGTATAAATCCGTCCCTCTCTTTTTTTTTTCTTTTGTCTACAACACTAATTAAGTTTTTTATATTAAAATGAGTCGTGGTGCAGGTTACGATCGTCACATTACAATTTTCTCACCCGAGGGTAGATTATATCAAGTTGGTAAAGCATTCTTTTTTCATTCCCATGGCATTTTTCTTTCATTTTGCTTATCCATTACATCTTTTTTTTTTCTGTAGAGTATGCTTTCAAGGCCATTTCAAACAGTGGTATTACTTCTGTTGGTGTTCGTGGACGTGATGGTTGTGTTGTTGTAACTCAACGCAAGGTTCCTGTAAGTTTTTTTTATGTATCAGTAACAGTGCAGCAAGTTTTTGACTTTTATATATAGGACAAGTTATTGGATCCTTCAACTATTACTCACGTTTTCAAGTTGACACCCAAGATTGGTTGTGTCATGACCGGCATGATTGGTAAAAAGCATCTGTTTAGAAATTGAGCGAAAGAGAGAAACTCACGTACTGTATTGTTGTTTTTTTATAGCGGACGCTCGTTCTCAAGTGACTAGAGCTCGTCAAGAAGCAGCTGAATATCGTTACAAGTATGGTTATGAGATTCCTACGGATATGCTTGCTAAGCGTATTGCCACGATCAACCAAGTTTATACACAACAAGCTGCTATGAGACCCTATGGTGTTTGTAAGTATAATATGAAATTGGGAACGAAAGAGAAGTTGGAAAGGATTTAAGAAAAAACTAAACTGTATACAGCCATGATTTTGATTGGTCATGATGATGAGTTAGGACCTCAATTATACAAGTGTGATCCTGCTGGATACTATGTTGGTTATAAAGCCACTTCAGCTGGTGCCAAACAACAAGAATCATTGAATTATTTGGAAAAGAAGTTGAAGAAGAATCCCGAATTGAACATGGAAGATACCATTGAGGTAAAGAGAAAGTTGTGATTTATCTGTCCAATTAATTCTTATGCATATTACATATTGTAGCTTGCCATCACAACTTTATCTACCGTTTTAGCTGTTGATTTTAAGGCTGGTGAAATCGAAATTGGTATTGTTTCCAAGGAAGATACGGATTTCCGTACATTATCTACCGAAGAGATTGAAGATCATTTACAAAGAATTGTTGAAAAGGATTAAATTAAAATAATAAAAAAGTGTAAAGGAAAAAAAAAATGGCTGTTTTAGCTTTACCAATCATCACCGAGGGATTCTAACCCAAACAAAAGATGACGAAAGCAAATTTTTGACAACATTTTTTTTTTTTTTTTTTTTTTTTTTTTATAAAAAGGAAAAAGGCCTTGTTTTTGTATTTTCGTCTTTTTTTCTTTTTTTCTTTTTACAAAAGAGGAATAAAAAGAGATGAATTTTCAAAACTCGTATCCGAGAACAGGTAAACAAAATACAAAAACTGGTATTTGAAACACCTCTTCACTTCGCTGTACCAGTCTTTTTTGAAGGGGAAAAGTACTAATCTCTTTATTACAGCTCAATCGGATAGCAGTATGAACCAAAATAATCAGTCTACGAATACTAACAACAACAACAACAGTAACTACAACTACAACAACAACAATGGAACACAGTCAATGTCAATTGGGATGGAGGGCTTTAATAGTATCCCTGACACGTTGAATGCGCAACTAAGTGAAAAAGACAAACAGATCTATCAGAAAAATAACATGCGTCTACGAGAATTAGAAAAAGAACTACGTGTTTTTCATTCTTATGGTAATGCATGTGACGAGTTAATGTCATGGCTGAACGATGATCGTGCGTACAACCAAATAAACGAAGCTGCATTGTTGGGTTGTCTTACTGCCATCCATGAAAAATATGCAGAACACGGTCGTTGGTCTGGCACCCAGATATTGAGAACAGCAAATGAAAAAAGTGCGCGTCTGTCAGACAGGGCACGAGGTAAGTCATAATGGGAAGGACGGATACATATACCATTCTATTTCTTTCTTTTTATCATATCACCCTTTTTATATATATATATATATTTCGTTTGATATTGACATCTATTTTTTGTTTATGTAATAGTCATGATTAGAAACTACTTTCAGGAAGCAACAAATGCACAACAAAGAAGACAGAGTGAAAGTTCTATCGCCTCCAATAACTCTTCTTCTAATATGACCATACCAGGTTCTCCCACCAGTTTCAGATCCAATATCAATACTCCTCATTCCCCTACCGCTGCTAGTTTCTTTGCGGGAAACAGTACCTTTAACCAACTTGTCAAGAACCTCTTAGACGCCACCCAAAATCATTCCCCTAACCCTTCCCCTATGGCTTCTCCTGTCCAACAACACCAGAGAATGTCTCCCGTCCCACCTTCGGCCCCTGCTCTGGACCGAAACATCAATAATATGTTACATTTACAACCTGCGCAGCAAAAAAGAATACTTCAACAACAAAGGTATCAAAACCAGCAACAGCTACAGTTTCAACAACAACAGCTGGCTCAGCAAAATGCTATTAAACAACAACAGCAACTACAACAACAAAGCCACCAACACAAGTTGCATTTACAAATGAAGCAGCAGCAATTGATAAATATGCATCAACAGCAGTATCAACAGTTACAGCAACAGCAACAACAGCAACAGTTACAGCAACAACAATTGCAGCAGCAACAGCAGCAACAGCAATTGCAAAAACAGCAACAGCAACAGCAATTATTGCAGCAGCAACAACAACAACAGAAGCAGCTACAACAACAGCAACAGCAGCAGCAGCAGCAACATAAACATCACCAGCAGCAACAGCATCATCATCATCATCAAAATTTGCAACAGCAACGTATGCAACAATACTATACTCCTTTAGCATCGCAAACCCCGTATAATACAGCGGCTATACCTGCTGCGCCCGCCGCTATGACTATACCTGTTGCTCCTGCTGCTGCCGTGGCTTCGGCTGCCGCTAGTGCCGCTGCCGCTACTGTCGCTATACAAAATAGTGGGTCAAGGGCCTCCGCTGTACCAACTGCTCCTGCTTCCTTCAGTACTTCTTTCTGGACACAAGAGATGCAGCAACAAATGATGACTATATTGACTGGGAACCAAAGTGCACCTTCTGCATCTCCTACTACGGCTCCTGCTCATCTGCCCCCGTCTGCTCCTCCTGCGACTCCGACTGTCACTGCCGTTACCGTTATCAATGACCCAGTGTCCTATACAAGCTCCACTCATACCAGTCCAACAATCACTACAACACGAGCAGCACCACATACTGCGCCAGCTCACGGATCTATTACCATTGCGCATTCATCCGTCACACCCAGTGACAGCTCCAGAAATACTGTAAACAACAACAGCGATAAGAATAATCATAATACTAGTAGTAACAGTAGCAGTAATAGTAATAGTAGCAGTAATAGTAACAGTCACGACCATAACAACAACGCCACCAACGCCACCAACGCGACCAACACGAACACGAACAGCAATAGCAATAAAAGTAATGCATCACGGCCTCACAGCCAACTACAACAACAAGAATTACACTTGCCTTCATTACCACAAGCATCCCAACTTCATTTACCCGCTGGTGGTAAAAAACGCCAATTGGACAGTGAAAGGGATAGGGTTAAATTTAGATATACGCGTGAATATGTGATGAAACCGTTCCGATTAGTGCATGATCAAAAGGTAACGACAAAGAACTTTTATGTGTCTCGCAAGGACTTTGATCGATTGTGTCTGGATGAGGATATGTTCGTGGAAGAGGATCATAGGAAACATCCCATATCTTTGTTTTTCACCGCTTTCTATGCCAATTTACCAGAAATCAAATGTGATTGGCCGCAGAATTTAAGGGTTGAATTGAACGGAAAGGAATTGCACTTGGAAAAGGTAAGAGAGAGAGAGAGAGAGGTAGGAGGGGGGGGGGGGTTATTCATATTATTCACACTGGGGAAAAACCAAATTTTTGTTAGAAAACCAAAATACGAGGAAGTGGCAGTAACGCAACTTATAGTGGTAAAGATTATCCCTATAATATGACAAGGCTTCTTCGAATGGGAGATAATCAATTAAAAATACACCAATTGGGTTGTGCTTGTGTAAGTGTTTCCATCTATTTTTTTTATTTTATTTATATGCGTATACTGATAGGATATTAGTCGTATTATTTCTGTATACAAATCCATAAAAGATACAGTGAAAACTCATTCTTGGATCGTGTGAAGGGTACTACGATCAAGGAAGAGGTGACGGCAAAGATGATTGATAACATGTTGGGCAAATCTGTTGATGACGATGATATTGTGATTCTTCAAGAAAGTGTCAAAATGAATTTGAGATGCCCTGTTTCGTTGAAACGAATGAAGTTGCCAGTTCGTGGTATAGATTGTAAACACATTGATGTAAAGTAGAAAAAAGATAAGTGCAACTTTATTTTATCTAACCCTGCTATTTTTCTCTGTTTTAGTGTTTCGATTTGAGCCCATTCCAACATCTTAACATGTGTAGATTACCCACTTGGAATTGCCCTCATTGCAACAGTATGATATTACCGGATAAAGTTGCCAGGGATTTATTTACGGAAAAGTTATTGGAAACTTTACCAAACAATGTATCCGAGATCGAATTTAAGGAAGATCATGAGCATTACAAGGTCACTAAAGTGGATGATCCTGATACCGATAGCGAGGATGAGGATGAGGGAGATGATTTAACCAAGGATAAAAAAACGGAATCCGTTAAAAAGGAAGGATACGTGATACCATTAGGAGATGGAAATGTGATTGATCTAGTTAGTGATGATGAAGAAGAAGAAGAGAGAGATAGAAATAACCAAACAAAGAGAGCAAGAAAGTCATAAGTTACGTTCTTCTCTAGTCTTTTTTTTTTTCTTCTTCTTTCCTTCTTCTTGGTAAAATCAATAGTTTTTCGATACCCTTCTCTGACACACATTCTCTTATTGTAATTTACATTACAATTTCACAAAAAAAAAAATCTTTTAATAAAGAACTGTTCAAAGTATTTCAAAATAGGAATCCAATAATTTTGTACTGTTCATAAATAACTCGTCATCCACGGAAATTAACAATTGATGTGGATATATAAACAATGGTTTATAAGTTGTCTTTACAACAGGTTTTTCGTCTCCTTCTGATAATCCATCAAATCCAAACTCTTTTTCCTGTTTGTAATATTTTAGATTAATACCGCTTTTGTTAAATCTTATTTTTTTATGTACCGTTTCAATTAATGTTTGCTGCGAATTTCGCTGCGTAAATCTATACAAAATACGGAACCCTTCCACTTTTAAAAATGAAAATTTAGCAAAAAAAAGAATAAGCAAAAGACCAAACATACTTTGAATCACTCGATGATCTCGTTCGTCTTTATTCTTTTTGTTCAAGTCAGCACCTCCGTCAACAATCAAATTATTTATGACAACAGGATAAAGAGCGTCCAATACGAGTGCGTGCAAACCGTTTTCGTTATACCAATCGATTTTATCTTCTGCAACATAGAGGACCACACGCAAAGCCTTTTTACCGTTGTAAACTTCACTATTAAATAAAAATAACAACAACAACAAAAAAAGGAAACTTACTGTCGTGGCTGTAATAGCAAGATGCATGACATTACGAGTATGCTTTAATTTCATTCTGCCTTACAATAAAAGAAAAGCGGATAAGCAAAAAAAAAAAGGAAAAAAAATAAATAAATCCTTTTTGTTGTCTTTCTAATCTCTTTTACAGCATACTATGTCGAGACCAGGCACACCACAAAAGAATGATTCATCACTATTGATGCGGACAAGAAAGAGTCATCAAGACTTTCGAGTACTGGCCGCAGAAAGTTTAGCGAGGAATGAATCAGTATATACAACCGATCCGAGCTTTCAAGAAACCCATGGACTTTTAAGTCAAGTTATTGAAATGGGGGATGTCGACGACGGATACCACAACAAGCTCAAAGAACCACAAAAGTGGTACAAGAAAGTCTCAATGGTAAAACATGAACATTGATCAACAGTTGTTGCTTGTCTTAAAAAAAAACCATAGAAATACACTATAGGTATACTTTGTGGGCTTGGACTCTTCATTGGGTTGACAAAAATGGTTATGAATGAGCTAGAAAAGACCTTTTTGAACAAGAGTCATCTTTATTACAACGGTACAGATTATTTTGATGCCACTGTGATATACATATCCTTGGATGGGTTTCGAAATGATTACTTAGATCGAAAGGTCACTCCCAATATTCATTTGCTAGGTTTGACTTCACCTTTATTTTATGCATAATTTTTTTTTTAATCTAAATACTCTCTTTCATTTTAGCGGAGCAAGGAATTCGCGCTGAATACATGAACCCTTCTTTCCCTGTAAGCTATTCTCTTTTATTTCTAAAGAAGAAAAAAAACATTTTGCTTACACGATATAGTCCATCACATTTCCAAATCATTGGACTCTAGTCACAGGATTGTATCCTGAAGCACATGGCATCGTTGCCAACGAATTTTACGATCCAATTCTCGGTGAACAATTCATTCATAAAAACGCCTCCATCAGTGGCGATCCTAAATGGTGGGGCGGCGAACCAATTTGGATTACTAGTAAAAATCAGGGCAAGAAATCGGCCGTCATCATGTGGCCTGGATCCAATGTCCCCATCCATGGTGTATCTCCAGACTATTACGTACCTTATACAAGAGAAACCACGGCTATTGATAAAATGGATATCACTTTGGGTTGGCTGGATTTACCCATCGGACAAAGACCTCAATCTATCTCGATTTATATCCCTCAAATTGATCAAAAAGGTCACGGTGGTGGACCAGAAGGCAAACAGGTAAGAGAGCTTACCTATTTAATCGTTCCAAAACTAAATCATTTTGCATCTTTCTTACAGCTAAATTCGGTATTGTCGGCAATGGATGATGCAGTGGGACATTTAATGGATGGTTTGGCACAGAGAAATTTAGAAAAACATGTTCACTTAGTTGTTGTAAGTGATCATGGTATGGCTCAATCGGATCGATCCAGACTTATTTTCTATGATCAAATTCTTTCAGCTGAATCACAATCTTTTATACGTGAAAGAGAAGCCTGGCCTTTGCTAGGTATTCGACCCAAAGACGATGCGCCTGATTACGCCATTGATCAAATTTACAATGAAATCATACAATACATGAAGCAACTACCAGAAGAAGATAGACATTTCCAAGTGTATAAGAGAGAAGAGATGCCTGCTCGTTTTCATTACGATGCTACAGAGCGTGTAGCCCCTATCGTCATGATTCCGGATGTAGGATATATTATCATGCGTAGTACAGATTACAACACAGTGACAGGGAAATACGGACCCAATGGGGTGCATGGCTATGATAATATGGCGTTGGAGATGCGAGCTATTTTTGCAGCAAGAGGACCTGGTATTGATCGATACTATTCACATGGCACTGTGGTGGATCCATTTTATAATACAGAGATGTATCGTTTCTTAACGACTCTGTTGGAATTAGATCCTGCGCCAAATAATTCTACTTTAAATGGTATCTTTAAAGTACATGAAGATAGACTACCCTAGACACAATACTATACCTTTTTCTTATTTGCTATGAACAAAATAGGCAATAAGATTTTCTGTTTATAAACACTGTATCCACCAATGATATTTTTTTTTCCTCTGTTTTTTTTTTGTTTGTTTATAATGTAATATTATCTCAATGTATGTATGCACATTTATATCTTATCGCCGCTATGCTTATTCCTCTATTCTTATTAATTCAGTGTGTGATGAAAATCCATTCTATTCAGCATGATTTTTTAATCTATGCGAATAGTTTATGCCTAACCAAGCGTCAGGGACTGAGCCCCCTTTGACACATAAACGCTTTTTTCCGTCACACATGCAGAATAATCTTGCATAGACTTTTTAAGTGCAAGGGATTATCGCATTGAAGCTTGAGCCTTTAAAGAATACTATAAAAAAAACTTTCATCAAAAGGAATAGAGGAAGAAGAAATGGTGACATATAATACGGTGTGTTTATTTGTCATAGTGACAGGGATTAAATAACACAAAAGTCTTCATGACAGATAACAGATTGTGGATCACCCTACAAACTGCAAATGTTTACCATTGCATTTTTTTTTTTTTTCAAATAAGGGATATGGTCAATAACCATGACTTAATCAAAGTGATGCATACTCTTTTATTATTAATAATTATTTTGCTCAATTTATCATTGAGAAAGTGATATCAATTACTCCACTACCATGAAATTAAATAGATAGTAATCACACAAAAATCTGTATGATGCTAATCTATTAACGGTATCGCCGGGGTTTGTTTTCTAACCTTCTTTATTTAAAGTTTTTTTTTATAGAGATATGCATTATTCTCTGTTTATCCAAAATATGCACTATGCAACTCAAAAGAAACAAATAGACACATTGAGATTTTAAAAGTGTTGTCACATACAAAAATGAAATCAAACCAATTCACTATAAAAGGCCTATCCCATTTACTCCAATTCTCAAAATATTATCTTTTCTTTTCTACACAAGTTAAAACATTATTTCAACAATGCGCGCCTCTACTTTATGTTTCATTGCTCTTGCCTGTTTGATGACTCAATTCACTCAAGCCTTACCTGTCAACTCGAAGAGAGAAATAGAAGTTGGTTCTGCTAATACCAAAAATGGTCTCGATTCTTCCTCTGCTGCTGGTACTGGCATTGAAGCCCCCGGGTCGGATGCTAAAGCTCTCGCTGCTACTGCTGCCTCAAAGGATAAAGCTATTGCTGTTGCTGCTGCTGATTCCAATGGTACCGGGCCTGAATTTGCCCAAAGTAAGGCAGTTGATAAACATATTGGACCCGTTGATCTCGCTGCTGCTGCTGCTCTTGCTGGTGCCGCAGACAATAAGAAGCCTGGTGCCGCTGTTGTTGGCGCTCTTGCCGGTGGTGCTGGTGTCGATGGTATTGTTACTGTTACCGGTGCCGCTACAAACGGTAAAACTGTTGGACAAGGTGGTGCTGGGGAAGGTCTTGGTGGTGCAGGATCTGCTACTGTCGCTAATCTGGGTACACTTGCAATTGCCAAGTCTGGCGACATTGAATATACTCGCCCAGGAGCTAATTCTTCTATTTAAGCTTTTTTCATGCTAAAAGACAAAAAGATAATTATAATAATCTGGCATTGCCGGATAGAGATATATTGTATTTGGAATAATTTAATCCAATAATAAATAAAAACCCGAGTTCCTTCATTTCAAAAAAAAAAAAAAAAAAAAAAAAAAAAAATCATTTAAATATGTGTTTAGATTTTCGTTTTTATTATTGTATACTTAATATCTCAACTTCCATGATTATCTGGTCAACTAACATGCACACAGTACTTTTAATGATTTGGTGTGATGTGTTATCCCAAATATGTACTTAAGGATGTACAACATTAAGATTCTGGAGTAAATATATTTACCAGAAAAGTCCTTTTTTAGTATATTGTAACTACTCTCTGCGGCTGCTACAAGAAAATGTTCTAAATAAGCTTAAAAATATGATATAAATTAAAATAATACTTAGGCGGATAACATTATGTCCATGCTTTATTAGTTAATCTTAAAGTACATAGTTTTAATTTATATATTCATCGAGTGAGTCTTTTTATAACGCAGGCTGACGTGTGGTAGTAGTAGTTTCTGGTGTCTGTGGTTGTGTTTGGCTGCTATTACTATCAGGAGCTTCATCGGTATTGGTAGCAATGTCTCGAGACGTACTTGATGTATGTTCTGCTTGTAATTCAGAAAGGTTTGGAACTATAACTTTTGAATAAGGTGGAGGAACAGGCAATTCGTAGTAGGAAGGTAACATTTCTTGACTACCGTATCGATAGTGCTCATCAGCTGACCGTGTAACAGCCCCTCCTCTGCCCAAACGTTGCTGATAATCTTCTTCTCTTTGTCTTATCGAATCGGTCAGTGGTATTGATGGTAACTGTTCAATTGGGGTCGGTTTTGCGAAAAACCAGAAGGTTACCCAAGTTACTCCTACAGCGCAAAGCAGAAATGATGCTGCGTTATGCATACCTAAATATGTAAAAAAAAAGACATGAATGAGGAAGGAATAAAGATTCTTTTTGTGGGTAAATATTTACGTACTAAGATATTTTCCTTCTTCTTTAAAGAATATCCCATCTTTTTCTCGTAATGTTAATGTAGCTATTAACATTCCCAAAATCAAAAGAGCAATTATTTTCACTTTGGCAACACTGACTGTATTGATACGTTTCAATATATAGACTGAGGAAACAATTTCGGTGAGAATAGTGGATATCATCATAGCCTCCTATTATGCAGATGTATATTGTCAGTCAATCGAGTATGAAGATATAGTATTATACATTGGTATTTTATGTACTGCAGACTTATTATTGGGACGGCTGTCTGCCTTATTTCCAGGTTGGAAGAGGGAAACTAATTAATTGTTATAAATATATTAGCATACAGACCATGATTTAGCTCTTCTATAAAAATAGTATCCATACGTAATTCAGTCATCAATGAAGCTACACCCAAAATAAGTGTAATATACGATAACTCTTTATACATGATTAAAAAGACAACATGCAATGTTTACATTGAAAGAAACGAATTATTCTTCATAGTTTTTTCCTTTTTTAAAAGAAATTTTGAGATTTATGTCATACAGTGTAACTGTTGCAACAAAACCCTATTGTATCTAACGTTCTGATTGCGTGCCCTGTGAAAAATCTAGGATACAGGAATGCGACTTATTTAATTCTTTGCCATTATAGGACGGAAGTAGAGGTGAATGTGGTTTCTCGGGGCTCATAATAGTAGCTCAGATGTATTGATCAAAATGTAAATAATTCGTTGGTTTAAGACTGCGTGGTGTAACCAAGACAAGAACTAATGCAATTTTCATTGTGATCACTGTAAAGAACAAATAAGCGTTGATTTAAATTGCGAAATGAAAATTTTGGCATCAAATTACTTAATGTGTCTTGGGTGGCACAAAGTGGAAAGGTCACTTTTAACTTATCTTGACTGAATGCTAAGCACACTTTTTTATGTGTGATGATAGATACTGATGATTAGTTTTTTGTAAAGGCCCAACTTCCCATTGACTGAGAAAAATCAGGGCTATTATTACACTATGTATTTTTCAAATTTAAAAGATCGATCTGACGTCACGATCTTGGTGGTCTTAATTGGCTACGTTTTTATTCACCCAATGAGCAAAAAAACACGGGTGAGCAGATTTTTTCCTTTTTTTTTTTTCATATTTAAATAGCGTTGGGAAAAGCCTTTTTTTTTTTTGTTTTTTTTTGTTATTTACTTTTGACTGGGTTTTGATATATAAACATATATTCGAATAAGCCTAGAATAAACAAAGTTTGAAAAAAAAAAGAAGCAACGTTTTTTTATTTAGAGCAAAAAAAAAAAAGAAAAAAAAAATCCCCCCCACAAAAAAATAGTCCCCTATGGAAAACACGCATATTAAAAACGAAGAAACCACCTCTGTGACTTCCAACAGTGAGACTGCCACCGTTGCTGCTTCTTCTAGTACAGAGAATACAACTGTGACTAGTGGTAGTGAGAACAATAACCCTACCCCTTCTGGATTCCAACCTTTTGAACAATTACATGAAGCTGTTTTAGCCGCTGTAAATAGTCATGGCATGCCACCTGGTTTTATGGCAGCTGCCGCAGCTGCTGCAGCAGAACTTGTTTCTAATAGTAATAACGACGGTGATCAACCCATGCTCGATCTTCAACCTATGCCTGAAGTAGACTATGTTAAAAAGGAGAGTGTGCGTGCTTCCAACAGAGAAAGAAAGAAGAAGTGGCGTATTCATAATGAAGAAAGAAGTATGTGATTATTACTTTTGAAATGAAAAAGAGTCCTAACCCTATATTTTTTTTTAACCATCTAGACAAGGACAATGATTTAAGATGTCGAGTAAATAAACGAGCCAACAAGTTATATGGGCCAGGTGATAATGAAGCCAAACAAAAGTGGATCCAAGATGAATTTGAAAAGCGTCGTCAAAAACGTATGGATAAGGAACGTAGAAAGCATATTGTGAATAATGTTTTAAGTGTGCCAGGCAGTGGTAATCCTAACAACAATGACGGCAACGTTCAATTGGGTAATATTGGAACGGATCAAATGTCAAATTACTATACACCATTACCACAAATCGATACTGATACAGCCGATAAATTATTGAATTTCCCAACTGATTTACAAAGGCAACTTTTGGAACAATTGAACAACAGTATGTTGGCTCTTGCCAATGGCATGCAGCAGAGTAGCACAACATCCCAGTCGGAAGAAGACAACAATAATAATAGTAATAATAATAACAACAACAACAACAACAACAGCAATGAAAATAATGATTCCAATCAAGTATCTACATTTACTACAAATTCGACTGCTACAAATGAACAAATTCAACAGGCCATTACACAGGGCCTTTCCTCTAATACAAGTGCCACCAGCAGTGAACATAATTCTCCAATGGTGGCTATGAATACACCTGTGATTGAATCTGATATGACGGCACCTACTGACAATGATGAGTTAGCTTCTAACACGGTCGAAGTTAAAGAAGAAAAGAAGCCAGAATATCCTATGGATGCTGTACTTACCCTAATGCAATTAAACGCAGGCTGGAGACAATAAAAAAACATTTTTTTTTTTTTCTTCACAATAAAAAAAATGATGTCACATTTTTATTTTATTTTTTATAAACCAGCAAAAAAAACCACCTATTTTTCTTCTTGTTCTTCTTTCTTGTCACATAGATAAAAAAAAAAAAAAAAAACTTAATTAAGAAATGAAAACCACACTATTTGTTGCAGGGTTTAACTCAAGAACTCGCGCGAGAAACCTCGCTTATGAATTTGAAAGGTAAAGAAGCAAAGAACTAGAAGTAAAAAAAAAAAAAAGAAACAAATCTTATAAATATTCCCTTTCTGATAGATATGGACGTCTTGTTCGTTGCGATATACCCGCGCCTAAAAGCTACTCCTCTAAACCGTAAAGTTAACTGGAAAATAACACGAGCCTTTTTAAAATTAAAAAAAAAAAAAACCACGTTTATAGCTACGCATTTGTTGAATTCGAAAATACTCGAGATGCTGAAGATGCTTTTAATGAGATGCATGGGAGAACGATTGAAGGATATACTTTGAGCGTTCAAGTAAGGAAGAGGAAAAGAGTGGACGGAAGAATAAGTATTAACACTTGTATTTTAGTGGGCAAGAGGATCAAATAGCTCGTTTGATCCTAATAGGCGAACACACCACCATCACCATCATAATAACAACTCGAATATGAATAATGCTCCTCCTCTCAATCCTAATAACACAAGTAGATCTCGGAGTCCATATCGTCGCGAGCGTTCCTCTTCACCTCCTCGGGGCAGGTCCCCTCCCCGCTACAATAACTCTTCGCCAACACGTAACCGATTACGATCAAGATCGCGTTCTCCTCTTGGCTCCAATAGTTTTCAAAGACGTCGTTCATTTTCACGTAGTCCAATTGACAATTAAATATAATTGTTTTATTAAATAAAAATATCTTTTTATATTTTTTTTATTAGAATGCTGGCTTCTCTATTTATTATACAGGTTTTTTTTTTTTTCTTTAAAAAAAAGGTGGGAAAAGATCCATTATAACTGTTTACTTAAACGTGCTAAATGATAATTAATTGTGTTTGTGTTCTTTGCTTTTTGCACCTATATTTTCATATACATAAAAAAAAAAAGGGTTAATATCTCTGCCATGTCTCTATTTCTCCTTTTTTTTTTCATTGTAACTTTACAGGTTTGCCCATGCAAAGTGTCAAGGACTTTGCAATAGCTGTACAACGTTTATCATCAACACCTGCAGTTGCCCAACATTCGAATAATGCTCCCATTTCGGCAATACAAGGACTGGCTTCAAGGATCTTCTTTGGTCTGACTTTAAGTTGCTTCAACTTCATGATGGATCGTTTTTAATTAATGTTGAATGAGGAAAAAAAAAAAAAAGACAGGGCCAGAAAATAGTGGAGGAGGGGTCCCACCATAAAAACCGGAGTTCACATATTTCAACGTCACTTTTTTTTACTCTCTCTCTCTCTCTCTCTTTTCTCGTAAGTCTTTGGCTGGTCACTGGATTTGTATTGCATTAAATCAAAAAGTAAAACATCTCTAGAGTGACTGGACAATAGGCTATATTACTAAAGAGACTGAGCATTTATATAAAGAACAATTTCTAGATCGTAAAAGAAGTGTGTCCATCATAAACTGGGATTCAAAAATCATAAGCGGGCGGACCTTAACCATCAGGACTAAAATCAAGAAGTAATTGCTGCTAGCATTTAGTACATGTGATCTTATACTTGCAGCAAAATGAGACATTTTGTACACTTTTTATCACGAATCTCTCATGTGACTAAGCTTTGAACAGTGGCTTTTCACTGAAGGAAACATCACTGAAACTGGATGGTCAAAGCATAGCGAACCCATCGTGTAACTAAAAAGTGTATAACACAGGAGATATAGAACTTCATGAAGCTACTTTAGCATAGCGTGGTATCACAAATAAATTAAAATATTGTTTACAACTATATGTTTCTTCAACTTGTTGATCGTACTAGAAGAAACTATCTTGTATGTGATTTATTTACAAGATCAAGGGTATCAATGAACGCACATGACTCGGTCTATTAATCACTTTGACTGATTTTATTTTTTAAACAGATAACCAGGCATGTTTTTCTTGAAAATGACATCAATAGATACCTCACCTAATCTATGAATGTACTACCAGAAGATGAAGCAACAACAATTTTTAGCATGACATTTCCTTGTCAACCATCCTAAATAATGCGAGCAAAAATCTATTTATATACCCTGCATGGAAGAGATAAACTCAAAGCACGTTTATTATTGATTATTTGTTACCAAATTATTACCTTAGAATCATATAATAAATTACATATTATCGTTAAAACTACATACTTTTTGTCCAATATGAAAGTAAGTGAACACATATAACGTTGAAAACTGGATAAATCCACCAGTTTAATTTGGCTTTTGTGAGGTTTTTGGTGGGAGGGCCATTGATACGCTTCCTTTCAAGAAAAAAGAAATTAAGTGGTAAATATGTCCATTGTTGGCACAAGATCCTCACATGTACACACCCAGTAGAAATTTTTGAAGTAGTTATTTTGGTAGGTAACTATTCCAACAAATGTTTGTGTAACAATAGAAAATAGTATAAAAAGGATGATTACCCCCTTTTTTTTTTCATGGATGAAAGCAGGATCTACCACACGGTCAGCGCTAATAACCGTATCTTTAGATAAGGCTTCTCTTATTTGATAGGTTCATTCCAGTAACTGTGAGTGTCTTCAAGACGTTTTTATCTGGGGTTGTGGACACCAGCAAGATCGGAATAATAGGAGCTCGTCATGGTGTTAGACGGTCTTTTTTTTTTTCATGGAAAAAAGGGTATTATCTATGTAGATACAGTAGTCGCTCGACTTATGGGCGACCGAATATGTTTAAAATTACATCCTTATATTCTGACAGTAGCATGGATGAAAAACGAGTGTGTACATAAAAAACACAAGATTCTTTGATTTCCTGATATGTCCCGTTGTTATTCTACTGAAATCCAAAACATCCGGATTTCAACACTAGAAGCATTTTCTACACGGGCAGGCTTTTAAACTAGTAACCCTGATAAGTTGAGGATGGTCAATCTTGATATATACCAAGTTTTCTTTTTTGCTTTGTTCCTATTTCCCCCCGCCTAACAATGTGTCTTCAATTGAATTTTCTACATAGTAAACCATCGTTTCCGGACATAGTTTCAAGCCAAAAGTATACTCAGAATTAGCTAAAATATCATGTTGGACCATTATTTTGAGATTTTGAGATTTTTTTTTTAAGACCTAAAATTGACAAAACACAAAGGGTATACCTCGAGGGAAATCTCAAAATTTACAAATGACCCTTTTAAATACCCTTCCTGTAGATTTAATAAAAAGTGTTCCTATATAACTTTAGCCCAAATTTAATGCTCTTTACACTGGTCATGTTTTTAGAGTAGTTTCATCATGACAAAAATTATTTTGAGCGCATAATTAAAAAAACAGTTTCTGTTAGACAAAGTTTAGTTTTGACATATGCAATTTTATTTTAAAATATACCAAAAGAAGCGCTTTAATATTTTGAGCATTTTGGGCATAAAATTATCTTAGTAAAAGTTTAATATCCAGGGACTTTACTTTGACACAAAGATTATGGAATGTCATTTTTATTAAATCGTTACAAGAAAGAGCTTGAATAAGCCACATGTATCGGAGAATGAAAATAATTGGACACTGCGCATGTTGTTTTAAGACCTGCTTTGAGAGAGGAGGTCAGCAGTAGAATGAGTCGCAGTTGAGTAAGACCAAGTTTTGAAGAATCAATGGAAGCGAATATGCAACAAACCTTATCTACGGGAGTTAACAACAAGTATAAATTCAAATATATTCTATAATGCATTTAGAACCAAGTGTGTACTTTGGGATGACATACGCCAAAAGCAACCTCAATATATGTATGTTTGAATGTCCTTTTATTGCTTATAAAACAGTACTCAAATTATATAGCATGAAAGATGCTCCTTGAAAAAAAAAATAAGGTCCTGAGTTTTTCGCATAGTGCAAGCATAATACAAAAATGTATTTTTATTTTCTAAACCCAGTTTCGTGTTCAAAAAGAGAAAGAGACCTAAAGTTTGTATCACGCATATTCTCTCCCTGCATCGCTTTAATCATGGAGCCGAGTAATTTAGACATAAACACGTTAAACAAAACATTACCACCTATACCAGTCTGGGATGAAGAACCAGCACCAGCCCATCAAAGTAGTCCTAATGCACTTCGAGAATTGGACATGCTTCTGAGAGATTCAACAAGTGCTGATGGTCAAGAGGTAAATTTGCCTTCAAGGCTAATATAGCTATTCATTCACTCATTCACACTGCTTAAAAGACGGAGCACAATAGCCACGATGATACACAGTCAGATAGCGAAGACGATTACTTGGATGAGGATATAGACTTCAACCAAATCACGTTTGATGAAGTTGATGGTATAGACATTGTTACATGTGTGTGGTTGAACAATATTAATCTTCAAGCGAACATTTAGACCAATTGTCAGCTTTCCAAGAAGATGAAATTGTAAGTCAAGCACTCGAGAATGAAATGGATTTACGTGAATATGCAAAACAAATTGCCCAAGAAAAGATATCTGTTCAGAGGGACCTGGAAAACAACTGTAAAAAGAGAGAAAGAGAGAAATAGTTTTTTAGATGGATACATATGGACAAAATATATTAAATTATGTTTGCTGTAGATCTTGAGCATGTTCAATCATTCGTCGACTTACATACAGAGATCCAGGTAAAGACTATAAATTACCATCAAACGGCAAACAAAAACCATGTGTAACAATTTATAGTCTTGCGATGAAGTTTTAGGACGGATGGAGGAGCTTTTAAACGTATTTCAGAGCGATCTAGGAAATATCAGTGGTGAAATTCAAAACTTGCAAGAGCAATCGACATTTATGAGTGTCAAACTGAAAAATAGAAAGGTAAAATAGATCAAATGTATGGACTTACATTATACCGACGCATTTTTTATGTAGACAATTGAAAGTAGACTAGGGAAGGCCTTACAAGGGATGGTTATTCCACCCTACGTTATCAAGTAAAAAAAAAAAAAATGTCATGTTCATCTCTATCACATAGTTTTTTTCTAATCTTTTTTAAACTCTTAGGAAAATCACCGAAGGCGATGTGGATGAAATGTGGTTGGAATATTTATTAACCATCAATAAACAAATGAGGTTTGTCAAGGCAAACCAGCATCGACCCATCAAAGCGTTGCGTAACGTTGGACCTGAATTAGAAAAGCTACGATTAAAAGCTGCAGCGACTATCCGAGATTTCTTTATTTCAAGAATTCAACTTTTATGTGTTCCTAATGCAAACATACAAATCATGCAACAGTCCGTTTTTTTAAAATATAAAGAATTGCACTTCTTTGTACTTGAAAGACATCATGAGGCAGCTAGGGAAATTAGACAAACATATATGAACTCATTGAGATGGTATTTCAGTAATCACTTTGAAAGATACAGCAAAGGGCTTCTAAAGTTACAGGTAAAACAGCTGATCACCTTAAATTGATTGATTTATTTTTTATTGATTTTAAAAATACTTTACTCGTTTAGACAACAGCAGCAGATAAATCTGATTTAATAGGTGTCGAAGAGAATGTCCGAAAAGGGGGATTGTTTGGAAGTAATAAAGTTACACTCAAAGACAAAACAAATTTGTTTGCGCTGGGTGACAGAAGCGATACATTACGGATGCAGGATCCGGGTGTTATTATAGTACACGTTGCGGAAGCAAAAGAGCAAAAATACCAATTCGAGCAACTCTTCCGAAGCTTCAATTTGACCCTGATAGATAATGCTAGTTCCGAATATCTATTTATATACGAGTTCTTTTCGAGGGATGCAAATACTGCAGCCGATACAGCAAAGATAATGTTTCAGTTCATTTTCGAGCCAGCAGAAAAAGTCGGTATGGTAAGTTTTTTTTTTTTTTTTTTTTTTTTTTTTGGAATAAGTCACATGTTGTGGATGGGTCAATAATAACGGATATGGTGATAGAATTTTACAAAAACGTATGTTGAAAACTCTTATGATGCAGTTGGCCTTTTATTATGTATTCGAATCAATACACAATTAGCGCTTGAACTCCAGAGAAGACGAGTCCCAGCTTTAGAAGGATATACCAATGCAACCAATATGCTTATATGGCCAAGATTTCAATACGTCATGTCACTTCATATCGATAGCCTTAAGAAAATGTTTAACAGTAAATCTGTCATGAGCGCAGTTAAGGATATTCACCCTCATTACGTAAGATTGTTTTGTAAAAGTAAGAAATTAGATTGCCGTCTAACTCGAACTAGATCACGAGAAGATATTCTGAATTTGCCGCATCTCTACTAGTATTGAATGATGGATATGACGACCCAATTTTATCAAAGAGGTGAGTCAATTCGAGAAACATCATGTATCTGCAAATTTGAAAATCCTAATCATCTTTTCTGTATCAGTGTCCATAGAATGCGAGATGAGTTTGAAGCAGTATTGTCACGAATGTCTCACGAATTTCCTGAATCACCTAGACGTATCGCATTTCTCATCAATAACTATGACCTGATTGTGTCTGTGTTCCAAGTTAGTCTTTGTGCATTTTTGTTCCTCCTTGATCATAGATATTGAGCAATTTTTTTTTGTAGGAAACGCATAGTCGGGCAGTGGAGGGAGAATTAGATTACATGAGACAACTGCTACAATTGCAAACAAGTGCCTTTGTGGACGAACAACTCAAACCTTATTTCGGTGCACTTGTTGATTGTGTCAAGAAATCCGAACAACAACCGCAGCTCGTCATGGAAATACCCGATTTGGAAAGAATATCCTCTCATTTTGCGCAAACTTGGCGCCAATCCCTGAAATCCATCAATGCTTCTGTGATTCAATACTTTTCCAATTTCAAAAATGGTACTACTGTACTTCATGCTGTACTGGGACAATTAATAGTGTATTACACAAAGTTTCTGGATATTTTGGAAAAAAGAAACTTGCGTATTCATCCTGTGGGTGTCCAAACCGTCATGGTAGAAATTAAAAAGTTCAGAAGCACATTTTAAAAATGAAAAAAAAAAAAGTAAAATAAAAATTCGTCCGTTTGCCCAACGTGGCATGGCTATCAAACTATAGAGTAGAATGAAATTTACATTTTTATTGTTACAGGAGTATTGAAAGTATTCTAACAAACGAATTTAAGGTTCACATCAATAGGATGAGAAGCACTTAATTGGGGACGTTGTTCGTATTTATCCTCCAAAATTGCACGCACACTATTCAATAATGCTTGGTAAGATTGATCTGGGTTTTTGCGAAGAGTTTCTAGAAAAGTGGTTTAGTAAAAGAAAAGAAAGAGAGCAATGCAAAACAAACTCACTTGTAAACGCATAACTCATAGCACCAGTAGCTTTTCCAGCCTCTTGAGCATCTGCAGAAGTTTGATCATCCTTACATCTATTTAAAAAGAATTTAATTAATAAATACATTTTTTTTTTAGTTCGGATATCATACCCAGAAAACATAATGACATCAGCGGCAGAAAAGTTGCGTTGCCTATTTTCCTCTTCTACATCGCGGGCACTAAAGATTCCCTTGCCCAACTCAATTAAAGAGGAAATGGCTCTTTGGGTGTCGCCAGCAACATAAGACATACCTGCGGAAATCAAACCTTTACCGGCACCCTTGAATAGGTTTGTATCCTTGATGACACCCTTTGTAGAGTAGACAAATGGCAAATCTAAAGCAGTTCCGGAATGACAGCTGTCAAAAATACAGGTTAAACGACAACCTTCGCATAAAGGTCTGACTAACAAATCATGAATTGTATCATCCACAATTTGTCCTGACTCGCCTTCAAAAGTTGCGAAATCAACAGGATAAATAGTCTCGTCATAACCATCATCTTCGTCCCCGTGAATATCCTTGACTCTACCTCCGTGGCCACTGAAATGGAAAAAGAACCTAGATATATATAAAAAAGGGGGGAGTAAGTGTCTCTTCATATGTAAATAGAACTAATAAACATTTGCCACTTACGAATCATTGGGCTGAGCGTCGGCTACTAGCCAAGACATGGCAGCAAGGATATTTTCACGTGTGGGGTACAACTTGCTGTCGTGGGGTTGGTCATCTGTCAAAATCACCATATCTTCCTCTTGGAAACCATATAATGTACTGATAAAATCCTTAATGTTGGCAACGTCGTTAAAGCAACCGCTCAGTTCATTGTCGGTTCCCAAATAGTTGATACCGATTAACAAGGCCTTTTTTCTTCCTTGACCTATTTTTCAAAATTTTGGTTTTAAATTTTTCCCTTTTTCTTTTAGAAAATAGAAAAAGTATACTTTACAATTGGACAACTTGAAATTTGGGGTCCCAGAATCTTTGACTTTGGGATCCACATGAAGAAAGAATTCACTATCACCGACACTAGAATTATCACCATAAGGTACTGGAAGAATTAAAAGTTAGAGAAAAAAGTTCCCTTTTAACCGATGAAAATATAAAAATTGAGGCTGAGAAAATAAAAGAAATTACCTGGTGAATCAGGTTGATTATGAGAGTAAAAAGGAGGTTGAGGATAATTTGGGTTTGGGTTGTTCATTTCTTCTTGAGTAAAACTAGGATCATAGAAATCATCACCGGGAGGTGGCTATGTATTATTTTGTTACTGGGTATTCATATATCATTCATTACTATTTATTTTATTGCCTACCTGGCGTTGACCTTCATTATCATCGTAAGATGATGCTTGTCTTGAATAGCCGTAATAAGTGTCTCCCATGTTGGTATATGTGGTATAGTTATATTGAATAAGGGGGAAAAAAAAAAGGAAGAGAAACTGAGCCAAGCCTGCCAAAACTCTTATTAAAAGGAAAAATGGGTGGACTTTAAACCTTGATTGACTTTGAAACTAAACATTTGGTCCTGTCGCTACTCCGTTGATCCTGCACTCTGCCATAACAATTGCATTTGCAGGGTTACATTTATGATTTCATTGACACTAAGACTATAATTAGCATATCCATACTATAGCACAAAAGGTTGATATCATTAATCTTTACTGTATGCGTAACCGCAAAAAATGTGCTTAATAGGAAAAACGTTTTCCACAAAGCAGAAAAACGTACTCTTACGTGACCTGTCCAAATTCGGCCTTGCACAAACATAAACAGTGGTACATAATTATGAACCAATGCTGTATTCGCGCAGCAATTTTTTCTTTTCTGCTGTCTATTTACAGGAACGTTTGATTGTAGCACTCGACTTTTTTTTTTTTTTGAAGAAATAGTTTTCCTTTTTTCCACGGACATTATGTTGGCAAGTAGCGTCATTTTTAGATTTTTATTATATGATTTTCATTGTAAACAATTCATGTTGAAAGAATATGCAGTGTTTATATGGTAATGTAAAAAGCGGGAACATTTATGCAAATAAAAAAAAGGCACAGCTTGCTAAACATTTTTATTAATTGTTGTATCCATGAATCTGAATTTACCAGACGGATCATTTTGCCGACCTCATTTTAAAAACTATGAACCTATCTGACAGGCGTGTAGACTATTTGTTGAATTTTGTGGCAAAGTTAGAGATGGAATTCAAAAAAAAGTAGCCTGGGAACTCCAAAGATAGAAGTAAAATCATCATTTTTGTTTATTCAGCAGAAAGAAGTCGCCCTCACATTTAACGAGTCATAGGACCTGAGTAAAAAGCACAACTATATGCTTGTTATATCTAAGGAGCCGCATTTAGCCCCACTGCCTTGTAAGATTATATATATATATAACAGTGTCTTTTGACTGATTTTACTGACGTTTCTGATAAAGATAGTAAAATCAAGACATTCTATTCTATCTACTTTGAATTCTTCGGACGCAACAACGCCCCCGTTTGTTATTAAAGGATGCTTAAGTCGGTATGCAGTTACCACTTTGGAACGGATCGGCGAGTAATGATCACTTGATTTTTTTTTACTGTGCTTATAAGTTTTCTTAAAATTTTTGAACTTTTATAAGTAATCACTATGGTTTCTTGACAAGAATATATAGCTGGGCCACGAGCTGGAGAGTACATATTTTGGCCTGTCTTTAATAGCAATTATTTTCAGTTATTACGTTTTTTTTTTTTTCGTCCACAAATCTTGCTTCGTATGAACGTCTCAATGGGTACAGTCAATATCTTAAATGGTAAAACTCTTCTGAATTGAGGCATAGTGACAGTGGGTTTCCACCAAAATATAAAGTAGCAATGGAAAGTAGTTTTTATTTTACCCCTATTTAACAGTCACGTATTACGGGTATTACGCTTGTTACGCCTATCACGCCTATCACGCCTATCACGCCTATCACGCCTATCACGCCTATCACGCCTAGTACGCCTAGTACGCTTATTATGGCATACAAGGCTGTTAACAAATAAGAAGGTTTAATAAATCCCGCAGTGGTGTTGTTTCAAATTTTGGCGTTAAAAAAACTTGCAACCTTGTCATAGTTTATTCCTACTTAATCATCATAGCTTTCGTGAAGAAGCTTGTTATTGGTAATGATTAGGAGTTATAAAGATAAGGGCACAAGGTCGTTGGAGTTGCATTCTTTTTTTTTTGTGAACAGTGATTGACTACCGAAAGAAGCAGAATCTAAACGGATTAATGTACATGCTGATTGTATATGATCACTAATGATATATTACTATAACAAGGAAGTATGTATAAAGAACAGGTAAAATATGAAGTTTTTTTTTTTTTTTTTTTTTTTTTGTTCATGTTTGAAAGTTCAAGAGTTTAAAAATGGGTAACACGGACGCTGTTTAGAATGCGCTCAGTGTACAAAGAACGTGAAAAATTCAGACAACCCTCCGCCATCTTTAGAGATACAATTAAGGTAAACCAAAGCGAGAAATACAAAAAAAAAAAATGCATTATGGAACAGTGCGCTTTTTTTGTTTCGTTTTTCGTTTCTGTATGTGTACGACAAGAATTAAGGGTCCTCTCCTTTCGCACGGTCATTTTTTTTTTCAGTAACCATATTGATGCAATTCCATTCTACCTAAGCATTTATACAAAGCTAAAAGGAGATCAAGGTTTGTATGGGATGACAGGTATCTCTACTAAAGACAATGCCACTGTGTTAGACCACAATACATTCTCTTGTTAAATTTAAAAATAAATACATAAGGATTGTGGTACTCTAGACCAAAGGAGATCGTGACACAGCAATAAAGACTATCCATTTGGTGAAACCCATCAACCTTAACAAACCAAAGATGTATAGTGTTAGTTACCAGAACTATGTTATGATTAATTCTTTTATTGTAATTATTAGAAAAGATTGAGAGCTCATATTAATATTTTTTTTTGTAATTTCTAAGCTTTGATATATGTATACGGTTCACTGGACAAGAAAAAAAAAAAGGCCTATTTGGTTGTTTCGGACTTCTTAAAGACCTTTCTAATCTTGTCACCATTATTTTCCATCCATTCATGAACACGGCAAGCGTACAAGTAACGGAATTTACCAAACGAATTCAAGCGATGCTTCTTCATGATGATAAACTTGTGTCTTCTTGTCAAAATTTGCTCGGCTGCCATATTACGTTCATCGACCATAGCGTATACACGATTGACACCGTGTTCCTCAGCAAAAGCCATAGCACGGTTAACCAAGAGAGTGGAGAAGCCACATGTTTGGGCATCTGTACGAACATATAAACGAGTGATGGTGGCAGTTCTGGGGACCTGCTTATTGGCAAAAATGATTTCCTTATCATTGACACGGCCTTGTTCCAACATGGCAGGTACAGGTAAATGTAAAAGTTCCAGGATAGCACATGTGAATTGTTTCCAAGGAACGGGTAACATGGTGCGTTGATCGAGGACATCTTCAGCATTGCTTGACAAACCCACCATGCCGCAAATCTCATCATCCAATGTCAAGACCCAGAAATGAGAAGGCATGTGCTCCTCGGGTGCCTTACGTACCTTATTACCGTCTGAATCCAATGTATAATTCAAGTAATATAATTCAGGGTCCTTTAAATCATTTGCAAGAGCTTCATCGATATAGTTTTGAAGTTCGATACGATCGGAGGTAACAAACAGAATGATGACGGACACGACAGCCCAGCAGAAGGTAATGAAGGCTCTGAAGAGGGTGTCATACCAACCGGAAAGTTCGACAATTCGAGTACTGACTGTCTTTGGCAAGACCAATAACAGAATTGTATAGACACCAAACCAAATAAACCAGGTGGCAGGAGACCAGATCTTACTACGCATGCTTTCAAAGACTAAGGGAGCAGAAGAGCTACGGAAAAGGTATTCCACTTCCTCATGATCACTTGCTTGATATGTTCGTAAAACAACTTTGGGTTTGTATTTTGGTGCTGTGGTGGCTGCTGTTGTTGCAGAGACCGGGGCTTGTTTCTTGTTGTTCTTGTTGGCCATATTCAAAGAAAGAAAATATATATATATAAAAAAAAAGAAAAGAGCACGAGAATATAATTCAGAAATTGAGTTTTTAAAAAAATGTCAGTCTTTAAAAAAAAGCATAATCCCAAAAAGAGTAGGAAATTCCATTTTGGGACTTGACACTTTAATTCGTAAGGCACACACACACACGTGAACCATGTATGAGGAAACACGCTCGTATTCTCTCCTACTCTCTCTCTCTTTTTCTATTGACACATTGCACGTATCTCTTTATTGACACATTACTTGACCAATCCTTTTCTCTGCTGTCATATTGCTTTCTCTATTTGACACTTTGCTTTTCATCCCCCTCACATAACACGGGACACATCTTTATTGACACATTGATTCCATCAGTGCAATGAATTCCTTGAATCTAATATAATCTATCATCGAAATTACAGTGCTTTTTTTTTTGTTTATTTTGTATATAAAAAGGTTGGCGCTGCTGTTGTATACAAAATGGGAACTTTTTAGGTGAGTGGATGGGTAGGTGGTGAATGGCATTTAGAAGCCTACGAAACAACATGCGTTAGTTTTTTTTCTTTTCTTTCTCTAATCAAAATTCCAAGTCTACGTACAGGGTAAAAAAAAAAGATAAAAACCTAATGACTGCTGCTACCCTTCTTGTTAAGAACAAAGTGTTCATAAGTACAGTAAGCAGCAAATGCAACAGTGGCAATACCAAGTCCAGGGAACATGGTTCTAAAGTTGGAACCCTTTGTGAAAACGGGAGACTTACGCCAGGCTTCACGCTTGGCCCAAGGATCGTGATAGACGGGTACCTTTCCTTGTGCTTCGGTATGACTTTTGCCTAACATTTGGTGAATAAAAAAGAGTGGGGGAGTTTGTTTTGCAGAGAAAAAAAAAGTGTTTGTTTTATTTTTCCTCACTGCTAAAAAAAATCTCCCCCAGAAAGCCTGGGCAAGGCGAGAAAGGGAAAGATGACGTCGTAACCCTCAACGAATTGAGCTTAAAAAAAATTCCTTGTTTGGCAAGCTCTAATGGCAAAGTTAAGACTTTGGTCTATCCAAATGCTTTTTACTCGACCGAGTATAAGCAGATGCTATTAAATCATCAACGAGATAAATTAGAATAACAATAGTAGTATGAACTTGTACATGATCCACAGATATCCTTGCATTATTAGGTTAGGCGCAGTCCATTGTCAAGCTATTTCTTGCAATTCCCGACCGAAACCAATCCATACAGCCTTATTCCCGAAACAGGCATATCTCTTTGTTACACTTGAATAGTGATATATAAAGAGAGAAAGCCCATCTCTCTATCTCTTTGTCTTTTTCTTCTCTTTTATCTAAAAAAAATGTCAGTTTCCAAAAGAGCTTCCGAATCGCTTTCATTGACATGTCCTATGTTTGGAGCCTTTAGTCAAACACTTAATAAAATGTATAATGCTGATACAAATCCAAATGGTGCTCTCAATTTAGGTGTTGCTCATAACGACCTTTTACAACAAAAGGTCTTTGAAAAGGTAAATTGAATCCGCGGGAGCCTAAATTTCACACACACACACACACGCACGCGTGCACAATGTTTATTCACACACACATATTATATATAAACATAGGCGAAAGCATGCCTTCAATTGACTCCCAATGTAAGCTTTTTCAATGTTTATTATAAACATCTACATACTTACACTTATATCGAAACAGGATTTGAATTACGGGCCATCGGAAGGAACGCAAGAACTGCGTCAACTCATGAAAGACTTCTTCACGCGTCATTTTCATCCTTACTACCCGATGAACTGGACAGATATATTTGTGCATACAGGTGCCGGTGCCTCTATCAATCAATTGTTCCTGTCTATTGGCGATCCTGGTGACTATTGTTTGATACCTACTCCCTTCTATGGCGCCTTTGAATATGATGTATCAGTCCATACTGGTATTCACATCCTCCCTGTCAATCTTCACAAGGAGCTACAAGACATGTCCATTGATCCTGATCAATTGGAGTCATATTACCAGGGCGCTACTTCCGAGGGTAAAAAAGTCACAAGCATGTTGATTACCAATCCTGAAAATCCCTTGGCAAAATGCTATTCGAAAAAAGACATTGAAACTATTTTGGCATTTGCTGATAGACATCATATTCATGTTGTCTTTGATGAGATTTATGCTTTATCTACCTACAGCCAGTTTCTTGACGAGAAAACCGAAGATCCATTTGTTTCTGTCTTGAGTCTGCCCTATAAGGAGTTGATTGATCCTGCCTTGGTTCATGTCATCTATGGTTTATCAAAGGATTTTGCTGTCAATGGCTTTCGTGTTGGGTATGTCGTTAACCAGTTTAATGGTCCTCTTAAACAAGCACTTCGTCGTAGTTCGTATGTATCACATGTATTAAATAGTTGGGTAGTACAATCTCTAACCCTTTTTTTCTTTCTTACACGCTATTAGAGCCTTTAGTTATTTGTCTACCATCACCGATAGATTACTGTGTAATATGTTTTCTGACACAAAGTGGATTGACGAGTAAGAACAAAGAATGATAAAACACTCAACGAAAAGACTGACTGGCATATGTTTATAGGTATTTATTGGAAAATAGACAGGCATTAGCAGCATCTTATACCAGAACCACCGAATTTTTGAAATCCGAGGGAATAGACTATATTGCAGCACAAGCCGGCCCCTTTTTACTGGTGGATATTCGTAATAAGCTAGTGTCTGCTACATCCGAATCAGATGATTTATTATGGGCCAAGATGTTGGATGGGGGAGTTTATTTAGCCAAAGGATCTGTCTTTTATATTGGGCAACCTGGCTTTTTTAGACTTACGTTTGCTTTACCTTGGGATGAATTGCATAAGGGCTTAACTCGGTTTATAAAAGCGCTTCAGTAAGAGTAATAAAATATTTCTTCTGCTAGCATTTTGGTTTGGATGGTTGATTCATCTCTCTCATATCTTGCAGATGTGTGTTGATCAAATTTGGCTTGTTCCAGAGCTTGCAGTTGTAAGAGCTTATCAATGACAGATTGTTTATCAAATTTGTTTGTCTCATTGATATGCACAGAGTCAAAGGAAATGTGTGTAGCATCTTGCTGAGGCTCATATTCAAAGTGGTCAATCATGCTCATGGCTTGTGTAATTTTTGAATATGTGTCATTGATTTCTTGCATCATTATCATCCTTTGAGAATTTGCTGTGTAGTGTATGTATGAGATCTTGTATGTGCATTCATATCATGAGATTTGCTTTTTTACCGTTATTCTCTAGATTCTTCTGTATCAAACCATCGGCAATGATACGACATGTTACTTTTTCAAGCATGGATATGATGTTCATTTCCAATCGAAGGACCCATTCATAGATATCACTTTTTTTCAAAAAAATTATATTAGACTACACTTACAAACTTGTTCTTCATGTTGTACTAACGCATATACATTGCGTTGATATTTCAGTTTGTTCATGACCATATTTTGATATTGAGCTCGCTGACAATACTCTCTCACCACCTTTCCACTTGCTTCATTCTGCAGTTTTATAAATTCTGTCATTTGAATATCTTCATTACGATTGTCGTCCATAATAAATAAAAATGATTAAGAGAGAAAGAGAGAAATGAAAATTTTATTTAATTTTATGATGTCATTGCAAAGTACTTTTGAGTAGCAGATAAAGCATGATATCTAACATCCGAGTCTTCGTGTGTCATTAATTCCATAACACGCTGCTTGGCACCCATGGTCTCTAAATACTTTTTACCGTCCTTTGCATTATATTTTACGTATTGTCCGACATCATGACATGCCACAGCCAATACAACAGGATTGATGGAAGCACTTAATAATCGTGCCAATTGTCTATAATACGTAATATGGGTTTTCATGCTTTTTTTTCCCCAGGAGAGTTTTCAAAGTTACCTTAATAGTCTCTGGTCATCCTCATTCAAGCGGTTCGCATTCTGCTTCCAAAAGTTTTCTGATAAATGAGAAGGACTCCATTGCAATCTACCCGTTTCAAGCTCAGATACATAGACCTCGAATGTACTATATGTATGTAACAACGCATCAGTTGGCAAATCACACACAGGGAGAGACACTTACCTGAGACTAGCAAAATTTTGTTGTAATTCGTTTTGTGTAAATGCGATATCATCTGCAATTTCAGAATCTGCCCACTTTCGAGTAGAAAGATGTTCACACAAAGGCAACAATTTAGCCACTAGCATGGCCGACATATTTTCCGCAGGTGCCTTTTCAATAAAATTCTTTTTTGTGTGTGTGTTTTAGTCAACATTTATAATCTTTGAGAGCACGATTTGAACACTCACTTACTCTAAAGGTAGCCATGATGACACGAATGACTTTTTCTTTGACAGCGGATTTGGCAAAATCGACCAAGGTGGTAATGACGTGACATTTTCGATCCAAGTGTTTGGCCACCTCGTCATCAAATGATAATAGCCAGATAGCAAAGGTCAATTCATAGACCTTTTGAGGCGCACTTGATTTTTTTAGGATGTTGACTAAGGAGTCGATGGCATGTGGCGTGTTCCAGAAGGTACGGCGATAGGCTGGAATATGAAATAAAGCATCCAAGATCTGGATATTTAAATCAATGACATGTTGTTGAGGGCTTTGTAACTGAAATGTCATCCATCGAAAGAACTCGTTGATATCAATATCCCGTTCATTGGTTGAACTAAGTGATACGCTTGTTTACTCTATTGTTTTTTTAATTGTTTGTTTTTATTTTTTATTGCTTACCAAATTAAGAGCGTCAAAACTTTACTGGATTGAATTCCGATAAATTCATCGCCGATACGTAAAGCCCTAAAAATTTTTAAAAAATAAAATGGTGAATGATAAATCAACTAGAGAAAAGAAGACAAGAGATATGACTTACTTGTGAAAGGGACCAAAGGGAAAATCTGAATCCTTCTTTCCAGCTTCATGAAACAAGGCAATTCTTTCTTCGTGATCTATGTCTAAAGTGTAAACAAAAACAACGATTGAAACCTCCCCCCCTTAAAATGTTTTACCATCCAACATATCATGTATTAAGACCAAGACTTTTTGAAGAGCATCTACTCTGGCTAATTTTTGCATTAATTCCAGATACAATGCAGCATAATACAATCCATGCTTTTTGTATAATAGAGATGAGTTTTAAATTAACGATCATCATGCTAAGGATAAAAATACCTCAGCCATAATAGGCACCAGGTCTTCTACAGATTGATTTTCTACATGTTTAATCATGGCTACTTCATCTTCTGTGATCAGTCCAGCCATCCTGTATTCCTACAAAATGCGCATCAATAAAGATGTGTGTCATCCGGAGAGTGAACCCACCTCCCAAGGTATATGCTGTGTGCGTATCTTGTCCAACATTTTATCCAAATAAGGATGCGATATGATGGTTATCTTTACATCCTGTACGAGCTCATTTCTTGCAAACAACACAGCATCAGATTCTCCTTCTACTTTTAGCGTATTATTACTCAACATTTGCTTTTTACTAAAAAAAGAGTGAAGAAGAAAAGAAAAGGAGCGCGTTAAACCATGAAACAAGCGGGAAAAGAAATATAAAGGAGTAAAATAACTGTCAGAGAAATTAAAAAAAAAAAAAATACGTCATGAGATTTATTTATTTATTATTATTAGGTGAGTCAAGTTTAAAAAAAAGAGGGGCGAGAGAAAAAGTCGTGTTGGATGTTACAGCAAATAAATAAAAAAAGAATTATGCAAGTGATTAGTTAGGATGAAAGAGGATTTAAAAAAAAAAAAATAGAGAGGTGATGGATAGGATTTTTTTTTATGCAGATGCAGTGACTACAGGAGTAGCTGTAACATTAGTGTTTTCTTCAATCGTGGTTTGAGCAACATCTTGTTCTACATCAGTCACAACAACAGCAGGGGTTTCTTCTTTGCTTGCCTTTTTACCAGTCTTTTTAGAGAATAATTCAGTCAAACGACCAAGAGGAGAAGAGGGACGTTGATGTGCTTCTTCTTCTAATAAACAGTTTATGTTAGTATATCACACGCCTTTTTTTTTAATTTATGCAATGGATTTACCTTCTGTTTGTTGTTCTGTAACCTCCTCAGCAACGGTAGTAGTAGTAGTATCAGCTTCAGCAACAACAGGTGTCGTAGCTTCTTCATCGCCTGCAGCAGCAGTAGTACTAACAGAAGCAGCAGCAGCAACAGCTTCTTGTTGCTTCTTGGATTTATTTCCACCTCCAAATAATTTGCTGATAAAGGATTGTCGCTTGTTAGTAGCGGAAGTAGTCAAGTTCGCTGCGGTTTGCTCAACTTCTTGAGTAGCACTGGTGACTTGTTGCTCAACATTTTCAGCAACCTCTGCAACTGCTTCCTTGACAGCAATTGTAGGGGATTCTGTTTCGGATCCGCCGGTGACATTCTCAGTCTCCATGGGTTGAAGGTGTTCAATTTGAGGTAACTCTGTGGCAATAACGGGAGCTTCAGCTTCAACAGCAACAGTCTCTTCATCGTTTACCTTGGGTGTAGACTATGATAGAAGAAGAGAGAATATTTAGAATACAGAGAGAAAAGATGAGCCAAATATGTGTTATATTACCTTTGATCTGGAAAAGAAACCGAAAGCCTTGGTAGGCTTCTTGACCTTTTCTTCGGTAGAAGAAGAAGGTGTAGTGGCAGCGGGCTCTTCAGTCAAGACAGCGACATCCTCCTTGATCTCCTCCTTCTTGGGAGACTTTCCGAAAGGATTAAAGATGGTACGACGCTTGGTGACAGTAGGTTTAGCAGCAACCTCTTCCGTGACAGGAGTAACCACAGCAACAGCAGCAGCAGCAGAATCAGCGGTTTCCTCTTCCTCCTCGGTTTCAGCAGAAACAGGGGCTTCCTTTTCTTCAAGGACAGGCTTTTCAACAATGGGATCCTCAGTGGGTGTAACCTCTGGTACACTAGTAGTGGGGACGACGGCAGGTGTTTCAGCAACGATAGGATTAATTTCAGCAGTGGTAGACATGATAAATTTTAAAAAGACAGAGAGATAGATCTAGAAGGAAAAAGAAAAGAAGGAAAGCCAAATAAAAAAAAAAGCAAGTATTTATATGTATTTGGATCCAAAATAAAAATAATAATAAAAACACACGAGGTGAACAAGTCAAAAGTGGGGTTTTAAAAAGGAGGGAAGGAAAGGGTTAGTATTAGGGGAGAAACAAAGCAAAGAAGATGGGTTACACAACTAGTAACATTAGTACAAAATGCATAGGTTCATTTTATACATTAAGAAATCAAGAACTTGTTTAATTTAGTATCAGTGTTTTATTGGAAGAGTGGGCGTGGTATTTATATAGATTATTTCAAAAAGTAACATAATAATAGCTGTCAATCTTCTTTTTTTTTTTATAGGGGATTGCCACATAAGAATGAAAACTAAAAAAGAAATGGCGTTGTTCAAGTCAGGATTCTGATAGATTATATGTATTGTATCATTCATACAGTGCATAATCAGCATTTTTTAAACAATAAAAAAAAAACTTATTTATAAACATGGCATTAACCTCTCTTGATTTATAAATCAAACAATAGTGCTGATTATCCTAATTTGGGTCCTATCAGTGTACGTCGTACGATATATTTTTAAATCTGTCAAAAAAATTAATTATCTTCAAGGTCCACCTTTTTTTAGCTCGAACTGATCTTTCCCATGTGCCGATAGCAAACTACCTCCTTTATTACTATTTTTTTTTCTGTGTATAAACTCACCCTATTTAAAAAAATGACCGTGATTTTTTAATCGTTTTCATTGTACTCACAAAAAAAAAAAAAAAATGCACGTGTATATAGGGGGGGTTGGGCAAAAGGAGTTTTTTTTTTTTTTTTGGTAGTATCTGATCTGCAATGCATTTTTGTCTAGATGGTAACTGGGCAGAAAAATAAAAAACACGTGATTTAAAATGAAAAGAGCCAAGTTATACAACTTACACCCGTCCCTCGGGACAGGTCAAAGCTGAAAAAAAAAAGGTGCCCGTACCTTTTGATCACAAGAGTAACATAATTGATCCTTGGTTACGTAGTGGAAAATATATTTTTTCTGGGGCGAATGTGCTTTGTACGTGGGTGTTTAAAAAAAAAGACTTGTCAAGTGATTTGAAAAGGTACAAGAAAAAAAGCTTGTAGTGCTCAGGTGAGTTATGTTTGTCAAAGAACACATAGTTCGTGTAAAAACAAGCTATTGGAGCTTGCTTTTTTTATTTAAAGGTCAAAGAAGGTCTTTCGTTTTTTTTATTTTTTTTTCATTCATCATCTTGTTCCATCTTTAATAAAAAAAAACTTTTTTTGCATTAAAGTAGGACGAGTCAAACACAAACAATTTCTGTGTGTGTTACCATGAAAACTAAAATAAAAGCGTATTAATCGATGGAATGACGGACTCATTGTTAAGATGCACCAAACAGAGATGCAGTCTAGTTGTTTGTCGTCAAATAAAACGCGGGATATGTACGCTTGATTATTACAAGTGTGTTGTTTGTATACACAAAGAGTGAGGACATCTGACTCCTCCCCTTCTCCCACAACAAAAGTCCTTTTTTGGTCAGAGAGTTTGGGGGTCTCTAATAAGCTTTTTTTTTTTTTTCCCCAGCTTTTTTTTTTAAAAAAGAAAGAATTGTAAATAACCTTTCTTTTACCAAAGAGAGTGATAAAATATAAATAAACTTTTCTTTACACAAACTGTAACTATGGATACTATGCATTTCCTTTCTTAAACTCTTTGCAATACTCATGGGACATCAAAAATTACATTTAAAGTCACCTTTCCTTTTAAATCACCGACTCCCATCTTTTTTTGATTTACCCCGCAATTCTGAATTGCCTTCCCCCTTTTTCTTCTACTTTACCCCGACCCTTTCTTTCTTTCCTTCTTTCTTTTTTTTTTTCACAGACAAAAAGAAATTTAAAGCAAAGAATAAAAATATGCCAATCATGGCAGCTCATAATGAACAACCTTCCAATTATTCATCTCCCACAAATAGCGTATTCTACAATACCAATTATTCCTCACCAGAATCTCCTACCACACATCATAGCAGGAAGCGAAAGCAACAACAGCAACAACAAGAGTTTCAACACTATGGGGATCAAAATCATCAACGGAATGGTGTCCTAGATAATCTATATCAATCCTATAACCAACCTTGGAATAATCATGCCAGCCAGCAAGAATTTATTGTGCCCATCTCTTCTTCCTCTACAACAACAACAAACTATCAGCAACATCATGAAGAGTCAAATCTAGCGTGGCATCGTACTACACCTCCTAGTCATGATTCATTTATTGTCTCCACCAATTATCAACAGCAGGATCCCTTCATTCATTCTACACTGCAAAAATCAAACAATGGCGGCGTGGGAGAAAACTCGGAAATTCATCACTTGCTCAATCTTGATCAACCATCATCCGCATTTCAATTTATTGACACTCATAAAGAAAACAATAATACGCGTACTTTACACCTCAATGACTTGGGTAACTCTCGATTGATGCAACAACATCAACCTTGGTCCGCTTCTCCTCAACAACCACAGACATACAATGGAGCAAATTCGCCAGGTTTCTTCACACCGGGCTTTTTAGAGTCTTTGCAGGAGGATGAGAATGAATCACCTCAAAGTTTCCCTTTTCATGTGTTACCATCCACAAGACATTGGAATCCTTCGCTGGATGATTCTAAATCCAACATTGAACCCGATTCTATTTTGGTAAAACGCATTTATTATGATGTTATAATGACAAAACTAAAAAATCCCCCATCATCTTGGGTGCTATTTAGACATCAGAAAGATCCCTAGTACCACAAGGCACAGATGTTCCAATTGCACTGTTTAATTCAGGGCCCTCATCACCTATTCCTTCCTCTTCATCCTCCCCCTCTCCTCCTCCTCCTCTGTCTTACAAGCTCTCTGAAGACATCTCCATCATTGATCATCGTCGTTCCATTCAAGCCGGTGTCATGAACGCTCGTTTATTGCAGCACGCTGTCAATGCGGCGAAAATGAAACCCATCATTCAAAACTACTTGCTGGGTGGAGCTGAGGAAAAGACGGTAGTGATCCTTACGAGTAAAGTTGCTCAAAAAAGTTATGGTACCGAAAAAAGGTACGACCCAAACACACGTTACACACATTATATAAAAGAAAGAAAAAAACTCACGCGCATATATAAAATAAAAACTTGCAGGTTTTTGTGTCCTCCTCCTACCGCTATTTTGGTTGGTTCCAGTTGGTGGACCGGTAGTATAGGTCAGCAAGAAATCGAAAATGCCAATGAGATTCTCAAAAGAGGTCAAGAAGAATTGAATCCTCCTAAATTAACTGTAAGTATTTCTGGTGAAACATCCACGCCTCAATCGGGCCAAATCGAATGGTATACTGTGTCTGGTGTTACCGTTGGACAAACTGGACATATAAAGTCACAACAACAGCAACAGCAACAGCAACAACAGCAGCAGTCCGCTTCTCAAAATACATTGCAGTCAGAACATCCTAGTCGTTTTCGTAGTAGTTCGGAGTCTCGTAGCAACAGTGTCGATTGGTATCATAATCATCGTCACGAACAGCTTTCTGCTGGTAAATGTGTTTCCAAACACTTGTACATCAATGACGCGGACGAAAAAAGAAAACGCGTCGAATGCTTGATTAAAATTCAAATGGCGAACGGTATTCAATTAGGAACATTGGCTTCCAAGGGAATAAAAGTCATTAGTAAACCATCAAAAAAGAGGCAAAGCGTGAAAAACATGGAACGTAAGTTTTAATTAGAAAAAAAAAAAAAAAGGGTCATGACCATCCCCCCCCCCTCCCACAATAGTTAAACTTTTTTTTTCTGTTCTAGTTTGCATTCATCATGGTACGACAGTATCTCTTTTTAACCGTATTCGTTCACAAACAGTTTCCACAAAATATTTGGGTGTTTCCACCGCAGGTTCAAGCTTTTCCTTCCCCGGTCAAATTAAACAGGACAACACACCTTTAGTAGCAGCAGCAGCAGCGGCAGCGGGGGAAGGTACTTGTTTTGTAGCTCGAACTACCTGTTGGGATCCGTTTGTGATTTGGGTTGTCGATACCACTAGAACACCTAGCGATGCTAAAGAAACCGATACACCTGAAGATTTTATTGGACGCAATGCAAGCTTTACTCGAACTATTCCTTACCCTCCACCACCTGCCATTGCATTAAAAAACAAGACGGGTCAACTGATCCCTATTCACTATAATCAACACGTCGTGTTACAATGTCTGACCACTGGTCTGGTGAGTCCAGTCATGATTATTCGGAAAGTAGACAAGGCCTCAACTGTGGTTGGTGGAGCTCAGAGCACAGATGATTTAAACTTGGTCGGTGGCGGCGAATATGGTGATGAAGTCTTGGGTGACCCTGTTTCTCAATTACACAAAGTTTCGCTTCAAATCGTACAGGATCCAGCCAATGCAAATCATCGTCAACAAGAGTATTATTCACGTCCTCCATCTTCTCCTCCTACTATGATGCCCAAATCATCTCATCCTGTCACTTATTTAGCTTGTCTTAATGATATGGTGGGTATGCACAAAACAACAGATCAGAGAAAACCCATCCATTCGCCTCCTCCTCCTCTTCCAACATCTTCTCATTCCACAAATACAAACTCTGTCATGAACTGGGATGTCTTGGATATGTTTGATATCACTTCTCAAGAAGAAAAAATTATTCGAAAACGACGTGTATCTGCTTCGGCTACTACCGCCGAACAGAATAATATGTTGATGATGCAGCAGCGATATAACCCTAACGATGATTTCTATTCATCCAATAATGCTCCCCCACCACCTACACCCATTCTGAATCCCAAATTCGAAAACTCTCGTAAATCCAGTGTGAGTAGCTCAGGAAGTGGAGGCCGGCGATCTTCTGTTGGTGCAGGCAGTAGTCAGTCGTTAGGTGCTTACTGGAGTGAAGATGTATCTGATGCCGCTGTTTGGACGATTGTAGGTACAGATTGCGCCACGTACACTTTTTCATGTCCTACTGCATTATCAGAAGACGCACCCGTCATTCATAACCCATTTCCTTACCTCACAAGTTTTACAAGTAAACCCACGAGTAAAGATGAAGAAATCATACTTTCCCTTCATGGTGAGAATTTCTCGCGTGATATTCAAGTGTGGTTTGGAGATCAAAAGGCTTTACAGACAGAGTATCGAAGTCGAGAGCTGCTCGTCTGTAAAGTGCCTTCAAGAATTGAACTGTCCGAGGCTAAAAAGTTGTACAATGAAATCCCTATTTTGCTGGTCAGAGGGGACGGTACGATATGTAAAACAAACAAATTCTATCCCTTGTAATCACTCTCTTCCTTTCTTCTTTTTTTTTTTTGCAAACTATTATGCTATTATGCTTTCTTTCTATTTATGCTTTCAGCCCTTCTTCCCCCGCACTCTCCTTCTCAATTGTTTTGAAAGATAACTATATATATACATACACACTTCTTATTATGCCATATATTATACACCCATTATCCTTCCTTTAACACTACCTCCCTTTTTTGTATTTACTAATAAAATAATAATTGATTTCTAAATTTTCCCAAAAAAGTAAATTTAGTCTGTCTCCTGGTTTATACTCATTTAAAGATACAATCAATGATAGGTGCAAAACCTTTTTGTACCTCCATATCTTAATAGAATGTATTTATTGAATTACTCATTGAAAAATATACTTTTGAAATTTTATTTCCTGAATAAATATTTCTAATGCTTTTGAGTGATACTCCAGGAATAGGGACTTTAATGGTGTTAATGAAGTGATGAGCCTTAGTTACTGGCTTTAGGGAAAGACTATGTATTTATTGGCTTCGCAACAAATTAATAACCCCATTTGGCTTAAAGACGATAATTACGTACAGTGCTATGAAGGAGCTTAGGATCAAAAGAATAACCGAAGAAGAATTCTTTTTTTTTGGGTAAATTTGTATTCTCTTTAAACAGTTTAAAAGCAGCAAATGCACCTTTTTATTACTGGAGATATGCCAGTTTGAAATAAATTTCCTGGTATTCTTAGCTCCGCCAAGAATATAAACCAGCTGTTTTTTTTGAAAAAAAAAAAAAAAAAAAAAAAGCGTAGACCAGACGACCAGCTCTTCTCGATTGTTGTCACATGTATCGGTTCCAGCAAATATAAAGTCAATCTTACGATCGTAAACTCAATTTAAGAAGCTATCCGTTACTGGTCTTTTAACCTTATAAATATAAGGGCAATTGATTTATATAGCAATGTCAGTGGGACGAGAGTTCCCCCACAAAGGCTGCTCTCCGCGCCACTATAATATCCCTATCCCTCGGCTAGGGCCGGATATGAAATTACCCAGATATGTTTAGCGAGACCAATAGACGTAGCTTTTTTCTCTTTAGAATCGTCCTGTGTTATAGACGACTACTTTGAAGAAATAATTCAATGTGATATAAGGAACGTGTTTTCCAACATGCTGTTCACCCTTATATTGGTCTCGATATTAAATTTAATTGTAATTCTTAATGATACTCCATTCAATTGTTGTCAGATACTTATATCAGTTGTTCAATTTCTAGATTTATTAGGTTTCTTTTTCTTTTTTGGAGTCAAGCCATTTGAAGACATTGGCATTGCTTGCAATATTTACAGCAAACGTATTTCTGTCGGGAGATATGAAGGACTTTAAAGACTTTGTTTTTGATAATTTTCTGTATTACACGGTAAGTATTTATATGGGAAAACACCGAAAAATCTTATTAATTGAACATGGTATAAGGAACAATTGTATCCCCATTATGAAATGATACGAAGAGATTCTCCCGGATGTCCAAAAGGTTTTGGAAATCAAACAAAGACTTTTTGGGGATACTATTATAAATGTTTTACGTTACCATTCTCGCTAGGAACAATTTTTTAAAAGGTAATTTAAATAAATCAACTGTAAAAACGCGGGTTTATTTTCTATTCAGGTTGATACAATTACATCGACTGATAAAGAAAAGTCTAAAGATCATCATATTGACATTGGATCAGTTATTCGTATATAAAAAGCTAATATCGCTTCGATAAATTAACTTGAGCCTGTACAATTGTCTTGATGTTAATGTCAATTAATTTATTCCACATAGGTACTACGATGAAGAAAACTATGGTTTTTACTGGAGTATAACTTTTTGAAACCTTATTTGCAAGAAAGAACGCCAGACAGTCTTCTAAGGAACACTGTTCCAGGCAACCGGAGTAAACTTAATTTCAACATCACTAACCTCAATCCTTTAAATACTTATTATTGTCTCTTGTCATCAAACAATTTTGCAACCACAAACAGAAATGGAAGACTTTTTATTTACTGAAACTTGTCTGCCTGCCTTTCAAACTGACTTGACGTGCTATCCCCTCTTAAACGTCAATAGCGTTCAATCAGGTCAAGTACAAAATATATCCATTTACCTTTGGTGGTGGCAGACGATCTGAAATCTTCTGATATAATGTGGGCTACTGTGTTTTCTTATTATTTTCAGAATCCCTCTCAAAAAGATTGAATTTAGCGAAAGAGTCTGATGTAGTTTTTTTTTTTATTCCAGAAATTCAACATTATTTGTGATTTGAGAAAAATAACGATAAAAAACAAGTAATTAAGATTAATAGTGCTTGTAGATAGGTTTTCTTTTAATATTCTTAGTTTTTACAAACCGAATCCCTTCTACATTATGGTGGAATGAAGGTATTTAAAAGTTATTGGGATCTGTGGATAAGCGGCATCTAATTATTATTAAAGGTACTATTGGATGGTAGGATACATGTCCGATGGTGCCTTAAATTTAAGCAGTCAGTGCTTTTATGATTGGATTGATTCATAAGCAATGATTTGTTCTAATTGTTCTATCAGAATTGAGAGGACGACAGTTCTCAGAAATTTTAAAAGTCAGTTCTGAGTTAAAAAGCTGTAACTCAGAGTTTACTTGATGTTATTTTCTTTAGAATATTCTTTGGTATTTGAGTCTTTCATGTGGGATCGATGATTATTCATTATATAATAAGTGTATTTAACACAAATTTTAACGAAAAAAAAAGGAATTGTCGATGTACAGATCGGATGATACATTTCATTGATAACAGAAGACCTTCAAAAAAGCTGGCCTAATATTCCTGTGATAGAAAACTCAGGGTTTACACCACTAGAGTATCGACACGTGTTTGATTTTTATACTATTTTATTTGAGGTTACAGATCAATATAAAAGACAAAATAGTTTTTCAAAATATAATAACAGGTTTAAAAAAAACGTGTAACTATATATTTTTTTTTACAAAGTACAGACTGGCCTGTGCGAGATTTATAGTTTTACAAAAGACAAATGTGACCCTACCTGACAGAGGATCCTTTTGTTCTTCTTGTAAATATGTCTCAAGAGGTTATTTAAATTAAAAAGTAAGCACAACTTCGAACTACTCATATCCTATACTATGACTATACATGGCCGTACTAGCATATCGCCCGTGGATTTCTAGGTTTTAGTTTAAGCTAAAATTTAATATTTTTGCTTTTTTTTTAAAAAAAAGGAATCCTTTGTTGTCTAGCCTTTTGATTATAGTATCGTTGCTTCAATAGAATTAATAAACGTTGTTTTGAAGAAAGTAGAAAAAAAGAGAATAAATCTTGTGCATAAATTCCTCTTTATTTAAAGTCTAAAAATAATAATAAAACTGGTTTAAGTCAGAACGAAATAATTAATTATTTGATTTATCACATAATATGGCGTCTTTTCATGCAAGGAAGGAGTAATTCCGCTTTAGGTAAACCTGCAGCAACGTTTTAATGAATCACTTCAATATCTCTGAATGATCATAATAAAAAAGCATCACGACATGAAAAAAGTGTTTTATTCTTTTCAGTATTTGTAAACAATTGAATAATTTGCCATTTTTAAGGTTCTTTCTTAGCCTTAAAAATGCACTGATGCTTTTTATTGATGACAATTTTTTCGGTTATAAATAATTGCAAAGAATAATGTGCTATTTTGGTGCTGGTAATGAGCCCAATCATACACATTTTCCAAAAATCTTTCGCCCTAACACTTTTATGTCGGTCTTATCTGAACTTGGTTCGCATTAATGTCTTTTATTAACGTTGTGTCATTATTATATATATCCCTACGTGTAGGTTTTACCAATTTCGTGTACCTGTAACTGATTTAAAAACCAAACATATTTTTGGTGTAATCACGTTTTTTTTTACAAAAGGTGGCAAAAAATATATCTTGATACTTAAGGATTTCCTAGGTTTTTTAATAATGAAGTCTCTTCCAGGATTGATCAATCTGCTCGTATTTACCGCTCCTTTCTTACTCTTGATTCACATAGTTCTTTAATTACTCGAGACTTTTAGATTTACAACGGTGTTGCCAATAATGTTATGATTTGCTGCCATGCACGATAGCATAATTACACTTTTTTTTAAATAAATATATTTTCACTTTTTTTTTTTTTTGCCTTTTTTTGTAATTGATTCATGACATATTCCGTTTAATTTCTAGTTTTGTCTGATTATCCTTGTTTATTTTTACTATCAGCTCATCTCCTTACAAAAAACCCGACGTATCGATACCTTTCGTCATACAATAATCGTACTAGTAGCATAAGAAACATGATCTATACTATTCATCCAGTGCTAGATGCAAAATTGTGTTTCATATACGTTTAGATGTTTTATTTACCAGAATTTACTACGAGCATCCGTTTTGATAAATGTAATGCCTGATGAGACTACGAGTTAAAGCACAAATGTTGTAGAGTAATCCAAATTGTACTAAGTCTATACCAATGGGTCAATACGCAATGCTATATATTAAATTTAAAATCATTCATTACGTCCTATTTGTTTACATATATTGCAGGTAATTATAGATTATTCACACACTCGAATCACTAAAAAATCAAAATAAAAAAATAAAAAAATAACTGAGCTAAATTCTTGACACGAGATTTTTTTTTCCGGCTTGGGCTTTACATGTACCTTTCCGCTGAAAATACTTTTGGTCTTGAAATTTATAACCTTAATGTAAAACAAAAAGGGTATGGTACGTATGATTTTCAACTTTACCTGCTTTTTGTTTGCAGTAAATATGCAGATAGCGGAAAGATATATAGATATCTCAAGTAATTTCTCTCCTCCTGTTGCCCGTATGACGCAACTGTTACATTTAGTAGTGTCATGAGCAAGAGCATAGAGACGGAAGTGCAATTTTCTATTTATGTTTAAAATAATTTACAAAAAAAAAAAAAAAAAAAAATTGAAAAAAAAATGAGAAAAATAAAAAAAATATAGAAAAATGAAAAATACCGTTTTGAATTAAACAAATATGAAACTTGTGGAATGTACCTTTGCTTATATACTTTTTACTCATATCTAAACATTGATGCGTTTCTTTTGTTCACTGACGAGTGTTTGTCAAGGATTCTCTAATCATATAAATGTGGTCATAATAACTTTAAATAGCTAAAATTACAAGAGCGCACAATCTCTTAGTTTTTTTTTTTTTGTTAAAATAGCTATTAGTGGATCGATATCGTGGATTGTATGTTACACGGCTAACTAGAATATTCTATGCGACATATCCTGGAACCGATACAGCGGCTGGAGTATGGAGACAACGGAATGTAGCTAAAAAGTAGCTTTGAGCCAATAAAAAACTCAAAAGGTACCGCGCTATTGGAGTTATACACTATTTTCATAAATTTTTCGTGCACGCTTAGAATAAAACTTCAATCAGCGACGGAATAAATAATCGCTTAAAAATTAATTAATTTTCCATGCATAGTTTACAAACGAAATGAACGAAAGAGAAATATATCTGTTATCATTAAATGGGTATACTGCTAAAAGTAGAAGAACAATTTTTCATCATATTGAAGGACCCGAATAAGTGCACTATTGTATGCGTATAATATGACTTTAATTTAATGTCACTTCATCCAAAAGACTAACCTGCTCGAGCTTGCTCTTGAAAATTGAACGATTGGGTTTAAACCAAATAATTATTGTCTTCTTTTTAGGCCTATTTTGATACGCACAAACGAGAAAAACTTGATATTGTTGTTATTCACCCATAAGGGAAGCGAGGGGTAGCAACCCCCCCCCCTTTAGATGTGTTGCGTTACCAAGAGTAAATTAAATGCCACTACCTCGTCATGAACGACACAGTTATTGGTAACAAACGTATAAGTGGATAAATATATGGATGTACCAGACTTCCTTCCTTACCTGACACCCTGAAACGGTAACCTGTTTTTTTTTGTCAAACTACAAACAAAATACCTAAAAACGCTCAGACAAGTACTTGGTATTTAGAGTTTTACTTGAAATAAAGTTTTATTTCATTGTATGTATTAGGGGTATTTCAACCAATTTTTATTTTACTTTGAATAACACAATTATTTTCCGTTTGCTTTCGTATAATTTCTGGGCAATCCGAATTTTTCTATAATGAATATGAGGTATGTACCTTCTTGCAAAAGATATATATATAAAATGAAAGCTAGAAAAAGTGTATTTATTACTGCTTCATGCGAATTTCATTGTTCTTTGTTTTTCTCCCCCTTTTTTTTTCAACGAATTATTTTAAAGTCAGAAATGAACAATGAAATCTTATATAAATAGTTGGTAAAAAAGTTTACCTCAATCCTTACTCAATTTTTATTTTTCTCTTTCTTTATTATTTTACGTATAACTATCTTTATTCTCAAATTCATAACACTTTGTACGTAAAAGGTAAATATTGTAACAACCAATCCAAAAATGAGTGACATTTATCTAACATGTTAATATAGCAAACTTCTTACTTCAAATAACTGCCCTTTTTTTTTACCAGCATGGACTCTGATAGATCCTTGTCTGGTACGCCGGGTACACCTGGAAGCAATATGAGCACATCTAGCTCTTTGGCTCCTGGCGATCGTATTATATCTGTTAAATCCTCTATTGATGGTATTGGTTGGGACCCAGAGCGACGTGAAAGGCTCGAAGAATATGTAGTGACAGTCCACAACATCACTACACACGCATACTCACTCTCAAAGTACATTTTTTTGCGTGCCATTCAAGAAGATGAGAACTTTGATATCAGGCGATGTATCAATCGTGATTTTTTTGCAGAGGTCTGGCTCAAACTGACTCGGTATGCACGAGGAAGGGCTGGCGGAAGAACTGCGGCGACTCGTGCATTCATTGACACTTATCTTGATGACTATTTGGAGGTCACTGGTTTTGTTCCACCAGATTTCCGTTATGGTCAGCAAGCATCTTTAATCGAAGGAGCAAAGATCTTTACATCTTATAGCAACAATGTTCAGATGCGTTTGGGAAGTCATCTTAGACAAGCTGTTAATCATCTACTTCGTATTCGACAAAGAAAAGCCGAATTAATTGCTTATAGAAGACGTGAAGGATTAATTGATGCACTGATAAAATCTGAAGTATACAGAGAAATAACTGAGCCGGCGACAAGATTCAAGGAACTTATAGCTAGAAGGTTACCTCAAGATTTTGTATTGGACGGAGAGCAGTTCGGGGACCCTATCTACAATAACGCTCTTGAAATTCTTCGCCCTGTCCTTACCAGTTATCCCGTTGACTACCGGTTTCGTGGAAATAGCATTTATTTTGATTCCAAAGCAAGACCAGTTGAACATATGCGGGCTTTTTACGAACTGGCTTTATTATTTATTGATATAGAATTACCTGTGTTTAATTGCTTCCCATTACGCCGCTCTTGGATTCCTTGCTACACAACCATCGATTCAAAAATTCTTTGTCAAAATATTCTTGGTCGTCGGTGGACTAATCGTCAAGATAAGATAGCACTTTGGCGTGAAGTAATTAACCTAAACTCGGATGCACTCAAACACCAAGAAAATGGCGAGCTCCAGTTTAGAGGAACTATTCAAACGGATGGAGTAGGTGTAACTGTGATCAAGAAAAGAATGGATCGTGAAAGCAGATATACTGCTCGTTTTGCTGTTGTGGTTGAATCAATTCAGTACATTTCACAAGAGATTGCTCAAGAAACTGTTGGAAGATGTGTTACAATTGATCCTGGACGAAGAGATTTGCTATTCTGTGTGCATGAAAACTCAACCGCAAACAATCCAAACAAGTTTCGATTTACCAAACAGTACCAAGACAAGTTTGAAAAGATCAAAAAATACCGTAGAATCCGTGAAGCTGTGAAACCCGCTAGAGTAGCAGCCGCTGAAAGGCTTTTGGTTAATTATGATTCCTTGAATAGAGATGAATTTGAACAGTATCTTGAAAACAGGTCCAATATGACAGGCATTATCCAAAACCACTATGTCAACTTCCGAACCAACCATCGTACTGCTCATCCCTTGCACAGAAAATTGCGGCTATCTGCCTATATTAGAAGACAGCAAGGAAACGAGGATCTTATTTCAAAACTAGATGAACAGTTTGGTGTCGAAGCTGTTTATGTTATGGGTAACTGGTCTTCTCCTAATGCAAGATTTCATGAGCCGGTCCGAGGCCTTGGATTCCGTCGGTTGCTTCAAAAAGCTGGTAAAAGGGTGTACTTGATTGATGAATTTAGAACAAGTCAGTGCTGCCCAGCTTGTGAACGTAGAAGTCTTGAAACGTTTCGGATGGTGGATAACCCGCGCCCTCATAGACGAAGAGCAAATCCTCGTGTAATCAGACATGGTCTCTTAAGGTATGTTGATTTTACATGTTAATAATTTCTTCATCTAATAATTTTTTTTGTTGTTCTTGTGACAGATGTACAAATCAAAATTGTAGAGCCGTGACTAATAACACAAATAGGATTGTTCCTCGTCTATGGAATCGTGATATGGCTGCTTGCTTGAACATGGTTGATATTGTTCGATCACTTCGTGCTGGAAATGGCATTCCCCCAAGATTTCGACGTGGAGAGGTTCCCCAGAACCAACGGAGAAGAGCAAGAACCCAAAATGAACAAGCAAACATTAGAAATGTTCGTCAACGTCGCAACTAGAATTTTCCAGGCCTGTTATCGCAGGTCAACCATAGATACACTTAAGTGGTAAGCTCATTTTTTTTTTTTTTCGGTCTTTGACACAATCTTTTTTTCGGAAGATGAACGTATTTTTTTTACGTTGTGAACGAATTATTTTTTTATTTGTGAACGAATTTTTTTTTACATTTTGATCTAATATTTTCTGAAAATAGTGTATATGTTCAGAATGATATGAAGTGGGCTTTGCATACCTTATTAGATCTCCGGTTAGAGGTTTGATCTTTTGCTTTTAAAATAGAGTTTTAAAAACACGAAATTGGTTATTTTTTACGAGTGTTACCATCCGATGGTTTTCCCCCAGCTATTTTTAAAAAAAACAGTGCGCCTTTTTTCCTCTTTTTTTTTTTTTTTTTTTTTTTTTTTATTATACACGTCCTATTTTTTTTTCATTTTTTTTTTTCGAAAAGAAAAAATTGTTATCTTTAGTCAAAGAAAATAAAAAAAAGTTAGTTCGGTCATGAGCTCTTCACCTTGCACCTCAGTTATTCATGACCATGACCGTTATGGCATAGACGACATGTAAGATGCAAAACTAATGTAAATTCAGAATCGAGTGGTTCAAATAACGTTCTCCCCTCATTGTTATTCTTTGTTATAGAGAAAGAGCTAGCTCACAACCCTCAGTAGTTTCTTTTGGAAATACATATCAAGATATGCAACAATTTGACCACTTTGAATATGAATATCATGCCATGTTACTGCGTGAGCTACCACCACTTGTCCCTCAACACCCTTCTACACCTTCTCGTGTCGGTGTGATACCCTCCAGTATTAAGCGAACACCTCTTATACCTCCTACAACACACGAAACCACCACATTGACACATATACTCGAGCCTATTGCCGATAACTCGCCCAAAACAGCACCTAATCTATCTGTTTTTTCAGGTCCTCACTATTTACCCGAAAAATATTCAATTAAGCCACTGACCACATTTCGTCAAGCTTATTTTACGCCTCAGTACAAGACCGATTCACCGTCTAGATACTATGTATCACCGCATGTCAATCAATATTTTCAGGCTGCTTTACAAGACGGCTCTTATTTCGAATCCTATTCAGATTATAAACCTCAAGATCCAGTCAATTTCAGACATGCCTATAACTTACAGCAGCCAAGAAATAGTCGTGAGTTGATTCTTGCTTTCTATGTAGCGTTTTTTTTTTTTTTTTTTGTTGCTCACCTATTTTTTTTTTTTTTAATAATTAGTCGATGTAGCTCATGTTGATAGAGAACTCCCAAAGAGACCTATACGTTCATCCAATCCACCCGAACAATTACCTAGACGCATGCCTCCAGTACGTAAATGGCATCAGCCAATAAACGTTTCTAGTCCCAGCAGTAGCGAAGATGATAGCGAACCCTCTGTGATTTATGCCAGCAGCAGCAGCAGCAGCAACAACAACAACAACAACAACAACAGCAACAACAACAGCAACAACAGCAACAACAACAACAACAACAACAACAACAACAACAACAACAACAACAACAGCAAACACAACCACAACCACAACAGCCACAACAACAATGTCACCACACATTCTAAGAAAGGAAAGGAAAAGGAAATCGTCCCATCACCGTCTCCATCGCAATCACAAACAGCCGTAACAACGATAAATAAACCTTCAGGAAATGTATCTACCAGTGAAGAATCTTCGGACGATGAATCCGAATCTTCCTCCAGTGAATCGGAAATCATGCCCGTCATTGCACCGGCGAAAAAATCCGTTCTACCTCAAAAACGTAAACAACCAAACCCTTCTTCCCCTATCTCGGAGGCTGCCACCAAAAAGAAACGGTTCGATTCCATTGTGCCTTCAACACAGGAAGCGATCGAAGAACTCCGACAAGTAGGCAAATTTATAAAAGGATGGACCCATAAAGATGCTGAAGTCTGTTGTGTATGTTTCGAAGATGTTACAACGCCGTTAAATCCACTCGTGTATTGCGACAATGCTTTGTGTGAAGTGATTGTGCATAAAAATTGTTATAGAATTAGAAATAATATTGCAAATGCTGATCATTGGTATTGCGATCGCTGTCGACCTGTGGATGGAGTGTCAGTGTATCGTAGTGTGGTAATGTATAGGTTATTGTAGTCATTAAAAAAATATATATTAATGGCTGGATAATGTAGGTATGTGTGGTCTGTCCAAATTTGACAGGAGCATTCTGTAAATTAGAAAAGCCCTTCCATGGCATAGGATGGGTTCATATGATTTGTGCAAAGATGTTGACAGGGCCAGGGGGGTTTACATATCAAGCCAAGACACACGAATATCGCATGACATTTCGACACCATATTCCAATCCAACGATTTATGGGTAGCTGTGTGTTCTGTGATGATCCCATGTTTGCAGAGTTTGGAGCCAAGCTTAAATGTCAATATTGTCCAAAGTCTTTCCATGTTACTTGTGCCGAAAAGTTTGGATACTGGTGCTTTGATGAAAATGCAACGTTAGCGTGCGCTGATCATGCTATTTTGACTACCACCAAATCGTCACCGAAACGCTTAGCTATCGCATTTGAGAAATGGGTGACGAAGCGAAATCTATTCTTTATGGATAAATTTGAAATTTCACCACATATGCAGAAAGTCAGCGTGTGGCAGAGATTGATTCAGAAAGTGCGCAGTGTATCAAGTCCAACACCAGCCATCGATGATATGGATCGATCCTATCATAAGTTCTTTGATCGCGTTCAATCTATTCGTATATCCGACACCAAAAAACACTACATAGAATATGTGAAATATCTTTTGCTCGAATTCTGCAAAAGTTATTCTTCTTCTACGTTAATGAATGTCAATGGTCTGTTTTTGAAAAAGAATTTTTATCATAGTGCCCAATATGGCTACGTACCACCAAAGAACGGTTTCACTATCTGCAGTGATGGCGGTGTCAGCGGTGGCCCAAAACAAAAAAAAGCAGCGACAGCAACATTACCAGCAGCAGCTAGTATGTCCAAATTCGTCCTGCGCAAACCTGATATTCCAGCACCACCTCTTCCTCTTTCTCTTCCATCACCACAGCCTGCAGCATCCACATCTGCACCACAGCCACAACCAAAGCCAAAAAAGGCACAAGAGCAGACCGTAGTTATACCATCACCCGACCTTATTTGTTTCATTTGTGGACAGCACGAATTTCCTAAAGAAAAATGGGACGCGTTTGATTTTGACCCAGGCTATGTCGATCATTTAGAAGCAACGGCGTACCAAAGAAAGGTTGGCCACACAGGTTCTGGTAATTCTTGGGATCCACGCGTCTTTATTCAGTGTGCCGAGTGTAACCTCAAAGTACATTGCGGGTGTCCTACGCCACCCATTAAAAAATATCCCCAAAAGTAAGTTTTTTTTTTCTTCTTCTCTTTTCTATATGCTGATGCTCACATCTTTATACAGATTTCAATCGTTTGTGTGTATTCAATGTGATACAAAAGGTGAAGACTTATCGCTTAAAAATGATTTTCATCGACGTAGAGGCACTACTGGTATAAACTATAAAGTCTGACCTATTTTTTTAAATCACCGACCCCAAATTTATAAAAATAAAGGAAAGTTCTCCCCAAACCTATTTTTCTTTCCTTTCTAAATAATAATAATAAAAAAAAAGAAACACCTACAGAATGGATATTGGAAATTTACCTATTTACAACAACGATAATAAGCAAAAGTCCAGAACTTTTGGTGAAGCACCCGAACCAAAGAGTGCTTGGGATCAAATTGGTGATTATGAGCAGGGACCTGCTACTACCACGACTACAAACGACGATGATGAAGATGATAAAAGACCAGAACAATTTGATAACCCAGTCAAAACACCCACTGCCAAAGAAAGACAAGAGTCCGATGAGGCTGCATCCAACGCTTCCAAAGCCGCTGTAAAGGAATCTCGCAAAAACCAAGCATTATAAATTCTACACTAGTTTCTCGAGCGGGACAAGACCCGACGATTTTTAGTGTGTAAAAAATGAATTTACTTTTTTTTTTTATATATATATACATATAAATAAACGGTACATATATTGAAGCCTATTAAAAGAAGCGTGTGCGACAAGAGTTATGACCACTGACCCTGAGTCTTTACGTGAGCATGACACAAATCACTCGGTATGTTTGTTTTATAAAGAAAAACGCGTATTGTCATGTTCGAATTCCAAGCACCGAATGATATATTTATTTGTTTGCAGCCTCTTTTTTTTTTTCCCTCCCAACCAAGCCCAATCAAATGATCGGGAATACACAATTATTGTAGACTAGTTAAATTTTAGTTATTTATTTATACGGTATAAAAAAGAAAGAATAGAATGTAATGATGATGTATATGTACAAATGAAAAAAAAAATAATGAGAGAGAGAGAGAGAGAGTTTTAAAGATTATAATGAGAAATCGGCGCGATGTAATTGGACAAAATTATTTAAAGTCTGGTCGTCCACCCAACAGTTGTATTGAATAAGTTTAAGGAAAGCGCGTTCTAATTGACACACATCCTCCAGCGAGAATAGTCCACCGCAGATTTCATAAATGCGTCTGTTGGATAGTGTATTTGTGGTGGTGGTCCAGGCACTGTTTTTGAGGAATTTAGATGCTAACAGTAAAGCACCGAGAAACATGCGGTGATTGGTGTCATCACCTCCCGCTGCTCGTTTAGGCAAGTTGGATTTGGCTCGTTGTAAATAAATAAGTGCCACTAATAAAGTGCGTGCATTGATTTGTGCTAAATGTGTGATCTTTTGAACAAAGAATACTAATTCTGGTAATGAACGGCGGCGTGTCACTGGGCGAGCTGGCATTAAGTCACACAGTGTCATTGCTGTAAAATCTGATGAGGATATATATATTTAGTTTATTGCTTGTTATGCCAATATGTACTCTTTTGTTTTTACCTATTAAAATGGATGGTAATGTGGCTGTGTGTAATTTGGTTTGTGTAGGTACATTATGTGAACGAGTGACAGTGAAATTATAGGACGGGGTTGGCTGTTGAATCATTTTTTAATATAAGAGAGAGAGAGAGAGTGAGGTGAAAAAAAGGCAAGGTAAAAGTGTGAAATTCCAATGGGTCTTTTTATATGAAAAAAGAATCCCCATGTGTTACTATCAAGCCCCTTTTTTCTTTGTTCTCCTTTGTTATTCTTTTACACCAAACAAAACAATTCCCCTCTCTCCCTCCTATATTTGTATTAACACTCTTTTTTTTTTCTGTCTGTCTATCCTCCTTTGTCCTTTAGGCATGTATATTGACAACATTAATATCTCCTTATTATCGTCTCAACCATCAAGAAGAAAAGAAACAAGCCATTGACATGTTTCAAGAAGAGTTCGGAATGCCCTAATTAATGATTCTCGTGAAACCCTCGCAAGGAAAGCATGAGGTTTTGTTTTGATGTTTTTTAATTATACTCTTTTGTACCGATTATTTCTTTACTCCATTTAGTTCACCCGAAAAGCCCTACGTTAAGAAATAAATTAATTTTGCTACATTTAGATTTTGTTGTCGCCATTGTTATTAAACTCTCCCTTGAGGTGAAAGGACGTTTTTCTTTTTTTTTTCACAATTAATGCGTGTTACTCAGATTTACTTTTTATCTGAATTATTTAAAATATCCTGTCCAGAACAAGCCTCACCTGTCAATGATTAACCGGATTTGCCAAAGCGGGAAATATTTTACATGCACTGAGGTCGGATCAAAAAAAAAAAAACCTTTGGGCTCTTATCAAATTATATATATATTCAATGCATGCAATTGCATCAAAATAAAGAAGCATAGTATGGTTGAACAATGCTGTTTAAACAAAAAGGTCATGCATATTGATAAGTGACGGACAAAAAAAAAAGATTTTTTTTACTCTTTTTTGTTCCGATCTTTAGGTGACACCATGACAATCGGCCATATTGCTTCCGAAGGTACTAATAATGACGCTTTTCATCACAAATGGATTACGCTTTCATTACAAAGTATTACAGATAGTTCAGTCAAACACTATCAGCAAAGAATTTATGTTCATCAGCAGACACTATCTCCTCCTTCAAAGAGATGGACAGTTTGGGTGTCAGCATGCTTCTTTTCAAGAAAAAAGCTTGATAAATTCAGGTGTAAGTGCATTCCTAAAGAGTTTTTTTTTTTTTTTTTTTTTTTTTGCTCTCCCTAAATTTTTATTGTTGAGGGGAATCATTAGAGTACCTCAAAAATCCCAAGGCATGCGGCTTTCTTGGTTATCAATCTCAAGATGCCTAGCTTATTGTTTACAACTTTTTAAACCATGACCTAGAAATGTGTTTGCAAGCAGAAACACACAAAGGGAACAGAAGATATACTAACGTTATTTACTATGGTCACCAATTAAATCCGTAAACCAGCAATTTCTGTTATGGGTAAAAAGCCTTGACAACCAAAGGATCAGCAAAGATTAGGAGGGCAAGCAAACACAAGCAAACACACCCAATTAGAACACTTGGGTGATATCATAATTACATTTCTCATCCATAGTCCCAGAGATCACACGAGTATTTAACGGGCTATCACAAGAGATTGTAACTGTTAAAAAAAAAAGTTCTATTTGTATAACTGCAATTCTTGAAACGCTATCTCCAGAAAAGAAAAACAGCTATTAGCAAGAGAAAGAAAAAAAGATACTTCAATTCCTTAACATGTGTCATTTAAACATCAGAAAGAGCTCGTGTTATATCATGTATAGTTTACTTTTGCTTGGATCCAAATCGTGGATCTAATTGGTCACTTTCCAAAATCAGTAGCTTTCTGCGACTGCACTTCCCTTTGTCTCATTTCTTGGAAAAAAATATAGTGTCACACGGCCTCAGTAGTGAGTTTCACTTGCTTAAGAAAAATATAGCTCTAGACTCCGGGTTAAATTATATAACCGTATAGGCTTGAGAGAATAAAACTCATTGTTCAAGAGGACTAGAAAGGCCAGCCCATATGAACAAGATCCCAAACCTGCAAGTTACATAACCCATCACTATGAGGCTCTTTTTGTGTCAATCACACCGAGAAGAGTGAACCAAATAAAATCAGATTATAGCGGCGAGGGGAGCAATAACAATAGCAGATGTTAATAGCTTATTTTTTTTGCAAAAGACAAAAGACCAAACAATGCAATCAACAATAAATATGATCCTGCGGATCTTTTTTTTTGCGCAGTTTGTGCGTTTTTTAAGATACATGATTAAGTATCTTATTTATTAATAAGGAATACCGTTGGTAACCTTTTGAAAGTAATCATATAGCACCGTTCTCTGGTTTTCAAAAGATTCTTTTACTCTTTGAATCATAAAATCAGCAGCAATTCTATCTGATTTATCAGTTTGGAAACGAGTTCGCATTCGTTTGATCGTTTCTCCTCTAAAGCAAGGCAGACCAGACTGGAGCATGAGTGTCACCAGTTGCATGATTAACTCGGCATAAGGACGACATGCCAAATAACCCTTGATGACCAGCTCCGAAAACTGTTTGAAAGCTTGTCCTTCTGAATTACCTCCCATGACTTGGACCATTTCTGTCGTTAATTTGAAGGGCGAACTTTCAAATCCAATACCACCAGGTGCGATATCAAAAATAAAGCCAAAATCGATATGAATAATGTGGCCATCATCGTCCAGCATAATGTTACCGTTATGACGATCTTTAAACTGAAGGAGATAGGAAATAAGAGAGTAAGCAGCTACACTTTGCACGAAATTTGTTCTCGCTCTTTGGAAATCAATTGAGCTGGGACCACCGTATTTGGCCACAAAATAATCATACATGCTATTCACTTTCTCGCGGCCTAATTGATCACGAGAAATGGATCTGGGAATCACATCAATCACACCGCGTCCTGGAGCAGTAGCAACAACACGGTAGGGGTACACATACAAATCGAGACCAATACTGGTAAAGATGTTCTTGAAGACGGCAATCAACTGAAGCGCAAGTACATCCTGTCGGCAATCATCACCTACTTTAAAAATAGCGCTTTGCCAAAGCGTCATAACCGATGTATCTTCATCAGATCCTTGAATGATATTTTCATCAGCCATATCGTCTTCTTCCTTTTCTTTTTCGATCTTGAAGGTGGCCATAAATGGTGCTTTGGCGTGACTTTGAAGAGGTCGGCCTGAAGTTCGATTGATATCAACAACGTGGCCATCGGGATTACTAGGAAGATACACACCAACGTCAACTTTAATTTTAGCCAGCTCTTCATCAAGACGTTTCTAAAGTAAAACATTTCGTTAAATAATAATAACAATAATAAAAAAAAAAAAGCTTAAATGTTTATGTATTTACCTTTTGCATTGGTTTCTTCTCGGTTTGACCATATTTGATGTATTCCTTTAAATACCCAGAAATAGCAGTAACATCACCAAAGAATTTAAACTCTCTCTCGTAAAACTCCCGATCAGCCCCAGTAAATGAGGCAACAAGGTTGTCGATAATTTTTTCAAGAAGAGGCTTCAATGGATCAGGCTATATGCATAAAGAAAATAAAGATAGTTAATATTCACATCTTATATTATACAACTCCCACCCAAAGGTATGTGTATTACCTTGATGCAGTCTTTATCTGCATCTACAAAAAAGTTTGCTTGCATGTTCCAGATAAGTTGATGGGCAAACAATTGCGATACTTGACCAGCTTCCATAATGTACCTCTCCACATATCCATACTCATCATAGCGGAGCGCTTGTACAATCTGCGGAATATAAAAAAACACGGTATCGACAGGATAATATTCCAAACTTCTCATTGCATATTGCAGAATGAGAGGATGATTACCGTATTCTGGCATAAAATAATTAGCTGCGGTGATAGCAGGCACAGGAGCCCAATATTTCAAATAGCGAAGATCCAATTTGGCATTGGGTTGAACTTTATCACCCAACAATATTTCCAACGCCTCTGGTACATCTACCACATCCAGTGTATTATTAGCAATGAGTGTATGGAGCTCTCTTTGGACTGCAGGCTGAACAAATCGAGCAGCCATTTGAACTGCCACCTTGGGCGAGGTTTCCCAAGCAAAACGAACCATTTCCTTCCAATTTTCATCAGTCGTTAAAGATTTTTCGGTGTTACCGATATAATTAGCAGGATAACCTGGTCCCAACGCATTCAAAGGGTTACACCAAACGGAAAGACGTGATAATTCGCTATCCATCAATAATAGAAGTAACCGCTTCGTCAATTTTTGATCACGCATAACATCGTCCTTTGTCTTGTTGTGCAAAAACATGTAGAGCCCAGAAGCAATCTTGGAGCTCGAGTTGCGAATCGATGAACTCGTAACAAGGTCTGTTAAACGAGGTATATCATTAATCACCACCGTGTAAAAATCAGTCAAAATCTTTTGTTCAACAAGCGCATAACTTTTGCGGGAGCCATAATGCCACTTGGGAGGCAAAGAGAACCAATTGAAAGCAGAAGTGTATATGAGAGATCTGAACCGATATTCAGCAAGCACTTCCATTTGTGCCGAGTGAAGGATTTTCATGCCCAAAAATAAGAGCTGAAATCTTGGAAGACGAGCAAATGAGTGAGAACTCATCAGATGAGAATTTTGGAAAGTGCACTGTAGAAGACGAATCAGCATGTTGATCAAGTGTTTGCTACGATGGCGAATCGCATAAAAACGGCTTGTCAAGAACTTGATCCAAGTGACGTGGGGGGTAAACAAGCGGGTCATGCGTTCATTGTTTTTGTCAATAATAGCTCTTTCGGAAGGCGCATAGGTCATCTTGCTGACAAAAGGATGCTTTGCATTTAATTTGGGAGAGAACAGGCCTTTTCTATAACGTTGGGCCCAACTCCACATATTCAAAATTTCAACCATCAGACGTTTTTCGATATCAGGACGCTCAACAAGAACCCAGTTCCAGACATCTGTACCAATTTCCAGTGACTCCGGCGTAAATATGTGAACAGGAATACGGACAATGAGAGTGACTAGATCAGGATGTATTGTGGGTAGAGATATAATAAAACTAGCTGCCTGTAACATGGTACGACGCAATCTATCTACTGGTACAATCCTTTTTTGTTTCACGTCGTCGAGTAACGCATGCAAAGTTGTTATGACAATCGGCACTTGTTCACTTAAACCAGCTCCAGTATGACTATCGGGTAATTTATCTGCTCCATGACGCATGCCTGCCAAAAATTCAATCCCACTGACTTCACCAATATAGTAACGTCTTGATGTAAATCCGTCCACAAAATCCGACGAGTCATCCAATTGAATCCCCCGAATACGGGGTACAAAATCAACCGTCATTTCATTCTTGGCTGCAGATTTTCCGACATCCAAAGCCAACGTTCTGCCTAAATGTGCTACGTCAATGGGCGCACCAGACTCAAATTTTTTATATTCTGCCAAATAGTCTTGTAAAAGACCATTGATCTCCATAGGTGCACGGTCCATCGATATCTGAAGCCATTTTTTGCCATTTTCATACATGTGAGCACAGATTTCCTGACGATACGTAAATGAATCCCCGAGCTCGATCGTGACATCAATTCTGGGAGAAAAGAATTTGAAGGTAGGGCAGTATTCTTCTCTGTATTCCGCTTCACAACTTAACCAGAGCAATTGCACGAGTTCCAAAAGCAGTGTGATGAGGGATTTCTCTGCAAAAACTTGAGGAAACGAAGTGACAATACGTTCTGTCATCTTGACGGCTAAAGTGTGTACCTTGACGAGACGATGACAACACAGTTTGAGCAGATTGGTCATCTGTTCTCTCAGTTCCCCGTCTAAATTTTGAGAAGCGGCTTTATACGAAGCATCCTTGATGTAAGTTGTCACGACACGATCCGCAATGGTTTCGAGACAATTGGACATGGTGCTATTACTTACACCATCATTCATAAAATAGCGTAGGATAAAGCTACAATCCCCTGTTTTACTTCTCATCATTTCAATGTGATATACGGTTAAAGCAAAAATGATTTGTGCAAACGAGAAATTTTTAGTATCGTATGCAAGGTTGGGTAGGAACGTTATTAACTTTTGTCTCATCAAGCCGATATCACGATCCATATTATTTCCACCACGAAGTACTGAGTTGTATTCCAAATCACTTTCCAAATAATTGGTGGCACTTTCGATCACTAGAACTGGGGTTTTCTTAGCAATGAGTAACATGGAATCATACCATTCACGGATCCAAATAGATTCAGTCACATAGCCAAATAAGACACAATGGAACCAAGTATTTCGGAAATGAGAAACGGTATCTTCACTAGGATTTAAATGTGGGTTGAAATCGTCATGTTCCAGAAGAGTACGAATCACGGGCAAAAGTTTTCCTAACTTTGAGATCCAAGGAAGTTCGGATTCCTTCTTGTTTTTAGACATCATGCGCTGAATCGTATTTCCGTTCTCGACAAAGAGGGATAGTAAATTGCTCAGATATTGGTCGTAATATTCAGGTCGGGCCGATAATCTTTGAGCCAGCAAGGTCTGTGCATTCAAGATAGAGGTGGTTAATTGCTTATTATCGACCATCAAGGATTCTCGGCTCAAAATAGCAAACAAATTGATGATGTCCCTGAAAACCGTGGATGGGCTGACAAGTGCTAAGTCCACAAAACTATTGGTCAAAGTGGCAATGGCTGAAATTGAAAAGGACTTTCGGCGTAAAGATAACATGGAATAAGCTTGAACAATGATCTGATAAATCAGATTTTGTCAATTTTCTATAGTTTTCATGCACTCTTCCCCCCCCCCAAAAAAAAAAAAAAAAAGTGATACAACTTACAGTTTCATCAGCTAGATACACAGCGACATTGACAATAGCCGAAAGCGCATTTACACACACTTGCTCCTTTTGTGATTCATTTAATAGTTCAGCACTTGGGACACCAATGATACTATTCGGATCCACAAATGCAGATGGCTGATCTTGGGTTTCATCATCAGAGTATCGAGTGATTTCATTCAAGAGGGCATACAATGTCGAAACAGCTGCTTGGCGCATTTGAGTCACAGGCTTAGTCTATAAAAACACCCGCACATGTTTTTTTTAGCTCTTGCAAGTTACGTGTGAATCCATATCCTTCTTACCTGGACACACTGCGCTAAGCGCACAATTGCAAACTTTTGCATGGTGACAGTCTCATGTTCTTGCTCTACCTTCAATTCAAATACAGGCGAAGGTGTTGCTAAAAATCGACATATAGCGTTGGTCATTCTATTATTCAAACTTGGAAAACTAAAGCAAAAATAGGGTTAAGTGGCTTAAATTGAATTGGGTGGATTAAACTTACTTGATTGCTAATAATACAGCAGTGTCCAGGGAAGCCACATGTACCCAAGGGTCCGTATAATGCGAACTTTCAAAAACACATTGATGGATGTAATTAATCAAAACATCGTCTACTTCATGGAGATAGACAGATGATAAACCTGCCACTTGCTAAAAAAAAAAAAAAAAAAAAAAAGTTCGTATACACATAAAAACAAAAAACAAAAAATATAAAACTGCTATAAAAGATGGTTCTCACTTACCAAGCTAGTGCCCATAATTTCCTTCATGTAAGAATCCAAAGCCCACCTTTTACCCTCGTTCTCTCTTTTTTCAGCGTACTTTCGAATATCATCGAAATAGCCAAGACTCATGACATAAACACCTCTCAAATGTTTGCTGAGTTTTTTATCCATCTCGCTCAGCTCTTGATCCACGGGTGTCACACCCTCCGCTACTTTTTTCATCAAAATGGACCAAGCATCTTCGATATTCGTAGTCAAATGCAATTTCTTCAGTTCGTTTTGGTTGATATGTTCCGCTGAATTTGATGGTGTAGACAACGCAATGACTCTGGCGGTCACATTTCGCAAGATGATGAGTAAATCATGAATAATCCGATTTGAGCTCAAGGGCATCCCAGTTTCCCAATAATTTGCTAATACACGTCTACTGTACGATTCTTCATCATCTGTTTGAAGACATGCAGCGATTGCATTCCTGATTGTATCCAGAGTTTCATCAACAATCAGTGGTTGCATATTTTCACATATCGTTTGAAGTTGTGCTGGTTTGAAAAGATAAGGTGATACTTGTAAAGCTCGAGCAAGACCAGCTAATGAGGGTAAAATAAACGATACAGTGTAATCGGCTTTTTTTTTGGGGGGGGGGGTTTAAACGGTTAGATACCCTCTCTCTCTTTCTCTTTTTTTCTTTTAACATTAAGTTGTGTGTTTTAGCGCTTACTATTGCTGGTATTTATCAAATCTATGATACACCGTCCATAATTCCACAAGGTTTTATAAATGATTTCTTCTAATTCCGGTTGCTGAAAAGCCAAGTCTAAAAGACCAGAAATCAAAGTGTAGGTAGTACTATCTGGCGTTGTGTAGCCTACTTCAATGTGTTAAAATATAGATCACTGTTTTGTAAAAAAAAACACACACACGGAACCTTTAGGTAAAATAATATCGTCCCATTCATAGACGGGTAAATGTTTTAGATAACTTAAAATACGTGGAACAAGCTCAACTTGTTTTGAATCTTCAGCATGCACTGTATACTTGACTAATGCATCTAACGTTTGTTGATAACGGTAGGTCTATGAAATAGTTTGAAGATTAAAATAAAATACTTTTGTGTTACCACCGTCGGTTACATTACCATACGGCCTATGCTAACTTCGGAGGAAGTGAATACGGTAATATCTTCCATTGGTACTATAGGAACAGTGATACATTTTGAAATAAGCCTTTCAACTTCATCCACAGTTGTTTTTGCTCGTGAATCAGCTAAAACACCAGCAAGGCTTACGAGAATGCGTGAATGGAGGTCATAATCAAGCCTATGACAGAGGGAATGAATTTCGTGTTTCTTTATTTCACTTTAACTTGCTCCCATATAAACCGCAATAGAAAAATTTACCCTTTCATTTTAGTTGATAATAAGAGAGAGAGAGAGAGTAAAAAAAAGGGATACAAAATATATATATATAAAAAAAAAAAAATAACCCTGAGTTGGTGTTTTTATGCTTATGACGTTTTGGGTGTTTTCCATTAAAGCGGCGCATAAATGATTTAAAGGAACTCTTCAGGCAATGGAGCCAAATCCAATCTTTCAAACCTTCCATTATCAAAAAATGACGCCGTTACTATCCTACCACCAAAGAATCGACCGTTCAAATCTGTAATAGCTCTTCTAGCTGCCTCAATCTCTGAGAATTTGACAAATATACGCACTGCTTTATCAGCATGAATTTTACCTCTGGGCACCTATTATTTTCCATTTTTTAATTAAAAAAGCATTGACTCCCCCCCCCACGCAAAAAAAAAGCCTTTTCTTTTTTTTTTTTGCATAATTTACCTCAAAAATAAGACATCGCTCTACTTTCCCATATTTAGAACATTCATCTGCTGTTTCTTCCTGTAACATATCGTCCACTTCTCCAGGACCCACCATATTTGTCAGTAAAATCACGGGTGAAGGATTTTCTGTCACTTCGACAGGTTTTTGTTCCATCATGATGTTGTTACCACGATGGATGGGTGGAGAATAAACTGGTTCATTCATCTCTTCGCGTCCTTCCTGTAAGTTATACTTGGCAAGTATTTTTGCTGCAATATCTAATGCTGGATTCGCCTCTTCAATTCTGCGTGAAAAGAAATGATTACCACATTATATATACATGCGTGCTCTCCCCCCCAAAAAAATAATAATAATTCATATGAGTATTTACCTTGAATTAGGTTGTTCAACGGGTTTTTGTTGACTCATCATTATTCTACGATGATAAGCTTCTTCTGCCGATTCTCTAACATTAATTTTAGGAGGTTCATTTCTAACTGATGGACGTATAGCTTTATATGAAAATATATTTTTTCAGTACTTTCTCATAATAAAAAGCATATAGACGAAGGTTTACTTACGTTCAGGGCTTGGAGAACGTGAATAATAAGAATAAGGTGAGCGCGAACGCGAACGCGAACGTGAATACGAACGTGATCTCGATCTTGATCTAGATCTAGATCTCGATCTGGATGGCGATTGCTGCTGACGTTTTTCCCATTCTCTCTTTTTTCGTTGTTGTTCACGTAATTCCCTGCGTTCCTCTTTGTATTGTTCGTAATCGTTGGGTCTATGAGGATCGTAGTCTTCCAGCATGTTGAATACGGTAGGTAAAGGCTGCGTATTTGTTGCGAGTTTTCCTTTTTTTCCCTTCTTCTATACGCAATGTAAGTAAAAAACCAGTTTCTGATTTTTTTTTTTTTTTTTTTTTTCGCTTCATATACGATTATACCTTGGACTTTTGGTTTGCTCGAAAACCATTGACGTCGTCCGCTGTCGTTAGAAACGGAATGGCACCAAGGTCAAGATTGTCTTTAGGTTCAGTTGGTTTTGTAGTGGAGAATTTGGAGTCCTGGACTGATTGTTCATTGGCTTTTTCTTCTCGTGTGATGGTTTTCGTAGAGACGATGGTTGCACCTGCTGGAATGAAGGGTTTATTTAATTTGGGTTTTGCCTGAATAGTGGGTCGACGTATAACAGGCCTGAATTTATTGAATGCGGACCAGCCTAAATAAGAGGAAAGGAAGACATTAGAAGTGAGAAGAAGATAATAGCACCTTCTATACCTGTTGGTTGAGCCGGTGTTGGTGCTGGTGCTGCTGGTGTTTCTATAACTGGAGTTTTCTCATTGACGTCTTTTTGAAAAGTAGTTGATCCTGAATCAGGTGCAGGTAATGAGGAGTAGAGACCACTTATATTGGTTGATGTTGGTGTGGTATTGGTTGCATGAGAATCTACTTTCTCTGAATCTTTTCCTGTCTTAGATGGAGGGAGCGTTCCATATAAGGAGAATGACATTATAAGAAGAAGCGGTTTGAAAGAAAAAGCTAAAAAAAAAAAAAAACTTTGCCTATTTGAACAGCGGCTACACAAATTGTTTGTGTATGTACGTTTAGATTCAGCTATGCAATAAACAATCGCATCAAGATCAATGCATAGTCTACGAAATAGACGAAAGAAATAAGCATCAATTACATGGATTTGCTGTTGAAAAAAAGGCTGAACCCCATCGTCAAAGTCTCTTTATCAAAAAGACTTACCCGCTCGAACTTGCTCTCAAAATTTAGACAAAACTATTCGACTTGATTTAAACCAGATTATTATTGTCTTCCTTTTTTACCTCGTATATCACAGACAAGACTTGCAACAAAGCTGATATCATCTTTATCTATCTATAGGGGGGATTATAATAGCCCATTATATTAATTCTTGTTTACACCCTGGTTGTGATGGGCCATTATGAGTATATTAAGTACCTCTGCCTCGTCACCGAAAAAGCGTCTATCTACAACAAAAATATAAAAGAGAAAGCAATATCTGAAAGACAAAGGAAATAGATGTATAAGACTTCCTTCCTATTTACTTGACACCTTTATAAGACGGTCTGATGATTTCTTCTACCTAACCCAACCCCCCAAAGATGACTAACAACCAAAAGATAAAAAACGCCCAGACAAGTAACATGTATAGTTAAAATTGTTAATACTCTTGAAATAAAGCTTTACTTCATTATAGTTTTTTAACCATGTGTGTAGAATTTACATGATGATCCGTTTGTTTTTTCATAAAATACGATTTAATATTGGTACTTTATCATGCTACTTCTGAAACACTGATAGATAATTGCCAAGTCCCAGCATTCATGTGAAAATTTCCATTATGAGTAAAGGCTCAAACATAAAATATTTGATTAAATAAACAATTATCTCATCCTGACATAAGCCAGCTCTCCTTCATCCTCCTCGTTATAAATAGAAGCTGTTCACCCGTTTTTCTTTTTTCTTCTTTTAAACGTTCTTTATTGAAAAGTCAAGTTCAAGTAAAAGGTTAGTTATACAAAAAAAGTTTCTATCAGGCAGATACCAAAATATGACAAAGCTCGGAACTATTAAAGCTATTCCATAGCTTACACGCAAACAAACGGGCGCTCAAAAATATTCTTGCGTTGTATGCAATAAGGAGGACCTGAAACTAATAAGCAACAATGTCAACATTCTAAAAAACTGCACAGACAAAGGCAAAAACATGGTTTGATAATTATCACGTAAGTTTAACTAATCTCGTATAACGGGGGAGATACAATAACATACATTTAAATCGTAGAAGATATGCAAGACCTGTAGCACAAGTTTAAACCCCCCCCCCCCTCAAGTACCAGTATTGTACGCCCGCATTTAATTACGTGTATTATTGAAAACTTTATTAATTTACCTTTTGATTTCTTTGGTAGTTCAACACTGATACTGCTAATCAAATCACTATAAACCAGAACGTTGAACAAGGCCCTTCTTATTCAGGTACAGAGTTAATGGCTTGTGCTCTCAGCGCGTAAATAGTACTAACTTTTAAGATTAGATGTTCGTAATAAAAAAAAGGAGACTTGATGAAGTAGGTTTCAACAACAATATGGTTACTTAAATACTAACTCATTCCCTTGTTTTTTTTTAAAATAATAGACTGCAGTGCTGGAACTATAACAAAAAGTATCTGCTACTGTTGTGGAGCCATCACACAGTATCGTATACCCAAAGTTATATCAAACTTGGTAAAAAAAATACAAAACTTGCGGCACCAAACACATCGATCATGTTACAATTATGCTCCAATCATGTTAAAAAAAAGTGATGAAATCACTCTGATTCTATCAACATTTCAAATTTTATCAATTCCAAAATCTTCCGTCTCTTTTGGGTAACAGCTCTGCTTTGTCTATGTACAGTCATATATTGGCTTTCTCGTCTGTTCTTTCACAGAACCCACATCAATGCCGTGCTAAAATTCTCGAATGTTATGCCGTTGAAGAGTTAAAGAATTCTGAGGCACAATGTTCTTTCTAAATTGGCTGGTACAGACTATGAGGATATTGAATTTGATCAAGATATTTTCATCCAAGTCCGTAAAATCATTAAGGTAGTAATATCAATCATATTATTTCAGTTTACTTATATTCTCTCAAGGTATTCACCGCTACCAAAGCCCTGGCACTATTGCTGGATTTAAACCATAAATTCGAGTCCAAAATAATTTATCAATAAATAAATTGTTTAATAAATAAATCATGAAATAAAGACATTCTTTAAAAAGGAATAAATCAGCATGCACACGTATACTGCTATACGACTTCTCACACTGCGAGGACATCGGTCTAGACAAAATATTGCATGATTAGCTAATGGAATCATATCACTGCTGAGTTTATGTCTTGATTCACCCTGAAACTTTTTACCAGTCTTAACATATTTTCGACCGACACCGTCTGTCCTTTTAAGAAATTTTACCTAAACCGATTTTTAAAAAAATGAAAACCACTGCAAAATCAAGATTTGTAGTTCAAAAACATATGTTACAATATCTATATAACTTATATGATCAAAAAAAAATTATTAAGTTAATACGGTGAACGTAACAGGAGGTCCAAAAAGTGTATCTTGTTCTATTATAAATTGGTTGTTGGTTTAAAGTGGTTTAAGTAGGAGTTTGTAAAGTTTATAGTGAGCACCAAATCAAGTTATTAGGTTTGATTACGCCTTTTTATGTGTAGTAGATTAAAGTAGACTTTAGGAAAGTAGTAATACTGTTTGAACTTTTACGTCAAATTGAGTATGAGTATAAGAAATCAATAGTTTTGATTTAGGAGGATAGATAAATTATGTCTTCAAAAGTAGAAGAATAATATATAAGAGTTAAGGGATGGTTTACTTAGACTGTTTGAAGTATGTATGTTTCTTTTTTCAGATGTCTACTATACAAGGTCTAATAATTTATAGAACGTTTCTTTTGACAGAGGTTTTCTTATAAATTAGAATAAACAAAATAGATGGGGGAACTTAATCTCGACTGTTTAAAGTATGTAGGTTTCTTATTACAGAGGTTTACTATACAAGATCGTGCTATATATTGAAGGTTTCTTGTTAAAGATGTTTTCTAATATATAAATAAAAGAGAAGAAAAAAAGAAGAAAATAAAAAAAGGAAAAGAATATAAAAAAATAAAGAGCGATAAACGACTCTGAAGGAAATAAGTATTAAATTGAGATAAGAGAAGTCTGAGGATTTATTTATGAAAAAAGTAAGGGATATTTATATTGGTAGGAAGGACTTGTGTCACCACATGGTTGAAATAGATAAGGGTTGTTGCTGTGGCACGAGACCGCAGGCTGGATCTTTACAGTTCATAAAGCGTTTGGTGTTACACGATTAGGCTTTTTTTGTATCGTGCTTTCAATTGACTTTTTTTTTTTTTTTACAACGGCAATAAACTTCAATTCTTTGCTGGTTTTAACAGATGAATGACTATCAAAAATATGCAATTTTTGAATTTCTTTATGACAAAGTATTAAAAGTTTTATTAACATATTTATATTACAAATAAAATGTTTTCAGTACTAAAGAATTTTTAAAATTTCACTAAACTTTTCGTTATTTTTGTGTCACCACTTCCATTTTAATCACTTGTCGTGTAACAAAATAAAAAGCATTACGAAATTATTGTTCAATAAATTCGCAATTAGTGTATTTATCAATTTCGACCCATAATATTGTCCTTTCTTTTTTATTCTTCTAAACATTTTAAATGAACTCAAAGAAAGAAGCCAATAACAACAAAAACAATCAAGTAACACTCTCCTTTGTTGATGCCGACCCAAAAAAAGAAACACAGACGGCAGAAAACGTAGAAGAACAGAAGGAAAGAAAGAACAGGAAGAGGATAAAAAATAAATCTCTGATAAAGGAACAAAGAAGAGAGGGATATGGACCAAAAAACGTGAAATGGCCGTTTTGACATCATATGTAACCCATAGGCCATTTGCTGTTCCGTATATAACCAGAGGATTATATTGGGAACGAATTTTGAAAGAGGTCAATGAACAGGATGAAAGTGAAACTCCTTTGAAAAGAGTGGCAATGATTGGCAAACTCCATGATTTACTTAACCAGTATAAGCATTTGTTTTCAGAGAATGTAGTTAATGGATGACTTCCAAAATGCAAAATAGAATTAAATAGAATAGACTTAATTTTTTGGGTTGTGTAACGTGGAATTAACCTTAAATTTCACTGCTTAAATTTTTGAAGTTAATTCGACCCCCCTACCCCCCCGAATTAAAATAGAATTAACTCCAAAAAAAAAAAAAAAAACATTTCTATTAAATACTTTGTTTCTGATAAACGCTAATAATATGCAGATAATAGATATGAGATGTATGGATAATATTTGTCAAAAACGTTTATTTATTCGGCTCTTTTACGCTTCTGGGAACGGGTGCCTTTGCCCTTTTCAGAAGTAGGAATAGGTTGCTAATGTGCATATAAAGATTATGGTTTTTAGTACGAATAAAAAAAACATGATTTATAATAGTTAAACTACCTTAGCTACCGATGTCTTGATATATTCAAACATCGCTGACATCTGATAATGTAGTCGGTTAGATAGAGTTTATATATATGATACGAATCAACATATTGATTAAATTTACCGTCTCCTTCAACTCGTTGAACTCCTTTTTGACATCATTGAGTTCACTTTTGAGGCCATTTTTCACACCATCCAGGCGAATGTTGACCTCCTCAAATTGATTGTCAACAGCTCCAAGACGATTTTCAATCATTTCCAAATTGACATCGGTCACGTTGGTCATTTCGGAACGTGTGGTTGGGACCGATGGTTTTGGTTCATTTTCTCCCCGAAGAGACAACGCAATTGCCTCAGCCAGGACACCAAAATGGTTGTTGAAGTCCTCCATATGCTGGTGGGTATTTTTGGACTTCTTTGGCATTGGCACCGTTCTACCAACTGCACGAGGAGATGCCTCACTCTTGTCACTGTCTGTTAAACTCTGCTCTACCAGATCATCAATTGAGCGAAAGCCGCTACCTCCATGATGCATGCGGCTTGCTTTCTCTTCATCCTCGGAATCCGTGTGACCATGAAGCTGTGATAAGCAGCCTTTGATTGCAATTTGGTCCTCAATTGTTTTTGCATCAGTAATCAAAGTAGTTGGGGTTGAGTTGCCTAATAGATTTTTTTTGTTTGTATCATTGTTAGCAAGATTTCTTTCATTACACCTCGAATTATATGATAATTTACCTGTTGGTGCTTTTGCCGTTCTCAATGTACGATAAGCCGCCTTCAAAGAGTTGCCGCTACGCTCATAGGCAACCTTCGTTCCCTTGGTTCCTGTTTCCAACCTGATGGCCTCGTTTTCTTGTTCGACAATTTTTTTTTGTCCAGCCATATATATTTGGCTTACACGGGACCATTCGTCCGCTCCACTTGGCAAAACCTTCTTTACTATTTTCAGTAAATAGGTTTTTTCATCTTTAGTCATTCTGACAGATCCTGTTACGTTGCCCATTGTTATTTTTATTAAGTTATATGAAAAGAAAGAAAAAAGGCTTTTTTAAAAAGCGAAAATTATGGTTTTTATAACACGTTGTTTAATAAAGCACGCTATTATGTCAGACTTGTTTGAATCAATCATCTTGTTGGGATAATATGGCGTGACTTATGAGATTCGATGTTGTGGAACCCAATTGTTGTCACTTTTGTATTGGTAACGAAATACAAGTTAATCTCTCTTTTATCATCCATTTCCTTTTTCTTTATCCCCTTTATATTTTTGATACAAAATGCCCCCTATAACAAAGCGTAAATTAGCATTATTATCGCATATTACTTTGCTTTCTGCTGCTGCCTATCAGTACATGAATTATCTTGAATCTCAACGCCGTATTTCTAAACGATTCTACACAACGTCAAAAAGTCTGCATTCACCTACTAAATCGGCTGCTAAAAGGTTGCTTGATGGTCGTCAGGATGATGCCTTTATGTGTCATTTTGGTTTGACGACTGGAGCATTCGATCAATTACACGAAGAATTCCAAAAAGAATATCCAACCGAATGCACGGCTGGACGTAAAAGAGTACTTGACACGGTGATGACACTTGCTTTGGTTCTGATGTGGTTGCATAACACCATGAAGCAGGAGACACTCTGTATAATATTTGGTGTCCCTGCTGCAACACTCAGTAGATTTAAAACTATGGGTATTCAAACCCTCTTAAACGTTTTTGAAAAAAACAAAAAAGACCCTCGTTGGAAAATTGGTTGGCCCACTACAGATGAAATGACAACGTTTAACGATATGGTGCTTACGAACACCACAAATGACTTTGAGAAACAGGTGTTAGAAGGAGTGTTTGGCTTTGTTGACGGTCTTAACCTTAGAATACAACATCCTGAAGACCCATTCGAGCAAAATGCGTACTATAACGGATGGAAAGGTGATTGCTATGCCTCACAAGTTTTAGTATATACCCCGGATGGCTGTATCGCCTATGTGAGGTAGGATTGACATACTTGTTTGATTCTCTAAACAAACAAAACTAAATTGACTCTTTTTCTTATAGATATAACTGTCCTGGTTCTTGGCATGATGCCGAAATAGCAATTCCACTTTACGAAAGGTTTCTTGCTTACAAATGTCCAAGCCCTTTCAAGCTTCTTGCGGATTCTGCTTTCCCTTGTAAGCGAGAGTTTGAAAACAAAGTGCTAAGTGTACCAAGAGAAAACGCAATTGGCATTGAAAGAGCCAACGTGCAGACACAAAAGAAACATGCTATCATTACCAAGCATAGACAGGCAGTGGAATGGGGTATGAGAGCCATACAAGGGTCTTTTGGAAGACTTCATACCAAGCTTCCTTCGGATAAAATTAAGCGTTATGAAATCTTGACCCTTGTATGGAGACTACACAACTTCAGTGTAAGAACGGTTGGCGTCAACCAAATTAATACTGTTTACTATGCTAATTGGAAGGCGAGAGAGCAAGAAATTTTGAATTATGAAAATTAATAAAATTTATTGAAAGTTAATTCTATTTTATGGTTTTGGAACAAAAAAAAATTAACTCGGAAAATCAAATTCCCGGAGTTAATTCTATTCTATTTAATTCTATTTTGCATTTTGGAAGTCATCCAATAAGTCGTCTGGAATCAATCGTTTTAATTCGGATATCGAGCGAGCTGCTTATAGTGCTTGGAATCAGGTATTTATCTTTACTGAATTACTGATCAGTGATATGACATATTAATAATTTACCTTGTAAAACCAAGAAGATATCAAGTGTTCTGCCGACGAGAAAATAAAGAAACGAGAGGTTATAGAGAAAACGGAAAAAAGGGATAAACGTATGCAAGGACTGGCAAAGGAAGGCAAATATTTTCATAAGAACAGTGGGAAGGAGAGAGACGATGGCCCTTCTACTGCCATAACAGGATCAGCAACTAATCCTGTAGAAGCAACCACTACTGTAGAACCTATTCGAATGATAGAAGACGAACCGGAGTCTATACTCGAAAGATCAAATGGTCTCCGTAGTAAAGAGCATTCAGAAATAATGAGTGCTCTTCAAACATTGCATGAGGATAATCAAAAGCTTCAACAAATGTTTATGATGTTTTTAAAAAAATAACCTTTTAATTATTCAACAATATCAAATTGGCTTCTTTCTCTCATCAATCCTTGTATGTATTCCTCGAGAGATAGAAGTTGTAAATCAAACATCGAAGATACAGTAGATCCATTTATTTACAGATGTGAAAATTCTTGAAAACTGTACTGAGCATATACTTTGTCGCTGGTCCTGTCTGCGAAACAATATTTCCATGCTTCCATTTGCATGCTTTAAACAACTGAGAGACTTTGCCGAATTCCATCTCAATTGCTACTCGAACTTTTGACATGGAAAGATTCACTTCGCCTTCGAACTCATTTCTTAGTGGGTTACGATACGGTTGGGTGACATGCATTGTGGACCAGTAAGCCTCGTCTCCATAAATCCAATACTCGTATTCCGAAGAAATATGCCCAAAGTGCGCTTGAAGACGTTGAAGCATTTGACTTTCGTTCAACATACCTCTGTCATTTCGTCGACCAACGTAAGGACCGGATAAACTGCTGGTAATTCCGTCAGGGGTAGAGATTGCTTGGAACTTGATACAGTGTGGATGCTTCCAACCATTAAATAATGCCGTTTGGTCTTCGTTGATTTTTGGACGGCATGTTTGTTGCATGTTTCCATCGATAAAACCAACAATGTTTGGATAATATACCCGTTTCTCTAGAATAGCTCTTGAAAACTTTTCGCAATTGGATTTGGAAAACTGTCTCTCGTCAAACTCGAGGCCATACCTGAACTTCTGAAGTAAAATATCTGACAGTCCATTGACAGTTCTTCCAATGTTATCTTCAGCCATACCAAAGATGTCAACCATATCTGATAAGCGACGTGGAAATGAGAGTCGATAAAGAAGCAGAGCCATAGCAAACTCCCTGGTTACCTTGATGCTATTAAATCTTAATTTATTATCCAAACCGGTGATGTGGCGAATTTGACAAATCTCTTTGTAGGTAAAACGAAACATTTTATAGCACTTTTCTTCTGTCCATGACTTTAAATCAGGTCGCTGATACTTTTCTCTGGTTTTTCTACTGTTGCGCTCCTCAATACGTCGTCTATTAAACATGTACATAGCTATATCATCCATAAAAGTACGAGAGTTCATTTTTAAAGTTTACAAAGAACAGATAAATAATTTGGAGTAGCAAAAAAGGACTTAAGGTCGTTATTCTTGTTATGCATTTATGAAATACTAACCAAAAAAATATTGCAGTAAAAAAAAAAAAATTCAGACTGACGTAAATATATGCATATATTCAGATAGAATAAGAAAAAAATTTAGAGAAATCCTCAATCGATCTAAGTATCTACCTTCGCTATGACAAAATTGAATATGAGAAGATTACTTATAAATTATTCGTTTCAAACCGGTTTTTTTCTTCTGTTTATTTTATTTTACGATCATACACGAGTAAGAATCTTGAACCAGAGGGCTGAAAACAAAGATAGTTTGTTGTTAACAAGCTTTAAACATACTGTCACATTATTAATCTTATAAAGCATCAATTTTAGATCATGTTTTAATGCCCAGTCTTTCCAAAATAAAAGTTGTCTACTATTTACAAACACTTTGACCCAATTTTTGGTCAAAACAATTATGACTCTTTTATTCAAGTATCTAGGGAAGATATTTATGGAACACTGTAAATGTTCAATAGGAACATCTCTACTTCTTTCATTACAGTCAACAAAATTAGATTGCGCCAATAAAAAAAAATTGCAGGACACAAACACAAATGTGGGAATAATACCAAACAGATTCAAAGGTGAGTTGTTTTTAGTGATGTAGGTCAGCATCGCAATTTAAAATTTCTATCAGGTTTAAGCTTTGTGGCACGTTGTTTTGAACTTGATTGAAAAAAGTTGTCTTGAACTCTTTTTACTTCTTTTTCAATTAACTAATGTCACGTACACCTATTTACACCGAGGTGGAGAAATTAATTATCCTCCAGAAATGTGTAAAGCTGGAAAAGGTCAAATCTGATAGTGCAAAAGAAAGCTCAACCACTCAAACCCCTACGAGGACATGTAAGAGAAAAGAAAAACTTTATACATTTCCAAGGTATCACAAGCTAATTTTTGTATATAAAGCTACCAAGAGAAAAGACTCTCCTAATGTAATAATAGCAAAAAAGAGTACAAAGAGAAGTCGCCAAGTTAGCACTTCAGCAGCATCATACTCCCGCAGTAAATGTAGCTCCTACCAAGAGGAGGGGGATGATTCTGCGAGAAGTCGTCAATGTAAAAATATAATCTTAAGCTAAATCATAACTTTTACAAATCAAACTTAGACCAAACTATCAAAGAAATACTCTGTCTGTCCCATTTGACACTTTCGTTCAAAGCCCATCTATTTGTTAACTTTTTTTCTGAAACACCCAACCAAGTTGACAAATGACTTCTTTGAAGGGTCGTATTGAAAATTCGAAGACAGAATGGGAATCAGTAGCAACGGGAACTATAGCAAGTTGGCTGAAGAAAATAATGGATTCAGCAGGGATAGATACGGAGAAGTACACAGTTCATTCTATTCGTGCAGCAGCAAGTACACAGGCAGTAGATCTAGGGATGTCTTTCGAAGCAGTCAAGGACCATGCAAATTGGAGTTAAAACTCTTCAACTTTTGAAAATTACTACTATAGACCAAGAGACCAACATGCTCAAGGCAGGGAAATTACACAGAAACTTTTTGGCGACGTTACCGAGAACAGAACCACATCTGGAGTCGGAGTCGAGCCAACCAAGATTGTCATAATAGGCACGATTGACAATAGTACTGTTGGTGAGACAGAGATAACAGATGTGGTGGACACCCACCCATGGTTACCTCAATGGCTTCACATTCCCTCCCTTTTGTCCACAAGTCGCAAAAAGATATAACATTACACGCCTCAAAAGGTATAAAGAGATAGGATTATATTTTTTATTATTATTTACATATTACTGAGAATAAAAGCGCGGCATGAAGGCCTATAACCACATCTGTTATCTCCGTCTCACCAACAGTACTAATTTAAAGAGAACCTGTATATACCACCTGAGCTATACTATATACCAGCTGCCGGATTATACCCGGACAATCGGTGCACGGTAGGTGGTAGATAGCCCATTATACGTGTAGATATGGATTAATAAAATGGCATTTTTTAGGCTCATAACGTTAATTACCACCTGCCCCCTCCCCCTTTTTTTAAGGTGTAGAGCTGGATCAATAAATTATTATTTTTTGGCTTACGGTAAACGTAAATAGATAATAGGAACACATTAACACTTATAAGCATGGATATGCTCGTAAGACTACTATTGAGATCGTTGAAGAAAAAGAGAACAAACGATCAAGCTGAAAGAATAAATATCCAATCCAATTAAAAATTAAGCATTGAAAGCTTGTACGGTTACAAGCATTAGACCAAACTGTTAAGATTAAGCAAGAACACTTGCACGGCCATTTCTTGTTTACGGAAAGTATGAAGGAAAAGACGTTACTAGACAGAGTACTGTTGATCTTGTAAAGAAATGGTGGTAGGAGGGTTCTGCCTATTTAACACCTGCCAGACTTCACATAACAGACAGGTGGTAATTGACTATATGAGCCTAAAAAATGCCGTTTTATTAATATATATCTACACGTATAATGGGCTATCTACCACCTACCGGGCACCGATTGTCCGGGTATAATCCGGCAGGTGGTATATAGTATAGCTCAGGTGGTATATACATATTTTCAATTTAAAGTGTGAAGGCCCGAGTGCCCCACCCAGGCCAAGTAAATCAATAACAGCCACATGTGTACGTCATTCTTGAAATAAAATCAATTATTTTCTTCAATTCTTTCTACAGATGCGGAAACATTTTGAAAAGAAAAGAAAGCGTAACAGCGTATTGATTGGTTACGCTTGATAAATAAAACCTTTGTACGTGTCAAGAAAGGTACCCGAAACTCATTTCATTGTCAACAGCAATATGTTATTCATAATTGTTAAATTCCTAGTTTATTAAAGCATCTCAAGCAACAAGAGGCACATAATTAATACCAATTATCTGAAACTACTTGTGTCTAAAGTACGTCGTGGTGTGTTATCCTTTGACAGCTGACCGCTCCATATTGTTTGGACTATAGTTGTTGAATATCGTCTTTTAAGAGATGACCAACTAGTAAATGGTTTACGTGATGCATTTCTGGTGTTAGTCATGGGCTGTATCATCCGAGGCACTGAGTTTAGCTTTTGATGAATGGTAACCACTGTCTCGTAGCCGGCCGCATCGTCACTTGTTGAAAAGAACGGCCACCGATGAGTTGAATGTACCCTTATCGGCATACTATACCTTGAGATCAGTGTATAAGGGAGATGCGTACTTTTAGGGAATCAACTTGTCTTTTCAGATAATTGGAACTTGGTTCGAAACTACCAAACATTTAGGGTAAGATTGTTTTGTTAATTGTCAAATGACGAACTCAATCGTTTCTGTTTTTTTTTGTTTAGTTCGGCTTGGTTTGCTTGATGGAAGAACACAATTTATTGACCTGATTCCAAGGGAAGTACCGGCTTATCAACAGGCTTGTGTACGGCATACAACCGAATACCAATTATCTGAAACTACTTGTGTCTAAAGTGCGTCGTGGTGTGTTATCCTTTGACAGCTGACCGCTCCATATTGTTTGGACTATAGTTGTTGAATGTCGTCTTTTAATAGACGACCAACTAGTAAATGGTTTACGTGATGCATTTCTGGTGTTAATCATGGGCTGTATCATCCGAGGCACTGAGTTTAGCTTTTGATGAATGGTAACCACTGTCTCGTAGCCGGCCGCATCGTCACTTGTTGAAAAGAACGGCCACCGATGGGTTGAATATACCCTTATCGGCATACTATACCTTGAGATCAGTGTATAAGGGAGATGCGTACTTTTAGGGAATCAACTTGTCTTTTCAGATTTTTGGAACTTTGGTTGGATTGTACAATTTAGAATAGTTGAGAAGGAAGGTTAATTGGGATCCAAGAATTTATGGAAATAACGCAGTATTGGGCAAGATCAATAACAAGCGTACTGGTTTCAAGCAAAAAAAAATCACTCAACTCCATATGCCAGCGCAAGAAGAACGTCAAGATAAATATATTTGCTCGCCTTTTCCGAAGACTGCAATGGAGACAACGGTGCAATTGTATCGCTTGACAAGGATTGCGGAAAAAGTTATTTCGGTATATGCCACTTGACTGGATAAAAAAAGATCTCCAGGAGCTCCGATGATTTGTGATAACCAATCTTTCACTTATAATATCCCAACCCTTCTTGTTTTAAAATTTCTGACTCCAAGAAAATTGAGCGATTCCCTTTAACAAATGAAGCAATCTATCACTGAAGGTGGTTTGGCTGTAATCAATCCTTGGTGTCAATACCAAGCCTTACAGCTTCACTGGTCGATTCATTCCATTGGTTACATGTACGGGTAGCGGTACATCATCATCAAGTCTCGCGATTTCATTATCTTGGATACAGTAGAACATTATTCAGATAGTAGATAACTCAAACTGTTAGCTCGATCTTCATTCAGCCTTGACATCGCCCACATAACAACAGAAGATCTTGATTGTTTGTCAGATTTTTCACCAATTTGCGCGATCATGATGTACATCGCCATATTGCCGGATCTACCTACCGATATGACCTTTGCGGTTACACTCGAATTTTCCCTGCTTTTCGACTGGATCAGAAGGATACTCCATTTAAGACAGGTCGTACACTGCCCTGCAAGTAAAAGACATTTTTCAATATGAACAGACGTCTCAAAGCTTGGTTTTTCGACCGTCAAATGATCCAACTTGTCAATTTCCACTATTACGTACACGATTTCAAACATCGAGTGCTATTGGCTCCATCAAAATAGAATATTGTACGATGGTTTTATGCTTATTGTTTGTGCCCCCCCCCCTCTTCCCAGAGCACTCCCACCCTCAAACAAACATCGGTCCCCATTTTTACACACACACACATTTCAACTTGGATGAAAACAATAGGGGTCCTCAGTCGTCGAAGTTTTAAAAAAATATTATTTTCGAATAAAAATTGGCCAATCATAATTTTTTACTTTGCATTAAATTCATGCCTGAGTGACATTTTCCCTATAAAATACCGGCTAAACAATTGTCCGATTATTACAACATTTTCCCCCACCACCGAAAGACATCAAGGCGCCCCGCTCCCTTACAAAATAAAATCCATCTACTAAAATAAGCATGCCCCCTATTCATTGACATGGGACAATTTTAATTGAAATTGTAGTATTTGATGCCTGTAGGACAATAATTTCAAGCAAATATAAAATAATCCTTTATTAAATGCTTAATTTGCTGTTGTATATATATTACAGACGTTCTTGTGTGCTAAGTCAGTGATTCTATACGTTTTGTATTGACATTAAAGTTGTTGTTACTATGGTGGGACAGTCTTGTGATACAAAGGAAATCGATTCAAACGAGCAAATTTTATTCAACAAAAGTCGGGAGACAGTGTATATATTCACTTCAAAACAAGAAGGGTTGGGATGTTATAAGTGAAAGATCGGTTTTCACAAAACATCGGAGCTCCCGGAGATCTTTTTTTATCCAGTGAAGTGGGATATACCGAAATGATTTTTTCCGCAATCCTTGTCATGCGATACAATTGCACCGTTGTCTCCATTGCAGTCTTTGGAAAAGGCGAGCAAATATATTTATCTTGACGTTCTTCTTGCGTTGGGCATATGGAGTTGAGTGATTTTTTTTTGCTTGAAACCAGTACGCTTGTTATTGATCTTGCCCAATACTGCGTTATTTCCATAAATTCTTGGATCCCAATTAACCTTCCTTCTCAACTATTCTAAATTGTACAATCCAACCAAAGTTCCAAAAATCTGAAAATACAAGCTGATTCCCTAAAAGTACGCATCTCCCTTATACACTGATCTCAAGGTATAGTATGCCGATAAGGGTATATTCAACTCATCGGTGGCCGTTCTTTTCAACAAGTGACGATGCGGCCGACTACGAGACAGTGGTTACCATTCATCAAAAGCTAAACTCAGTGCCTCGGATGATACAGCCCATGACTAACACCAGAAATGCATCACATAAACCATTTACTAGTTGGTCGTCTATAAAAAGACGATATTCAACAACTATAGTCCAATCAATATGGAGTGGCCAGCTGTCAAAGGATAACACACCACGACGCACTTTAGACACAAGTAGTTTCAGATAATTGAAGTCGTTGGCCCATTTTTCCAGCCACGTTTAACAGATTGAGTTTGTACTATGCTTGTTAAAAGGTATTCAAGTTACCAACGAAGAAAACCTAAACAATGGAAAAAATCGTTCATGAGTATCGAATATTAAATATTAACGCATGAAGCTTATTCAGAAGTTCGTATACGACAATCCAACCAAAGTTCCAAAAATCTGAGAGGCATGATTTCTCTGAAAGTGCGCATCTCCCTTATACACTGATCTCAAGGTATAGTATGCCGATAAGGGTATATTCAACTCATCGGTGGCCGTTCTTTTCAACAAGTGACGATGCGGCCGGCTACGAGACAGTGGTTACCATTCATCAAAAGCTAAACTCAGTGCCTCGGATGATACAGCCCGTGATTAACACCAGAAATGCAATACGTAAACCATTTACTAGTTGGTCGTCTATTAAAAGACGATATTCAACAACTATAGTCCAAACAATATGGAGCGGTCAGCTGTCAAAGGATAACACACCACGACGCACTTTAGACACAAGTAGTTTCAGATAATTGGTATTCGGTTGTATGCCGTACACAAGCTTGTTGATAAGCTGGTACTTCCCTTGGAATCAGGTCAATAAATTGTGTTCTTCCATAAAGCAAACCCAAGCCGAACTAAACAAAAAAAAAAAAAAAAAAAAAAAAACAGAAACGATTGAGTTCGTCAGTTGACAATTCACAAAACAATCTTACCCTAAATGTTTGGTAGTTTCGAACCAAGTTCCAATTATCTGAAAAGACAAGCTGATTCCCTAAAAGTACGCATCTCCCTTATACACTGATCTCAAGGTATAGTATGCCGATAAGGGTATATTCAACTCATCGGTGGCCGTTCTTTTCAACAAGTGACGATGCGGCCGACTATGAGACAGTAGTTACCATTCATCAAAAGCTAAACTCAGTGCCTCGGATGATACAGCCCATGATTAACACCAGAAATGCATCACGTAAACCATTTACTAGTTGGTCGTCTATAAAAAGACGATATTCAACAACTATAGTCCAAACAATATGGAGCGGTCAGCTGTCAAAGGATAACACACCACGACGCACTTTAGACACAAGTATTTTCAGATAATTGGTATTAATTATGTGCCTCTTGTTGCTTGAGATGCTTTAATAAACTAGGAATTTAACAATTATTAATATTAGATTGCTGTTGACAATAAAATTAGTTTCGGGTACCTTTCTTGACACACACGTACAAAGGTTTTATTTATCAAGCATAACCATTCAATACACTGTTATGCTTTCTTTTCTTTTCAAAGTGTTTCCGCATCTTAGAACAAGGTATGAAACCGGGGAATTCGGATGTAATTTATTTAGGGTGTAATTGTCGGTTAAATAAATATTCCCTGGGGTGTGACTTGCCGAATTTCAATTTTTTGCTTTTTTCTATAATACAATTTCCTCGAGAATGTGCAAAGGAGACGTCAAAAGTTCACTTCAATGCGTCCACAAACTTGTTTCAAGACTTTGACTTAATTTTCTGGTCCTTGGCAACTGAAAACTCGTATAAGCCCAACTAAGGAAGACTTTCTAAGCTAATGACATATGACGATCACGAACATGACCGCCGTATTGTAAAGTCATGCTTGGGAACTACTGAATGTCCTAAAAGCAGTTGTCCATATTATGGAAGGGTAACTAGACCTCGTACCAGAGAGACTGCTATAAGACAAAGTAAATGTCACCACTGAGAGACGCTTTTGAACTGGATTAAATGTGAGGTAAAAGTAGAGTATGTCTTTAAAATAAAAGCCAGAACTTGTACCATCTATGATGTATATTACAAATAAGAATTGCAGAATAAGACACACCCATGGTTTATACAACTCTAAGCATCTTTTACGACAGAAAAGTGAGAACTCGATAACATTATGCAAAAGAATCCTATCATGACGCCTACTACTGCAGTTGCCAGTCGTCAAGACATCAAATCTATTCACAGCATTAATCTAATTTTTAGAAATAAAGAACGTGCTAAGATGGAGCTGAAAAGTTAAAAATCAGACAGGGACTTGAAAGCTACTTTTACGAAGAGTTTAATAAAATCGAAAATGACTTCCCTAACTTTATCAACCATGGATAGGTGTTGAGTTCTGAATTTGGCATTATCTTTTGCTCTCCTGAAATGACAAAATATAATTTGCCCTTTGACAAGCACCCCATTATCACGGATGCTACTTACAAAGCGGCGTCCTCCAGTTATTATCTGGTCTCATCCGTTATCTACGTTGAAGAAATGAAAAAGTATATGGTGTTTTTTCAAGCTGTCATCAAGCACCAAACTGCCGAACAGTTTGCCTTCTACTTCAAGCGTTACTTAAGAAGTATGCGATTAATTCAAAGTTTTTTCTTGGTATACTTTTAGATTTTTTAAAGCTGACCAACGAGGTTTTCAACAAGCCTGCGAAAAGCACTTCAATATGGACGATAAATCATCTTTCTCATTAATTACAGGATGTTATTTTCATTGTCCAAAGAATTATCAAAATCCAGAGAATTGTTCCTGCCGGTAATTCTAAAGAATTTATTTTTCTTGCTAACATGTTCTTGCTAACATGTTGCAAAAAACAACCAGGGAAGAAGTCTTTTATGAAACAGGAAGGTGTCTTTTAAAGACGTTTCCTGATTGCCGTAGCCGGTTGCAATGGTGGTTGGATGACCATGTTTGACCTACTATTTTCAACTACGATTCGAATATGGTGTGATGTTTGAGATATGAAAATAAATGAAAAATAGAATAAAAAGAAGTACATAATAAGAAATGAGTCTCTATTAATCCTTTATTAAAGTTATCGAGAGAAATTCATCGCAAAAGGGAGGACGCTTTTTATGTCAAACATCTGGGAGATTGAATCTGGTAAGGAATAAGCAGTGGTTTGTTTCTATCTTCTGAAAAATGGCAATTAGAATTACATGGTCTTAAGTCAATCAATACTTTCTTCTATTGATTGGCCCAAATTATTAAGTGAAAAATTCTCATTAGCTAATACTTCAGTAACAGATTAATGAGAGTCAAAAACAACCAATAATAATATAATTCCCAATATATATAATCTGTAACAAGATTATACTGATAATATGAGAGTACCACTCGAATATTATAATTTACCCACATTGAAGGTCATTCTATACTGTATTTATTGGAGGAAATACGACATATGGAACGGGAATGACAAGAGCATGAATCCAAAACTACCAACGGAATTGAGTCTTTCCACAAAAACTTATACCGTTTTGTGAGGCCTAGGCTTTCCTTGGGAAATGTCCTCCGTCAGGTTATGGAAGTTTCGCAGGTTTATGGAAACGAATTGTCCAACTACTACGAAAATGGAGTCAGTCCTGTTTACGGGTCTAAGAAAAGGAAGTCTCAAAGCCAAAGACTCATCAAAACTTTGTACGAAGCATTTGATAGTAGACCACTTATCTAAAAATAATAATGCCATTTACGGTAATAAATCCAGTAGAAATATCAAAAAAAGAAGTTTGGACAGTACTGTTGAAGAAAGCACCAACTTGCACGATATTTTTGGTATAGATAAAAAGGCAAATAATCACCGTATTGAAGAGAAAAACAAGATGGAAAATGGTATCACGGCTTTATTTTCGACATATGACGATGATCTTCCCTATGATTTGAATAATCTTCAACATAACGGCGACTACAAAGTCACATCCGATGAATATTATAACTTTACCGGACAACTCAATGCTGATTTAAAAAACAGAATGTTTGGAGGTTTCGTTGTGGAGAAACACTTGAATTTGTATCTGATTATTGCAGTGGCCCATTATCCGACGAAAATCCCAAAAAAAGACGATGATAGCAGCTCTGTGTGCTCGATGGACTCATTAAACATTCAGCATACTCTTGATGAAGGCTGGATTGGTGCTGAGGAAATGAAGTCTAAGTTTACTACCTCTCCAAATCTGGCCACGTTACGCGGATGACTGCTTAGTTTTTGAAGATGAAACGATTGTTGTGAACACTACCAATAAAAGTAATGACCTGGTCAATGGCATAAACAAAAGGCAGTTCAAAAGAGGGCCTTCTTCCGTGACTAAGCCTTGATTAGAGCCTGTAACCAAGCAAAAAAATCTGAATGTCAAAGCATTTAACTATGATGCATCCATATTGCAAGCCGATCTCATTTCTTCCAGGATTACTTTCTTTGATCATATCTACTGCTGCAAATACATCCGCCTCGTGATTTATTGATGCTACGTTTGAATTGCTGTGGAACAATGTTTTTCCTTCTGTTAACTAATTTCATTAAGTTGGAAGGTAGCAAAGACATATATGGCAGCACGTTTATGAGCACCTATGACAAGTATTGCGCATACAAAAATGTCAAAACTACGGCAAAAAAGGTTGCTCTCATCAATGAGGCATTGGCTATCACAAGATTTTTTTTTTTTTTGATTCTTGGAGAAGTTCGACGGATCTAATTAATATCCTAAAGGTGTATATGTTGATTGCTTCGAGGTCTTAAACGTTATTATGGGTAGGTTATCAGAGAATTTTCATGCAGCCATCTCAAATTTCCCTGGATGCTCAACACTTAGATCGCACTTTTGTTCGGTTAATGCTGAACATAGTTTCGTTGATCCTAACGCGGAAACGCTACCAGTAATCGAAGTAGGACTTGAATTGAGAACGGCATTTTCCGCTGAACGCAAGTATGCTTCTCGTCAAAGTCTGGACAATGAGCTTAGCGCTGTGTTCAAGTATGAACACATTGTCCGAGACAAAAAACATGCATGTCGATTCGAAGGGTATGCAGGCATAGTCATTTCCCAGAATACTGTAAGCTCACAAGAATTCCTGCACTTTCTGTTCTTGGAAAACACAAGAGGCTCTAGTATTGCATCGGAAATGATTTACTTCCCAAGTGTTTTAAATGTATCTGAAAAAATAAAGTATGAAATACAAGGCCGTGTTTACTCGTCTTTATATAATGGTTCCCACTTTTACACAATTTGTTTAAAAACTATCGGATGCATCCCTTATCTCGTAAGAATTGTCAATTCTAAAAAAAAAAAATCTAGTCAGCATCACCGCAGATAAGCAAAAAGGCAGAGACATCCTCAAAAATTATAAAAACACTGTTTTTGCTTGCTACAAAAAGCTTTAAAATCATACAAAAAACCACAAGACCTTTTATAATAAACACAACATAAAAAAAATGGTTTACTTCGCAAGATTTTGTATTCTTTTTATTTGTCAGTTTGTTGTTTAATTAGAGACATAGCATCCATAATGTTATAGTTAAAGTTTTTATTGAACTTAATAGTCTGAAAAACAATAATTGAAGTCCTGTTAGCTATAATTTTAGCTGTGGCCGCTGTAAAGTCAGCAAGTTTTCCGACTAGCAAAAGGAGTGAGCTCCATGCTATAAGGCGCCAACCCGAGTATATTAATACATTATAAGTAAATCTTAGCTAAAGAACAGACTGTGGTTTATTAAATGAGATAAATACAAGTATTTATAGTAAAGGAACGTTGGAATAAGGTTGGCTGTTGATCTTGTATCACCCCAAGACCAGGTCGTTACACTGTTAAGCATTTTTTATTTCGGAAACACTATTATACCGAGAATTACACCCCAAATGCATTACCCACACACTGAAGAAAAAAAACAAAATTTCCTATAAGCAAAACCGATGGTTATTTTTATTTTAAGAATGGCGTATTTGTTGTGAGATTATTTAATTCGCGCAGATTTAATTTTTTTTTACGCCGTTTTTTTATCACTTCTCGTATCTTCTAAAATGTTGTCATATTTTTCGACTACGCCAGCAAACGAATGGGTATTCCAGGATGTCTTTGAGTTATATAAGATCAAGTATAGGGACAATACAACAGCAGCAACAAACTTAAAAGAAGACCTGAAGATCATAAACAAGAATGTTAACATTCTAAAAACCGCTCAAACAAAGGCAAAGACATGGCTGGATAATTATCACGTAAGTTCAACTTATCTCGTATAACGGAGGAGATACAATAACATAGTTTCAAATCGTAGAAGCTTTGCAAGACCTGTAGAACAAGTAGTATAAACCCCCCCTCAAATACCAGTATTGTACGCGCGCATTTAATTACGTGTATTATTGACAACTTTATTAATTTACCTTTTGATTTCTTTGGTAGTTTAACACCAATACTGCCAATCAAATCATAATAAACCAAAACGTTGAACAAGGCCCTTCTCATTCAGGTACAGAGTTAATGGCTTGTGCTTTCAGCGCGTAAATAGTACTAACTTTTAAGATTAGACGCTGGTAATAAAAAAAGGAGACTCGATGAAGTAGGTTTCAACAACAATATGGTTACTTAAATACTAACTCATTCCCTTGTTTTCTTCAAAAAGAGTGAAGTGATGGAGCAGGCACACTCAGTTTTAGATACTGATGCTGACAAGTCTGAGCCCGTGATGCTGAAGGAAGGTGAAATCAAAGCCATTTTGCCAAGCAAGCCGTTCTTTATATCAAGCCAAAACTCCGAGTCAATTAATATTTCTGCCAAATTTTATGAATTCCAAAAATCTGCCATTACATTGGCCAATGAGTCTGGTTTGATTCTGGAGACGCATCCACATCATGTTCTAGCACTTTCGTCAGTTCTTTTGATCAAACCCAGTCAACATCATACGGATCTTCTTAAGTTTTTTAAGATCGAAGAATTGAAATTGCTGAGAAATAATGTTCTTTCTAAATTGGCTGGTAAAGATTATGAAGATATTGAATTTAATCAAGATATTTTCATACAAGTCCGTAAAATCATTAAGGTAGTAGCATCAATCATATTATTTCAGTTTACTTATATTCTCTCAAGGGATTCTTGAAATCCAGCGGCGACAGCATTACCTCAACAAAAGAACTCGCATTATTACTTGATACAAACCATACATTCGAATCTAAAATACTATTAAGCTTAATTATGTAGTAAGTGCCTTATGATTTTTAAATAGCAATTTTTAAGTACTAACATTGAATCTATAAAGTATGAACAGCCTCCCTGAGGTTAAGTTTATCGAGCCGTTAGGCGAAATAGAGGTTTGTATAAACCTACTGCACCCGCTACTTTCCCCATTGTTTTATGATAAAGATAATTCCTTCCTTCGCTGGTAAGATACTCCTTTAAAGAATATGTATATACAGGAAATTACTGAGACAAAATATTTTTCAAATATTTAAGGTGCAATAAGATCACTGAAGAAGCCAAAGAAAGCAGAACAAACGTCAATAAGTCTCGCCGTCCAGATGCCATCATCTCGACCATATTGCAAAATCATGTTGGATGTAACAAAGGGTTCGGTGAGGTTAAGGTCATTGAAGGCCTAAAAAATAAGTACGGTCTCGTGAAAGATCTTGTTCGCCTATCTACCTTCTCAAAAGAATCAATTGATTTGAATAACATGAAATGCAACATATCCTTCCAAGCTATTGGTAAATAACATATTTATGCTGCTTAAGGTAATCATATAAATATTAACAATATGACAATTTAGGGGGCCATATTTTTTTTTATGCTCATACACTTTTGGCTGATGGTCTGTATGCTATGGTAGAATTGTGTGATGTGGTTGCTCCTTCCTGTTCAAGTGATTTGTTATCATTCTTATCTGAACTTGATAAGCTTAAGCTGGTTTACAACATCTTCGTCTCATCCTGTAAGCAGTTGGATACAGTGGAAACATCGTGGAAAAGACACACACTTGATTCACCAACATTTTCACAGTATGTCTCAAAGGACAGCGGAAAACAACCCAGCCATTTATCATTTGATTAAACGTGATTTTTTTTTCTATGCCTACTTTCAAAAACTATCCTTATCGCTAAAAAAAAAAAAAACCTTTGTTTTTTGCTTGCTTCCTACTGCTACAGCTATCTTGTTTTGAATAGGGATGGTGGACATTACTTTGACAGCAAATAAATGAAAAGAAAAAAATCGCAGTGCCACAAAGCAACCCCCCCCAAAAAAAGAAAAAATAGTCTCCGCGGCCAGATTATATATTTTTTGTTCTTCATGTTTCTACGAAATACTTTTTCAAAGCAAAACACCTTTTTAAAAAAGATTCACATGTCAACTGAAAATTCAGCCAAGAAACCTGTTCTTGCACTTCCTTCCACTGCAGACGAAACCGTCTCATTTGATATTAATGATACACACAAACTTACAGAATTAGGACCTGTTGGTAAATTAGAAAACGCATAGTTGCAACATGAAAAAAAAAAAAAAGGACTCATGTTTTCTTTTTTTTATTGTATGTGTAGTTATTAATGAAAACGGTACCATGAGTCGAATCAACAATTGGTTCGAAATGAACGATATCGAAAGAGCCAATGTGAATCGTGTTTTATTAAAGAGAAACCGGGAACGTTTAGCAAAGCTTAAAGCTGCTGCTGATGCTGCTGCTGGCGAAGAAGGAGATAAGGAATAATTATTTTTTTGTAAAACAACCCCTCAGCCTATAATTTCATGACGACCTACATCTATTTGCATTTTTAATAAAAAAAAAGTTTTTATTGATGATTCGTAAAGATTCATCACTAACAAAAAGGAAAAGGGACCCATTGCCTTTTTTAGATAGCACTTTTTTCGTGTAATGATGTATGCATTCATTTTGTGTTTAGACCTCCAAAAAAAAAAAGCTCGCTTCTGTTCACATTGCAGATGAAACAGGTACCGATTCATGGAGGGATGCAAAAACTCACATAGACCCAACTTTTTTGTCATTTTTTTTTTTTTTCACAAAACAAATGAATAGATACCAAACCTAAAATTTGAACGGTTACGAAGGAACAAACGCGAAAAAAAAAAAAGAGAAACCTCGTTGAAATGATTGGTTGCCACCCCTCGTTTGGGGGGAGGGACGATATTAAAAAGATTTGGATTTATTTATTCAGCAGCAACAGTAACAGCATATTGGTCACCTAAACCTTTAACAATTTGAACAATTTCTTTAAACTTTTCCTTTTGTTCATCACTTGCTTTAGTAGAAGATTCTCCTTGAGAACAACCTTCAGGTCCACCTTTTTTTTTTTTTTTTTTTTTAAAAAAAAGAAAGTTAACCTTGTTTGTTTGTATCGTTGTTATGTAAAAAAAAAAAAAGACGAACCATTGGACCATTGGAAATCATCCGAAAAGAAAGATAAAGAAATATCTTGACCATAAATATCCTCACTACCAACAGGATCTTCTGTAGGTAAAGCTTGAAGTTCTTGCTTCAATAAATCCAAAAGGCTGGATAATTGTTCACTACAAAAAATATATGAATATTCCAAAACCTAGGTCTAGATAACAGTTTTTGGGAAACTTACGCAGAAACACCACCGGTTTGAGTATGGTAGTCTGTTTTACTTTGAGGTTTCAAGGTAGCTTGTGTAATTGAAGCACCAGAGTTATCACCTTGAATATCTACCACTTGTCTAACCGTCTTTATATAAGTGATATGCAGATATATATATAAAAAAAAAAGGGGGAAGGACAGCATCAAAAAGAGAAACTTACTTGATGGTGGGTCCAGCAAAACCACCTGTAATACCCTCACGAAGAACAACTTGAAATGCCATCTTATTATTTTGTTGAGAAGAAGAAGAAGAAGAAGGATGAAAGAAAAAGAAATTTCCAGATAACAGAACGAGTAAAAGACTAAGGAAAACGAAGACGGCGATTCGAATTGGGTGTTGCATCATTTAAACGTTAAAAAGAAGTTACCTCAAAGATCATGCGGAGCCTAAGATCCAATTTTTTTTTTTTTTTATCTCTCAGCTCGCATTTTTACACACATGTGATCATTTAAGTCACAATCCAAATCCTCCGAGCTTTTCTTTTTTGTAATAGAGTGTCAGAAGGATAAAGAAGTTTTTAAAAGGGTATAAGAAAGTCTTTTGTATAATCCAGACTCTGTCTATCTGCGTCTGTGTTTCATCATGGCAGCTCAAAACAGTATGCAGTCTGTTTAGTTCGAAATTGCTGCATAATAATACTGTAATAGCAGTTTTTTTTTTTTTTTTTTTTTTTTGGTCTTACAAATGTATCATGTTTGTTATCGTTTGCCACTCCAAATGGAGAGAGACTACCGAGATCGGTTTTTTTTGCAGGATTTATAAATACACGCACAAACACTCATTTTTGGCAGATGACGTGTCCGACCCGGACATGACGTAAAAAGAGGCCGGATATTTAAAATCCGGATGGGGGAGTGTGTATGTGTGATGTAGGATGTGTGGGAGTGAGTGTGAGGGGGGCGGAGGATGGGATATTGTTTGGGAATGTGGGGGATGGCACAGAGAGTTCCTTCTTTTTCCAAAACCATAGGTGAGTGACCTAAAAGGGTTGGAAGGGTGAATAGTAGAGTAGATGATGGATGTGTTGGATTTTAAAAAAAAAAAAAAAAAGAAAAAAATAAAGAGGTGATTGATGCAAAGACTGATTTAAAAGATGATAGATTATCATAATGGCTCAACGTCTCACCTACAGACGCCGCTGTTCTTACAACACCCGCTCCAACCGTGTCAGAGCTGTTAAGACTCCCGGTAAGAATAGAGAATGAAAAAGAGAAAAGAAAATAGGAAGACTTACAGGTTGAATTAGGTGGAAAGCTCGTCTACCAATACGAGAAGAAGCCTGTTAAGGCTCCCCGTTGTGGTGATTGTGGTGAAGCCCTCGCTGGTGTAAGTAATTGAATAAAAGGAAGAAGCATCATGTATTAAGTCATATAAAATATAGATCAAGGCTCTCCGTCCTCGTGAGTTCGCTACTGTCTCCAAGACTAACAAGCATGTCTCTCGTGCCTATGGTGGTTCTCGTTGTGCTCACTGTGTCAGAAACCGTATTGTCCGTGCTTTCTTGATTGAAGAGCAAAAGATTGTCAAGAAGGTCCTCAAGGCCCAAAAATAAAAGACTGGCTATTGTTTTCGTTTCTTTTTTTTTTAGCTTTTTTTTTTTTTTTTTTTTTTTTTTTTCTTTTCTTTTTTTTTTTTTTATATGAGAGAGAACACACACACACACAAATAAAAAATGTACAAAGTGTTTTTTTTTATTCTAAAAATTATTTCTTTTGACGTTTACCGGTGGTATTTTTATCCAAAGTAGACTTACGCTTCACAGAAGCCACCAATTGAGAAAGTGATGATTTAGGTGTAGAACTACTGCTGTCTTGACTACCGTCTTTAGTAGACTTTGATTTCTTTTCCTTCTTCCATTCATCGTTCACAGCCACAGCACCTTCCTTCATCTTTGTCTGTCTAGCATTCATCAACTTTTGCATGCTCTTTGTCTTCTTGAATTGAGGATTAGTAGGATCAATGGCAAAGTGATGGGATTCCTGCACTGCACTGAAACGAGGATCAGCCACATCCAACTCAAAATCATCTTCACCAAGGTCAGCAGCGTGTTTACCCTTCTTTCCTTTTTTACCCTTCTTTTCCATCTTTTCACGTTTAAGCACTTCCTTCATATTAAATCCTTCACTCTTGCCATCATCATCCATAAGCAATTCGAGTTCAGCTCTTTCGCGTGCCTTGGTTTCACGTTCTTCCTTGGAAGCTCTCTTCTTGTTGGCTTTAGCAGCTTTTTTATCCACTTTCTTGGCCACAAATCCTTCATCAGCCATTTCTTCCATTGCCTCCTTAAAGAACGGATCATTTTCAGTCTCGGCATCCATATCAGATTCTTCTTCCTTGTCAGATGTAACAGTGGCAGCTGCAAGTTTCTTGGCCTTTCTCTTTTCCTTTTGTTTACGCATATAAGTCTCAATTGAAGTCTCTTCTTGTTCCACTGTATCCTTGTTTTTAACGGCTGCACCAGCTTTTTCACTTAAACCAGGTGTAAAGGTAATCTCCATATCACCTTCATCTTCACCTTGAGGTTTATCTTCATAAGCAGATTCGGTATGGTTACCACCTAATAATTTACGATACTTTTCACGTAAAGCATCTACATCCTCTTCTTCTTCCTCATCTTCATCGGAAGAAGCGAGATAAGCATCGAAATCAAGACCCTTGATATCATCTTGTGTGAATTCACGACGTGTGACTTGGAAACGATCCACATCATCTTCGTCCCAGGTTAAACTGACTTTGGTACGTTGTAAGGCATCTGTTTTATATTTGGTGGGTGTATAACCTTCAGGTGCTTCTGTAGCGATTTCCTTGGGAGCATCATCAAAGGTCATATCCTCAGGGATATAACGTAAATCAAAGAAATTGGCACTACTTTCATATTCGGTGTTATCACAGGTCTTGTAAATGACTTTAGCAGTTTGAGGGGAATCACATTCGATAACAGCATAATAATATTTAAGACGATCCAATTGATATTTACGTAAAGCTTCTTGATCGAAATCAAGACCATCTCCTTCCTCTAATTGATTCTTGACAATGCTTTCGGCTGTGACTTCTTCATTGTCACTGTCCTCGTTTATCTTTTTGTTACGAAAGATTTCTTGTGGGGGACCTTGGGTATCTTCCAACACAAGACGCTCTTTACCAAACTCGGAAGGGTAAATAGCTACACTCTTAATGATGCCTGTATCGGGTTTAAAACCAGAAAGTACTTTCAAGATATCCACTGCCTTAATTTTATCCCAATCCATATTCACCAGGGCTAAACGACTCGTCTCTTCTCCTTCACCAATATGTTTACTAGCATCAATCTCATCTAATTCCTCTTCACTTTCCACTTCTTCCTCATCACTATCCTCATCAGAAGAAGAGATTTCACCACGTCCACGCATAGGATCAAAACCTGCCTTTGCACTTAATTCCTCATCAGATTCTTCCTCTTCGTTTTGAGATTCCTCATCGAGCAAGTTCTCCTCATCTTCAGCAAGCTCCTTTTCTAATTGTTCTAAACTTTTATCCTCATCGGATTCTTCTTCGTCTTCTTCTTCTTCGAGTTGGTAGAAACGCTTTAATTCCTTTTCGGCTGTGCCTTGGTTTAATCGACGACCATATTTATCCACACGAGCTGTTTGAGAAACATGTTAGTTTTGTTATGTTACAGTGATAAATAAAATATATATATAAAAAAAAAATACTTTACGTCCATCACTGAATTCAGTGGAACTCATCATGCCAGCAAAACGTTTGTCAATGGTGACCTTCATATCCTTCTTCTTGGGTCTCAAGAAACGAGGATCATTATGTACACTGGTAAAACGAGGATCGTTGGTAACAGCAACCTTAGGTTCTCTCTTTTGATAACTCTTCTTGGGTGGCATGGCTAAACGGTTTGATTTTAATAAAAAAAAAAAAAAAAGTGTCAAAAGAAGAAAGAAAAAAAAAAAAAAGTTGGGGGATAATAAGGGTTTGGTGTGGAAATTGGGAAAAAAGAGGGAAAAGACAGTCACAGTAAGCCACCCCCTCCCCCCGCCTCTCTCTCCCACGTTTCCTTTTGGCATGAAAAAAGGCAACAGACATAACAATCGAGATGATTCTTTTACATGATATGCGTGCATAAAAAAAAAAAAAAGGTGAACGGGATCATGTTTTGAATGTCAAATAGAAAATTCAGGGGGGGATGCTAGATATTAACCCGTCTTGTAATGCCTCTGTGCATCATTTATATTTTTTTTTTTTTGCATGACAGTTGGGGGGAGGGGGATGGGGATGGGGGGAGATGAAAGGTGAACGCGAATATTTTTTTTTTTTGTTTTTTTTTTTTGAAACTCATAGGCTCTCTTTTTTGTGTTTTTTTCTATTCTGTAAACAATCATGGTAAGTTGAGAATAATGTAAAGAAGAAAAGTTACTGACAACATGAGAAAAGGGTAACCACACTATTCTTTTATTACAATCGGGCAACAGTCAAAAGTAAGATGTGTCATGGGAGTTAATTTTTTTTTTTTTTTTTTCGTGTGTTCATTTTGAATTAACCAACCCTTTCCTTTTTCTTTTTTGTCATTAGTTCACGCTCATACTTGTAAGTGAAGAGGACAAGAAGGTCCTACCAGATGTATTAATATTTTTTATTTTTCTTTTGGGATAGCGATTTTAACTCGGAAAGTGAAGCCATGGACCGTAAGTGGGAGAAATAATAAAAGAGAGAGAAAAAGGTCACTAATGGGAAAGAGTAGACATTGCTGGTTTGTATGAGACCCGACTTGCCAAAGAGAATCCCAACGCGGGTCAAGTGCAATACAGAGCCGAAGATCTTTTTCGATTCATTGATACATATAAGGAATTTGTAGCACTTGTGTTTGATTCTTCGAAAGCCGTAAGATTAAAATTTTATTAAATTGTATTTCACGCATGATTTTTTTATTATTCTTTACTAAACTAATATAATAGATGTACCAACCTCGTGATATTGCTTGGATTAAGGAAAGTTTAATTGCTCATTTCAGTGGTCAACAATCCGCTACACCTGATGTTCAGCAAAGACACAGACAACCACGTAGATACCGTTAAAAATATATATATATATATTTGTAAACTCAGCAGAATCACCGACCTTTTAACCTTTTTTTTTTTTTTTTAATTTTTTAAATATTTGTTTATTTTCCCCCTCTTTTTTTTTTTCTTTTTTTTTTTTTTAATTCTCTCTTTGCTGAAAAAAAAATAAAATAAATCAGCGCTACATATTTTGATTTTACATACACACATATATATATAACTGCAAGACAAAATAAAAAAGTAAAATGAGCAACTAAAGTTGGGCATGAAGAAACTAACTTTTTCTTTTGTTGTAGATGTCAGTTTATACACCTGTGATTAGGTTGCCTTCCAAACGCAAACCGAGTCTAGCACGAATGAACAGTCAAAGCTTTGAACCGGAAGATTTTCTCGTTTCCGATACCTTGTTCTTGGCTACTTTACCAAAGAAAGTAAGAGAAAGTGATATTCGTACTCTTTTACAGCACTGTATGCCCATCGAGTAAGAATTTTTTTTTTTTTTTTTTTTTTAATATATAAATTCCAAACTCCACTATTAAAATGAAATACATATATATTAGAATCATCATTGATAAAGAACGAGACCTTGGACAATTACGATTTAGTCAACCCAAATATGGTATGTTCTGTGTGTTATTTAAAATGAATGTAGTTGATAGAGAGGACCTTATTAAAAAATAAAGTGGGATTTGTGTTTGTGTGTGTTAGCGGACAGAGCTTACTCGTTGTACAATGGATTTACTTTTACAAACAAGGCAAAGTTACAATTGCAAATGTATCAAGATGCCAGTTTGGATCCCGAGGCAACAGCCGCCTTATTAGAAATTAATGGTTTACCCGATTACTTTGATGACAACAAGTTGTATGATCTCTTTCGTCCTTATGGTCCTTTGAACCTATGCAAATGTGTCATGAAGGAAGGCGCATTTCGAGGTACCGCCTTTGTTCAATTCTTTCATCCTCAGAGCTCTCAAAACGCTGAGGTGAACCTGGTAATAGATATCTCCTCTATTCCATCCTATGTTTGTCTTATTTAACTTTTAACTCTTTATTAGAATGCTCGTTTATTGGATGGTTACCAATTGTAAGGGGATCAGTAACAAAACAAAAAAAAAAACCTATTTAAGGGGATTTTTCTTTCTTTTTAATTCATATTTCTCTCTCTTTCTCTCTTTTTTTTTTTTTTCTAATTTAGATCTGTTATTCCTTTTATGCATGCAGCACAACAAAAAGAGGAGGTAAGTTTTTTTTTTTTTTTTGTTTATTCTCTCTCTTTTTTCTTTTATTCTTTTTTTTTTTTTAACACGTCATATTTTTTTATATTTAAAAACACGAGTAGACTGAAGATAGTGTGGTAGACATAATGAATCTTTACATTAAAAACCTTGAACCCCACATCACCAACAGTGACCTCACACAACTGTTCCGAAAGTTTGGCCGAATCATCTCGGCAAGAGTCATGACGAATCCTCAAACGGGTCAGTCGAAAGGCTATGGATTTGTAAGTTTCGGAAAGACAGAAGAAGCCGCTGCTGCTTTACACGAAATGGACGGTGTCATGTTGGGTAACAGACCATTGGTTGTAGCCTATCATGAACCCCGTAAGCCTAGACCTACTACCAACAACACCAATAACACCACCACTACGACTAATTATCAAGACTCATATTACCACCAAAGACAAAGTAACGTCATCCCCCCCCCCTCTCTCTCTCTTTCCCCTTTTTTTTCCCTCTTCCCACTCTCCTTTACTTTCCCCTTAAAAAAAAAAAGGCTCACCCTCCCCCCTTTTTTTATTTTTTAAAACTCCCTTTACTCATAATTATTTATTTTTTATATAATATAGTGCCACCCGCTACAGCAATTAATGGATTAGGTATTGATAATGTGGAAGAATTAGGCATGAACTTAAAGGACCTATCCATCGGTCATAAACCTTCCATGACAACCATTAATTTACCTCCACGAAAAGATCCCGTGATGACAACAACAACAACAACGGGCAACGGTGGTGGCATGATGAAACTTTCTTCGTCTCCCATGTCAGGTACAACCAGTACAGGACGGTCATTAGCTTCTTTAGCTTCCGGTATGAGTGTTTCTGCTCCACCTCCACATCCCTATCCACAACAACAACAACATCATCATGTGTACACACCTCCACAACCACCACCGGTCGTCAATTTAGGTCATAACGGTAAACCTAGTTTACGTCGAAGAGGATCATTAGAATCCGTCATGACCGAAAGTAGTGCCACTATCCAACGAACAAAATTACACGATGCGGTGAGGACATGTGGTGATTATGGAAAGGCCACAGAAGATATTGTGGATATGCTTTTAACTTTGAAACGAAAGGAACGTTCCCTCTGTTTATTTAATCCCGATTTCCTCAAGGACAAGGTGAATTTGGCTCTGGAAGCTTTAGCTACTTGTAATGAATCAGAGAGTGATGATGAGGATGAGGACGATGAAGACGACGATGATGTGGATGGTCTCGACATGGAATACACCATGAGAAAGTGAGTTTTTTTTTTTTTTTTTAATAATTATTCATTGTTCCTTTTTCTTTTCAAAATAAAAAAGAGACTAACCCCCCTTCCCAATCGCTAGTAGAATGGCCGCTGCTGCCAATATGAAGAAACCACTATCGCCACCTTTATCACAACCAGTTTATTCCACACCTACCACTCCAACCAATATGAAGCGTGAATCTAAAGCTATACCCATCGTCGCTCCACCTACCCCCAAAAAATCATCTCTTCCTGTCGAGCAACAGCAACAACAGCCGGTCAAGAATAAGGATGTGGAGGCCCTCTTGCTTTCATTTGAAGGTAAGCCAGTGCATGAAAAAAAGCAACTCCTCGGCGACAAATTATTCCCGCTTGTCAAGGTAAGATATATATATATATTTACATTTTTTTTTTTTTTTTTTTGGTTTTGAGAGAGAGGAAAGATTACTCATCACAAAAATTCATAGTCCACGGGTACAAGACAAGCTCCCAAAGTCACCATCTATTTACTGGATACCGTGGACTTGCACGATTTAGCAAAAATCATGTTTGATACCCAATTATTAAAAATGCGTGTAGAAGAAGCCTTTCTCTCCTTACAACAATAACCTCTGTCTCTCCTCCCCCTCCTCACAAATCCCACTCTCTCCTCACAAAAAATTATAAAAATAAATCTTTCTCTCTCTCTCTTTTTTTTATTTTATTTTTCAAGAAGGTACGCGGAGAGATTCCGTGGTTTGTTCCGTCATTTCTTTCTCATAATAAATACGAGCACGTTGCAATCCTTCAAAGTATTGTGAAGGAATATGATCCATAAGGAAATAAGGATACATTTTTTCAATAAAATAAATAGGGTTTCCATTCCAATGACGTTGTAATTGAGGTCGATTCATTAACCATTGTGCCCAACGTGGAAGTACAGGTAACGCTGCTGGGGTCGTCATGGGTTTACTACTACTGGTCGTTACCAAGGGCTGGTGGTAATAACCCGTGGAAGAAGAACCCACGGTTTGTGTCACAATATTCACTTGCATCGGTGGTTGATAACTTGACGGAAACGTCTTTAAAGGCTTGGAGTTCCATTTACGTGTGATTTGAATCGCATGGCCTACATGAGAATAATTAAAGAAATCCGATTCTGACACAAAATGGCCTTTTTAAAAAAAAAGAAGAGTTACTATTTTAATCTCTTTCTCACTTTTTTGTTTTATAGGGTGTCTTACCGCAGGTCTTGCTATCGTACCCAGGGGGAAGTCGAGAAAAGATATCAGCATTGTTCACAATGCGCCATAGTGTGGAAGCGCGTGTGACGGGTAGATTACTATGGGATGCAAAGGTGGAAGCAAAATCACTGTCACCTACGGCGGGTGTACCAATCACATAGGCATCACGTAAAACCAAACGACGTGAGAGATCGGCAGGACATTTCAACCACCGGGAAAACAAGAGAGAGCTTAAAGCGGCACCCAAAGAATGACCCGTGATCCATAACTGAATGGGTTCCGTTGTGTTTAATTGTTCCTGTAATTGGGCTGCTTTGGATTGCACAGCGGCCAAGATAGCACCATAAGGATCACGAATATCTTCCTTTCCAAACCCTTGTGTACTGAAAAGTGATTCATAAAAACCTTCATGGACACAACCAAACAAAAACGAACGTGCATCCGTGCGTTGGAAAGTAGCATCCACCAAGAATTCTTCGTAATTGGTAGGTGTCGTTCCCTTAAATGCGACGACAATAAAAGGCACAGTTTCTGACCAAAAGATGCCTGTGATGTTTTTTGTTTAAAAAAAAAAAAAAAAAAAATGTCAGTCTTGATATGAACTGTCTATTTTCCTTTTTTTTTTTTTTTTTTTTTTTTTTACCACAGAAGGGTCCACCCAGAGATTTAAGCTCTGAAACACCCGCAAAATGAAGCCCCCAACTCTCGGCAATGAGTCGAATACGTGCCTCAGACTCCCAAAGAAGCTCCTTCATTTTACTTTCAACCTGAGCAAAAGCAGCGGGTGAGGTATCGGTGTCCTTGCGTGTGGTAGCGTACAAGTCATAGGCTTCCTTGACTTTGGTAGAATCACGTTCATAGATTAAGGAAGATAACAGAACAAATGTTTGAGCAATGGAAAGATCAAATGTACGACGACGACAACCTGATACGGTGATCGGAATAGAGGGTAAACCCAACGTGGGTAACGTGGATTGAACAAGATGAGCAGATGTATCGGATAAGAGTAGTTCTGGTGCACCTACATTTTTTTTTTTTGTTAGTGTTTCATCAGTTATATATATATTTTTTATGCATCATTCAAAATATTTACCCCAGTTGATAGCACCAAACCCTATCATGAAATTTTTTTTTTTTAAATAGAAAGTTTGTTTGTATATATACACATGATTTTTAACATATGAAAAAAAAAAAGGATTTTTTTAAAAGATACCTTGCCCGAATTTAAGACTGATATAACGTGCAACTTGAGCCCCACCCCATTTCTCCAAAAACACCTTGAGTCCAATCTCAAACAACACAAGGAAAGTCACGGTCGTTGGGTACACCACGATAAACGCCAACGAGCTCAAGGGAGCCGTTAAAATCATGGTCCAATTAAAATAAAATGTCAATACCAAATTCTTGAATCCGTTCATCATGTAACCTAGGTAAGGCCAATTTTTACTTCGGCCAGGTTCAGGAATACCTCCTCCTGTGTTTGGGTAATGAGAGAACAAGCTACGTGAAAATTTGTTACCGGGTTTTTTGGTATCCAAAAAGATGGGTGTGCCTGCTAAATTCGTTTTGGCATGGTGTTGTTGTGGTGGTGGAGACATGTCCTTTTCACTCAGGGTAGGGATGGAAGGCGTCCTTTTGTGGGATGAGGTCACAGAACTGTTGCTATGACTATGCGCATGTTGGTAGGCATGCATGTCCTTTATCGAAGGTTTGTTTGTGACTTTACCATGAGGGTCTATTCCATTAGCATGACCAGCGTCTAAAGACCTTGATCCCTTGACTTAATTGGATAACAAGTTTAGTATATATATCTTTTTTTTTTTACTGTAACAGACATCTCTCTATTTTTTTTTTTTTTTTTTTTTTTTTTTTTTACCGTGATGTAAGTTATGAGAATACATTTGATAAGAAAGAGGAAAAAAGAAAAGAGGGAGAGGTGCAGAAGGGCGTTTTTTTATAGTTGATACAGATTGTTTATTTTCCATTTGTAATGATCATTACCGAACTATTTTTAAAGTTTCAACTATATAAACAAATCCTTTTTTTTTTATAAGAGACGATCTTTGTCCTGAGGTGTCATTTTCAACGTTCTCGCTCTGGATTTATAATCATCCCAAGGGAAATAAGCACCACAGATACGACGATGACCTGTAAAGGCACTACGACCATGTAATACGCGCCAATTATCAAAGGTCACCACACGACCTGGATTCAAGGTATCCCATACTTCGTTTTTAGCACTGGTCAATAACTTATGCCAAAGAAAGAGGGCGTCATAAAACTCATCTAATTGTGCTGTACTCAAATGATCCAAGGTGGACCGATCATCATTATTGTATCGGATCTGATAAAGTTCCCCGCTTGTATCATCGTGGTTCAAGATCGGATGAGCGCGTGGGGTAGGTACGATCAGGACTTGTTCATCACCCGCTGAATGTGTAGGTACGCGTGTATTGGCTAATGTACGATACGCAGTTGGATGCAATCGTTTTAATTCTCTCGCTACATGAAACCCATCTACAAATAAGGAATCTCCACCTTGGCCTTCAAATTCTAATTTGTGAAACATTTGTAAACCCGCAGGTTCCGTAAAATAGGTGTTATCCGTATGCGCTCCTAAAGCCAATTGGGTGTAGGCTGTATCGGCATGAGCTAAATCAGCGGTAAAGGACCAGATACCTTGAGAATAATGTGTCTCTCGTAAGAAACAAAGACGACGTGCCAAGGCTTCGGTCGCTTCCACTGTGGTGGGTACACCCTCGATAAATGAAATACCATAGGTCTCTAATTGATCAAGCCATGCTTTTAAACCTTGTGTGGTTTCCATGACTTCTTCGTGTTGTAAAGCCGGTACGTTGAGGTTAGCGTCCCAGAGGATGGGTCTCTTTGTCTGTAAAGGTTCGTCTGTACGCAAGATGGGACTGTAAGAATGGGTGTGTAACCAGTCCCAACGGTAACGCGATTGATGCCCATCAGGCCAAGTCACGTCCAAGGCATCTTCTGTACTATCCAAGGCGACAGGTTGGATATCACGTGGGATAGAAAAAGTATCGACCAAACGTTGACGAGTCACAGGATGGTAACATTGAGGACAATGACAATGATCTCGTAACCAAAAATTGTTGTAGACACTGGTTTTACGTGCATTCCAGTCAAGGTAAACTTGTTGTGGGTTCGCTAGTCCGGCTTTTTGAGGTATGGTGCCTGTACCTTGGAGTTGCTTTTTAGCGTTTTGTTTATGACTTGCAAAAAGTGAAGAACTGAAGGTACGGCGTGTCGTGACAGCTGCCATCATTCTTTTCGAGAAACACTGCATATTTGTTTACTGTTAAAAAAAAAAGGGGGAGTTTAAAGGGAGAAGAGAAAAAAAAAAGAAAGGGAGTTTAGCTGGGGGGGGAGGGAGGGGGTTATAAAAAAAAATCCGGGGACCTTCTTTTTTTTTTTTTTTTTTGGTTTCTCACACACAAGTTTAAAAAGGATCCTTTCAGTTTTGATTGTGTTTAAAGTTTAGTAGTGTTTCACAGGTACAATGATGTGCAATTTTTCTTATGAAAGGAGTACATCTCATCAAAAAAGGAGAATATCACTTTATCCTAAAGACAATCAAATGAATAAAAAGGGCTAGAAGTAAATCTGGGTAGGGCTAAAAAGAGAATAGGCTAGAAGCAATATTTTTTTTTTTTTTATTGAAATAATATGGGGTAACCTATTATTCTCATCACGGCTTTAAAGAACGGCTTTTTTTCATTAAGCTCATTAGTCAATTTGATAATCTATTTCTGGAAAAACCCAGACGGTGGGGTTTCATTTTTTTTTTTTTTTTTTAATGGTCAGTAACATGCTCAAGCTGCGGGAGAGGGGGGGGGATGGAAACTAAAAAAAGAAAGAGGAGAGACTGTCTTTTGGATACATATACAGATACATCATTGCGATATGTAAAACTAGGATACAGCCTAAAATAATTAAAGGGGGTAATATGTTCATAATACGCGCGCTCAAAAAAAAAAAAGTCTTTTATGAAAGAGAACCCAAGTGTAAAACACAGTCACGCATCACGCGTCATTGGGCTCAGTGCGAAAGTATTTTTTTTTTTTTTTTTTTTTTTTTGCCAGACAAAGCAACATCAAAAAAAAATCTCTTTACACTTTTTCACTGTATAAATAAATAATATTAAAAAAATGTCTTACTACGGTGGAGATAGAGATCGCGGCGATCGTGATAGAACAGATAGAGGAAGTGAAAGAACTGGTGGCGATAGATCAGATAGAGGTGGTGGAGGTGACAGAGGAAGACCTAACCCCTGTAGACTCTATGTTGGTAATGTGGGGACATCCCCCTTATCTCTCTCTTCTATATTGTCATAAATAAATTAACACCTTTTCTGCTATTTTTTTTTCTGTTTCTAGGTAAAGTGAGTCGTTATGTTCGCGAACAAGACTTGAAAGATCTCTTTGCCAGATACGGTCGAATCAGAGATTTAGTCCTCAGAGTAAAAAAAAAAAAAAAAAAAAAATTATTTTCGTTGTTCACATCATGTCAACTTGGTCTAATCTTTTTTTTTTCTTCTTTCTTTATTAGGACTTTTATGCTTTTATTGAATATGATGTATGTATTTGTTGTTTAAATGTTTCGTGTTCTTTCATCTCCATTCTTCTTTTTTTAACCTGTTGCATTTAGAACGTCAGAGGTATTTAATTCATCTTTTTTTTTGTCATTATTGAAAAATTTTCTTTTTCTATTATGATGATGACCTTTTTTTTTTTTTTTCTTCTTTTTTAAAAAAAAAAAAATAATATTCCAACACACCATAAATTTTTTTTCTTTTCTTTCCTATCACCCTTTTTAGATGCTGAAGACGCTGCCAAGGAACTCAATGGTTACAGACTGGAAGATGAAAGATTGATTGTTCAAGTTGCTAACCGTGCTCGTGATCGCTCCGAACGTGATAGTCGTGATCGCGATAGCGGTCGTCGTGATAACCGTGATAGTCGTGACAACCGTGATAGTGGTCGTCGTGATCGCGATTTTGACAGAAATGATAGATCAGCACGAAGAGGTACATCAGACGCTGCTGCTGAACCTGCAAGCGATAGATGTTATAACTGTGGTGAATTCGGTAAGTGTCTCTCTCTCTTTTTTTTGTATTGTTATTCTGCTTCCCCCCATACTTACTCATACATTTTTTTAAAACTAGGTCATATGTAAGGATAATAGAGATACAGCGAGAGTTGAAAGAGGGGGGGAAGAGAGAAACACACGAGAAAGAGAGAGAAAGAGGGAATGCTAATCTACTTTTTTTTTATTTCACGCTTTTTTTTTAAAAAAACAGTGCCAATGAATGGTAAGTCATTATACTTTAATCTTTGCGTGTTTGTTCTAATCATCTTGTCAATATAGTCCTTTGCCCAAGGGTAGCGGTGAACGTGCCATGAGATTCCAAAAGGGTTGTTGTTTGTAAGTACAGTTAATGAGGCAGAAAGAGAGAGAGAAAGAAAGAAAGGAAGGACTGACTGATTTTGTTTTGTTTTTTTTTATTAATTATAGTGAATGTGGTCAATCTGGTCACAGAGCTCGCGATTGCCCGTAAGTACATATTAAAAAGTGACAGAGAAAAAGAGAGGAGAAAACTAACAAAAGAGTGTGTGGGGGGAATTAGTGACAGAGCCGATGGAGGAGGAGCTAGTTCTTCTAGAAGACGTAGATCGCGTTCTCGTAGTCCTGCCAGACGTTCGCGTTCACCTCCTAGACGTTCTCGTGGAGAGAGACGTTCTCGTAGTCCTGCTAGACGTTCTCGTAGTCCCAGAAGATCACCCAGTCCTAAGCGTAGACGTTCCGTCAGTGGATCTCCCAACTCACCCCGTCGTCGTTCCATGACTCCCGGTAGCCCAAAGCGTCGTTCACCCAGTCCTGCCAGACGTTCCAACAGTAAAGATTCGGGTGATGTCAAGATGGATTAAAGAAAAAAAAAAAAAAAGAACTCTTTTGTGTGGTGCGCGCGTTGTTGTTCAAACCTATCACAACCTGAAAAAAAAAAATGACGTGAAATAATAAAAAAAAAAAAAAAGTTGAAATCCCGTTGTGATAAAGAAAATATTTTTTGTTGTTGTTTGGTGCGTTTCGCTTTGCTTCTTGTTGTTGTTTGTTAGATACATAGATAAAAAAAAAAATGCCTATTGTTTACTCTTTTGCTAATGGAGACGCGCTTTCCAGTGGTCTTGACGGGTTTGTTGAAAAAGTGTCTGGTGAGGCGATTGCAAAGCACGGTCATCTTTCCATTGCCATCTCGGGTGGATCCTTACCCAAGATTCTGTCCAAGCAGTTAGCACACAACGCCAACGTTGATTTCTCCAAATGGCATATCTTTTGGGCCGATGAACGCTGTGTAGCTCACGATCATGCGGATTCCAACTATCTCGAGGTCAAAAAATCCCTTCTTGACCATATCCCCCAAATTCCTCAAGAGAATATTCATGCCATCGATAATACTTACGCCACGGCCAAGGATGCTGAAAAGGCCGCTGTAGACTACGAACAACAATTGCTCAAGTTCTTCAAGACAGAAGAAATACCTCGTTTTGATTTGATCTTGTTGGGTATGGGCCCCGATGGTCATTGTTGCTCCCTTTTCCCTGGACATCCCTTGTTGGATGAAAAGAAACGTTTGGTGGCTCCCATCTTTGATTCTCCCAAGCCTCCTCCCGAGAGAATTACCTTGACTTATCCTGTGGTGAATGCGGCTCAATGTATCGTCTTTGTCACGGCGGGTGACGGTAAAAAGGACATGGTACAACAAATCATTGAACAACCCGAGTTGAATTTACCTTGTCAACGTGTCAACCCTACCGATGGTCAAGTCTATTGGTTCATTGATGATGCTGCTGCTGCTAAATTAAGAAAAGAATCTTGTTCAGATTATAAGTTATAAAAAAAAAAAAGAAGGGAAACTCCCTATAATAAAAACAATTCTCCTTTACATGTTGTATAAATTATTCTATCTCTCTCTCTCTCTTTTTTTTTTTTACTATCAAAAGAAGATAGGAGCGCTTTAGCATACAAAATAAAAAAAAAAGAGGGGAGTGTGCATTCAATGTTGTAATCTTTTACTCCTACCTAAGTCATCTTTTCTGCCCCTTATTGACTATTGTCTCTATGGTCTGGATTGATTACATTCTTACTCACCTTTTCTTTTTTTTTTTGAGGGTTAATTACAAGATAAATCACTGGGGGGATAATATAGAAAATAAGGGACTTTTGCTCCCTTCTTTTTTTTTTTTCTTGTTTTTTTTTTGCGTTTTCAAATTTATATAAAAACCCTCAGTTTCGATCTCATCTTTCTAAATTGTTTTCATCGATATCTATTTTATTTATAACAATAATTTACCTTATAGACTCTTTTCTTTAATACAAAAAAAATATAACAATGACTCGTCTTACTCATATCTGTTTAGCTACGCTTGCCTTGATGGTCGCTATGACGGCTGCTGCTCCCTGTGGTCATAACCATGACGGTGGTGTTGGTCATCATGATGGTGGTGGTCATGGTGGTATGGATCATCCCGTTCAAGAAGACCCCGAGGAAGACAATGATGAAGGTCAAGAGGGTGGTGATGATTGGGATAACGATAACGATGATGAAGGTGGACCTGAAGATGATAACGGTCCCGATGATCAAAGCGGTGCTCACGATGACAATGATTCCGGTGATGATACCAATGGTCATCATGGTGGTGGCTCTGGTTCTCATAACGGTGGAGGCAACAATAACAATGGTGGTGACAATGGTAACACCGGTGGTGGTAACGGTAACACGGGTGAAGGCAGTGGTAACAATGACAGCAACAACAATGGTAATAGCAACAGCGGTAACCACAGTAACAATGGACATCATGATGATAACAGCCAATTGAACGGAGGACACCAGGCTGGTAACGATGGTGGTAACAATGGTGGTAATAATGGTAACAACAATGGTGGTCATAACGGCGATCATGCTGGTAGTGTTCATTATGGTGCTCCCAACAGTGGTGGTGGAGGTGGATCTCTCATCAGTACTGGTAATATCGGTACCGGTGATATCAATGCTCCTGCTTTGGCTAAGAATGCTGCTAACTTTGATAAGTTCGCGCTTACTCATGTTCTTGACAGTTTTAAAATTCTCTAAATTTTTTAAATTATTTTTTTTCTTTCAACCTCACTACTTTGTTACTGTAACCCACTTTTTTTTTTCATTTCAGCTACCCCCCTCTCTCTTTTTTCTCACTTTTTGGCATATTTAGCCATCATCGTCATTTGATCATTTTAAACCACATTTAAATAATAAACATATTATTGTCACAAATTTCTATAATTTTTTTTTTTTAAATGTGCATGAAGAGGAGGTAAGTCAATAACATCATAATGAGAAAAAGACATGTCATTTTTTTTTTCTTTCGTGACTAGGTGCATCATATCTGTCTTTTCTCCCACTTTTTTTTTTTTTTTATACCCGTGCTTAAAATTGTAGATCCTGCTTTTTTTTTTTTTTAGGAGATGATTTTTTTTTTATGCGTGTTGTACACAATTTAAAGTTTTGGTGCCTTGCATGAATTTTGTCAATGAGGTACAAGCAAAAACCTGTTTCTTTCTGGAATTTAAAAAGAGTGGCTTTTTTTTTTTTTTACATTGTACAGAAAAAAATAAGGACATCTTACATCAAGCAGAAGTGTTCATCGTCCAACTTTTTTTTTTTTCTTACAGAAGGGGAGAGGGATAGCAATACTAGTAAGTGATAAGGATCTCCCTTCTGTTAGGATGAGTCTGAAGAAATCTCCTAACGCGGGGTCTTCTTGTTTTTTTTTTTTTTTTTTTTTTTTTTTTTGAAAAGAACCCAGGATTTGCTCATTTCCCATTTTTTTTTTTCTCTCTCTTGTTTTTTTTTAAAAAAAAAGAGGAGATAAATCTGTCAATGATTGTCAATCTTCCAAGGGAAAAAAGGGGGAGTCTAAATGTATTCATCTGTCTCCTTTCCCCTCCCATTATAATATTCCCTTTTTCTTCCTCGGAGACCGCTGTGGGTTTATCATCTACGGAGCTAAAAACTATATAGATAATGATTTAGAGAGTGAAGGATAAATGCTCACTGTAGATACCATGTCAGAAAGTGAATTTATTGACCCACTTGTTTGTATGGGAAATATTCTTATTGAGATTCATCTATTATTGACAGGATTATCCTACTACTACTACCTAGTAGGTTAAAAATAATTTAATCATATAATTTAATCTATTTCATCAAATTGATTATTACTTGAGCTTATAGTTACTATTTAATTATCTCTAGCTATACTCCAGGTAAATTGTCTCATATGAATGCTTGAAAGACATGCTTGGTTTTAATTTAATAAAAATGTAAGACACATTAATAGGATCTTTTATAAAGTAATACAAAAGACACGAATTTGGTATCTTCAATTTAACTTGCCAGTAGAAACTATTTACATGGCATAATCAAGTAAGAATAACCTCACTAGAAGACGTCTTGATCCTGAAGTAATTAACTGTACTTCTAAACTCTAAAAAAAAAAAAAAAAAGGAAAACTAACATGCTTCTAAATAGGAAATTGCCTGGGTAAAGAGTCAGACAGAATTATGAGAGTCTAATTAGAAAGAGCTGTACCAAGGTATGCAGCTGTTGCGGTGGACTTTTTTTTCGTAAATACTGCAACACCAAGGCCACCAAAGAAAAACTACGAAATGAGTGGAATTGCGAAGAGAGTATTGTGGAAATGGCTTTTTTTTGGCTCGTAGACAAGAGAACATCTACGTCTTTTTTTTTTTTTTTTTTTTTTCTACGTACTATTTTATGAGCCTGTTTTTTTTTTACGTTCATGAATATTCTTGTTTTCTAGTATATGAAGGCTTAAACACATGGATGATTAAGTAAAAAATTAAATCATCCGGACATAAGCCAGCTCTTGTTTATCAGCTTATAAATTAAACTCGTTCACACGATCTTCTGATTGAATTAACAATTGAATCATCCTGACATAAGCCAGTTCTTGTTTATCAGTCTACAAATAAAACCCATTTAAACATTTTTTTTTTCCTTTCTCCTCTTCTATATAATGAAGATTTTCCCATTACCCGTTGTAGGCATTGTAAGCATGAATTTTACAATACCAACCACGGTGGGTCAGAATATTGAGCAGTAAGCCGTCTTTGATGGTTCCAAAATACATTAAAAAAGAAAAAAGAAATGGATCACGTGACTCTAAAAAAAAAAAGGTAGAAAAATTTACAAAAAGACGTAGGTGTAGACATTGTCCTATTGCTGAGATAAATCATGTTGGGACGGGAAGTGGTATCCGTTAGTGAACATTGTCTCACTTGTTTTTTTTTTCTGAAGCTTCTAGATAAACAGTAAATGGAGGATATCGAAGAGTTAAAGAAACAGCTTGAAGAGAACCTAGACGGCGCATCAAATCAATCGATTAGGGATTATAGGAACAGGAGAAAGAAGGAAAGAGAATATGGAATCGGCAATCCGAATTGTTCCAATCAACCCGTCGATGTCGTCGTATTCGTCGTCGTTGTCGTTGTCGTCGTCGTTGTCGTCGTCGTTGTCGTTGTCGTCGTCGTTGTCGTTGTCGTCGTCGTCGTCGTTCAAATCCTCTTGTCACCCATAATAAAACAACTACCACTACCACGACAGTAACAACTACCACTGTTGTTACAAAAAACACTGCTGCTACAAAGTATACCGATGATACGAAAAGTATCACTGTCATTGAAAAAAAAAAAGGCAATTAACCAAAAAAAAAAAAAAAAAAAAAAAAAAAAAACCACTAACTTACTCATATTGATAAGATAGGATGGGAAAATGCTGTCATCTTTTTATATTATTGTAGCCTGTCAATTATTTCGATGCCTAAAGAGTCTAGATTTATTTCCTTGATTATGCTGAAACTATAAGCGGGGAGGGGGAGGCGATCAAAGAGTAAGAATTATGAAACGGAAGCATTTTTATAGTGTCAAAATGACGTTTTTTTTTATGATGACATCTTTTGTTTGCTTTAATAATGAATCTAAATGACATGGATGGAACACTTATAAGGATGTTTTCAGCCTTTCATGCGTTGATAGCCTTAAATTTTATTAGGAGTTTTCTTAAGTAAATTATCACATGTTTTTTCTTTTTTAAATATGCCTGTGTATTGACGACAAGACATCGGGGGAACCCATTTTTAATCTGATGAGGAATAAACAAAAAGCTTTGGTTACCAAAGCCACTGATACATGCACTCTGGGTATGACAAATATATAATAAATCAGCAAACATTAAACTTGTTTTGGTATGTCACACGTAAAAAAAAAAAAAAAATAAGCATAAGTTTTTTAATGTTTGAGCTTTTTTTCCTTTGTACGCCTCCCCTTCTTTCTTTTAAACTTTTTTTTCTTCTTCTTTTTCTTTGATCGATGCCTTCTTTCACAAGTAGACATCCTTATGTAGAATATAAAATGTTTAGTCATCATGAATCACCCTTGCTTAAAAGACGAAGACGGGATCGTGGTAGAAAGAGCCATCTACCTAAACAACGAGCGGCAGTGAATATGTTTGATGAGCTGATGGCGGAATTGGATTACTCATATGACACACTCGCTACTATTAACGTCATCTTTGACAGCTTGAGATTTACTTATGCTACCAGTAAAAATGATATTGATCGATTAAAGAACAATACCATCTTGGGCGATATGGAAAAGGAATTATTGATCGCCTATGATGATCTAACGCTTCAAATCAATCATCTGGAGAAAAACATTTGTAAAATCGAAAAAAAGATGCTTAAACTGAAGGATGATGAACTCTTTTCTTCTCATAAACATACCCTTTGGTATTCAATACCTTAAATCCCTTTTTTTTTTTTTTATAATATGCCATTTTGTTTTTGTTGTTCTTTAGTAAAAATAAAATAATCGGCTTTTGGGGTGGAAAGCACTCCGATAACTTGATTCCCATTGGCCCCTGATTTTTAAAATGTTTTGATTGCTCAATGCAAAAAATACTACTCTTTGCATCTGGAGCACTAAGAGAGAGTCACAGTTCTACAAGTGAAAGTGTAGACAGGAGTATTGCATCATTGTCTATTATGTCTTCCTCTTCAACCAATGACATTTACTAAATAGTATAAAAGCACTTAATCGCTATAATGATATCTACCTCCATTGTAAACAAGAATTATTTGAGATTCAATTTACCGTTCAACTTGCAGGAAACCAATAGAGAGTTTAGGGGACTCAGATTTTCACTAAGTGTTACACTATAGCATTCACAGTGACTTTTATCACTGTCCTAATACAGACTAGTAGAAGGCCAATAACATGAATTTTAAAAAGTTGGTCTTTAAAATATGGGATATTGACAGAAGCGATTGGCTTACTTCAAGGACAGATTAGTGAAAGCGTTTACACTAATAGTGTAAAAAATGATGGAAAAAAGCACTAATCTGATTTCCAAACAGTATAATTTACTTTTTAGTACAGTGTAAATTAATCCCCTAAAGTCTCTAATATCACTTGACTCACCTTCACCAAGAAAGATTAACGTATTTCAATAAGAATACTCATTGGGGAAAGTACATGATTTTTGCCAAAATAGTAATTTACATTTGCAGCTTCACTTTGGTGAATGTTCGTTTATACGAGAATTATTGTAGACATATCAGCTCATGAATGTAGACCGGTACAGATGCTTTATTAGCCGTATTAAGTGGTCTACCAGACGTGCAAGAAGGGCCAAATCATTGACTATAGTCATAATATGATAATTTATTTTTTTTCGGATGAATTAGATTAAGCTTTTTTTTACAAAAAAAAAAAAAAAAAATAGCGGGGGCAGCGTACAAGGTTGAGGAGGGAAAATCCAGTAATTACCAGCAAACCGGTTAGGCTACTTTAGTGTTTCTCCTGTTGATCCCGGCTAACTGACTGTGTCAATTTTGTGACCTTTTTCTTTGGCCTTGTATTTCCCAAAAAGTTTTTTTTTTCTTTTTTTTTTTTTTCTTTCCTACTCACTTTTTATATAATAATACTCATAAAATGAACCACATGGAAGAACCTCGGGCATTATCACATGCTCTTCATTACGGGTGGGTCTTTTGGTTCATGCATAGATCTCCAGGTGAAAAAATTACAAATTACGAAGCGGCAATGAAAAAAAATCGCAACTTTTAATACGGTAAGAAAGTAATGATAATAATAAAAAAAAAAGAGAGAGAGAGAGAGAGAGAGAGAGACAACTCATCGTTTATTATTATTATTATTATTATTATTGGGTTTAAAGGTAGAAGAATTTTGGGCTGTTTATAGTCACCTTCGCCGCCCAAGCGACTTGCCAAATATCAGCGATTATCATTTATTTAAACAAGGTGTTCGACCTGTTTGGGAGGTAAAAGCGAAAGAGAGAGAGAGAGCTTGTTTTTCGTGTTATTTTATTTATTGATAAGTATACACCTTTATAGGACCAAGTTAATATTAATGGAGGAAAGTGGATTGTTCGAGTTAAAAAAGGATTAGCAAGTAGATATTGGGAATCTTTAGTTTTAGCTATTATTGGGGATCAGTTTGATGTTAATGACGAGATTTGTGGAGCAGTCTTGTCCATTCGAGGTTCGGAAGACATAATTTCTGTTTGGAACAAGACTTCTTCCAATGGCAAAATTAATCTTAAAATAAGGTATGTTGGTTTTAAAGAATAAAAAAAAGCAGAGAGAGAGGGAAAGGAGGGACTGACAAATGTTTGTTATGTAGGGATACCATCAAGAAACACTTGAGTTTACCATCAGAGACAACCATGGAATATAAGACACACAACGATGCACTCAGAGATAATTCAAGTTTCCGTAACACTGACGTATTCCGATGAATCACCCTTCCCTCCCAAACCCCCCATACCATTTATTATTTTTTTTCTTTTTTTTTCTTTTTTTGTTGCTAAAATTTTGTAAATATAAAAAAAAAAGGCTTCATTTTTTTTTTTCTTCTTAATATCTCTTGTCGAATTGAAGTAAGAGTGTATGTGGTGTCATGTCTATCTGAACACCACCTTTGTGGATCGAATCAACCGGAAGTTCAATCAAATACTTTCTTACTGCAGTCATTTATCAAAGAAAAAAAAAAAGAGTCAAAAAATCATTATCTCTTTTTGATTTTTTTCTGTGCAACTTACACATCATAGCCAAAGTCACTCTTTGCTCTGTCATGCTTAGATCCATTCCATCTCCATGACAAAATGGTACAAATGTATATCCATTTTCCTTCTCCATCTGGTCATATTCACCTCCAGGTGCAAATCGCTCGGGATTAAACTTATAAGGTTCCTCCCATAATTGAGGGTCATGATGCAAAGCATGTAGATCAATACTGACACTCGTACCTTGAGGAATAAGTACTTTACCAATGAACGTATCTTGTTCCATTCGGTGGGGACTTGTAAACAATGGCATACCAAATCTACGAAGGCTCTAAATCATGGGTTACATTGAATTTTTAGCCCACGATTTATATATAAGTGTGTGTGTGTGTTGGGCAAGATATTACTTCTTTGATCAGCATGTCTAAATATACCATGGAATTACAATCCTCTACAGTGGGTATAACATCCTTTTTCTCATCTCCGAGAATGCGGATAACTTCCTGGCGTGCTTTGTTTTGAATGATCTGTTTATCTTTCTCTTTAACACAACAAACAATTAGGTTATCAAAATACGTTTTTTACATGTTATACCTTGTCATAAGCGAGATAATACAAACAACAGCCTAAAGCATGAGATGTGGTTTCGTGTCCTAATAGTTATAATTTAGATTCATTTCGTATTTCTCTTTCTCTTTCTCTTGGTTACCGTTTACAAAAACAGAAGCTAAATTACACTATTGAAATAATTTTTCTTTTAGATAGAAAAAAAAAGAACCCTTAGAGTGAGAAAGTACTAGTTACCTTGATCTCTTCGTTTTGAATACACCCTTCTTCTCGTATTTCAGACTCTAGAACCAAAGTCAAAAGATCCTTCTCATTGTCAGGTCTCGGGTCATACTTCTTGCTGTGAATTTCCTGTCTTCTTTTCTCAGTGACGGATAAGAATAACTCATTTAAACGATCGACACTTTTTAAAAATCGTCTTCTTTTGAATGGTACATGTCGAAGAAGCCAGTCGAGTCTCGAACATGAAGTGTCTGTATACATTTGGATCCACTCTATCTTTTTTGGTTTATCCAACGACTCAAAGTCAAAATTGAACACGGTATGACCCAGTGCATCTAGAGTAAGCCTGTACATTAAATCAATTATTTTCACTGTCTGATTCGTTTCTTGTTCAATTACACGAAACACTTTCTGAACGAGTGATCCTAATAATTGAACAGGTGCTATCCTTTCAATTGCTGGATCCATGATCTAAGCGCAATAATGTATCAATAAACGAACTGTTTTTTTTTGGGGTGACCTTTCCCTCCCCTCTCCCCCTTGCTTTTTTTTTTCTCTCCTTTGTATTTACCTTTCTTTGTTCTTTCCGTGCATTTACAGATAAAAGACTGTTCTGGACAAGTAAACGAGAGAGTGGATTGGTTTGCGTATTTAAAGAGAAGGCACTTGTTTTGGACAAGATGGTTTTGACTGCCTCTGGGTCGAGAGTAAAGAGAATCCAGTCTGTCAAAGGTAACCTTGACAAGTAAAATTTATGAATAGTCGACACGTTTTTGGGAAATACAAGACGTTGTGTAGGTTTTTTTTTACGTAAACATGCCAACATCCATTTGAAGTAACCAACAGATCGAAAATGTCTCAAGTGAGGGGGGACACGTAAGAAACGATACAACCATAGAATAAAATAAACCGAAAATAAAAGTCCCAAGTAAGTGTATTTTGTTTTGGAAGATCTTTTAATGAGTAGATTACGTGTAATTTCTTGTACAAGCATTTAATAAAGAGAAAAAGGAGAAAAAGAAGAAGAAAAAAAGCGTCTTATTTATTTACTTATTATCCTGGGTAGTAACAATAAGGGGGGGATCGAGTGCATGTTTTGAAACATAAATTATAAATATTTGTATTATCAGAAATATGTCGTTCAGACTCTGAGGCATAATTTGCTTATCCAGGAACAAATAAAGGGGGGGGGTTATTACTCAGTTGAAGTAGCAAAGACCATAATAGGAAGCTGCATAAATAAATACGCGTGTAACGCTTTGTTGGAGCAACACAACGGTATCCTAAGTAATTATTAATAGTTGCAACGATGTAAATGTTAAATTGTGCATTGAAACTAGATTATTTTTAATCCTAGTTAACAGTAAGCATTTTTCTCTCGTCTTGATCTTACTGAAAAGTATCCTTTGATATACTAAGGAAAAACGAAGCTATCAATGCTGATTATTTAGAATGTGATGTCTGTTACGAATTATAGGGTCCCCTATACTCGAATTGCTTTTTTCACCCAATAAGCACAAACTGATTGTTAAAACTGAAGAAACAGTTAGCGTGATATCCCAGAAGTGAGTTTTAGTGATGGGTCAAACTCTCCTGGTTTTGGAACTAACTTTGGTAAAAAGTGTTATTATCTACCTCATAAAATTGCTTTAAATAAGTTTCTGAGTTGTCCTGAGAGTTGAAACACCGATTTAATAAATTCGGCACGGGCTGATAAAAGATAACGAAGCTGAGCCGATTTTTAAACTGGAGAATAGGCACTTTCTGTACGCCTCTAAAAAATAAAGAAGCAAGGGTACCTCTGGTGTTGTTTGGTTAACCAAGCAATGATTTTGTTAGAAGACACTTAAAAGAAAAGCCTTCAAAAGGAGATGACGGTGTCGATTACGATCAGTTTGGATGGGGAAAGACATAAAAGTCTCACGAATAAAACCAAGGATAAGAGTCCATATAAATACATGTTTTAATATATGTTTTAGGGACTGACTTGGTTAAACATAAAGCCCCTCGTGGATATTTATTTATTGACAATATACTCCAATTGTCAATATTAGCATCTTAGGGTACCGTTATTTGACATTTGAATACCTCTTCTTAAACACTTGTTGACATTGACATCGGATAAATCTGACTAGACTATCTCATTGATTATTATATACTACTTTTTTTTTCTCCAAAACTATCTATCTTGGAAAAAAACTTTTGCGACAGTTATTAATGCCTGATAGATGGACAAGAACAACTCTGATTAAAGTCATGTAATAAAAATTAGTCATGGGTCTACTTGGTATTCTTTGAACATGTATATTTGAATGACGAGAGCAAAATTGCTGGTTTAATCAACCATGCGATTTCCTTTTTCGATTATTCGTGCTAGGTTAATTATCGCCAACACTTGACCTTTTTTTTTATTTTTCCGCAGTACTGAGACAAAAACATTTGGTTTGAAGAAAAAAAGGTTGGTCTTGTTGCAAGTTATCTTATAAAGACAAAACTATTATGCACTTTTACACGCTTTCTATGATTATTATTGTAAAAAAGAAACGGCAGAATACATAGATTTGGTCTTGTTTTATCGAATTCTATTTGCAGATCACGTTCAGCGAACCAAAATTTGCGATCTCCCAAGATAATAAATTTTAGTGGTCCTCTGATATGCCATGCTATAATCTCATCAAGCAATCAGTGCATATACGAAATTATACGTCTATATGGAAATTATAGAAGTTAGTAACAGAACATCACATTATTTTGCTAGAAATCCAAGAAAAAAAAAACTCTCATTTAGGGTTCATTAGAAAGTTTATGCAACTTGGTATTTAAAAAGAGTATAGATTAACTAATAGTAGAGTCTGACGCATTCATCGATTTAATTGTATTAAAATACTACATGCATGTTTGATAATTGTAGTCTGTAAAACCCTGTAGACAGGTAACATTTGGAGACGAACTGGGAAAGTGTCAAGTGACATGCATCCTGTCCTCTTGGGCCAGAAAGAACGGTACCCGTTTCTTAATTTTATAGCCCACCCAAAAAAAAAAAAGTTCTATAAATATAAAAAAATGGTGTTCATAAATTGCAATTTTTCCCCCTTTTTTTTTTTTTTTTTTAACTTAATTTCTCTGTAAAAGAACAGCATTGACTATATGATGGACTTATTATTTGGCCCACGAAAAGACATAGTAGACCCATCTGCTATAGCTACGCTTTCTATCGAATTACTTCCCGAATTTGGATGGTCAATCGGGAAAGATAATCAGAGAGCGTTTGGACCAGGCACAATTTTTCAAGGTTTGCTTTTGCCTACTTTTTATTATTATTAGCCAAAATAATTCACACGGCTAATGTTTAACCCTTATCCATTAGGATTTGTAGTTGTTAAGTGCCACGAATTTTCAGAAAGAGCGTCTTGTCTTCATCTTGTGTTTCAAGGAGTAGAAGTGATGTTGACATTTGATTCAGGACCTGGTATTATTAGGTCTGAGTCAAATCAACTTTTCCGATCAAGTATATTTCTATGGAAACCTACTGCAACATTAAATTCACTAAAGCCAACAAAGACGTACAAATTTAAATTCACTGTACAAATGCCCCTTGTACAATTCCCGCCTTCCATGAATCATGAATATTACCGCTGTACATACAGTCTTATTGCTCGTTTGGATGTACCTTCGGACTATTGCTACGAGCCAGTAATCGCCTTCAGTCATATAAAGTATATCCCACTCACCGAAACTAAGTTACTCAAGGCACCCATTCTTCTGCCGGACCTGAAAAAGAAAAAGAAGGCCAGTTCATTGACCACTTTAACAACTTCAGTTATATTACATTCGGTTGAATATGTATCCGGTAGTACCATCCAAGCCACTGTCAGTTTGAAAGGGCACTTGAACGCAGCACAATCTTCCAACGATGTTAGTATTGTCATGACGTTATATCAAGTCTCCAAATTCAATGTGGATACTGAGCCAATTCTTGTTAATGCTGTTGCAACTCAAACTCATGTGATACGAAATTTGTCCGAATACAGCAGTAACGGGGAAAAGAAGTACCAGCTAACAGTGCCTATTGACGAAACACTACCACCGTCGTTTAAATATGGTATGGTCATGTGCCTATCCTATAAGCTCAAAATTAAAGTCTATATTCAAAAATCCCAACCAGCTGATAAATTAAACACCACAACATTATCAACAGAAATCGGAAAATACAGCGCAGACAACAGTTCATTAAATTCAAACAAGAAGAGGACGAACTTGAGAAAATATTTGGGGCTTTCATGGTCTACGGCTATTGCAGCATTTGAAACACCTATAGTAATTGCAACGTTAGACCGTGGCATTCGTGCAGGAGATGAGTTAAATGATTATTCAATATATCAGACAGACAAAAATTGCATGCCTCGTCCACGTTTTATAAAAAGTGAGGAATATCAAGATGTGTTACCCATCTATGACGACATCAGGCTGCCTTCATACAGCAAAGACGCGTGCCAACTCGGAGACTGCAGTTCTATTGCTCATCCCACTTTATCGACACCCAAATCTAAACCTTTAATTATATATACTCAAGGTGCCGTGTAAATGAGTTGAATGTTGCTCAACATGTATAAATAAACCCAACTTTTTTTTTTAAAAAAAAAAAAAAAATATAACAATGTCAGTAAAACTAAATATAAAATGAGCTGCTACTAGTATTGTTAATAGAATACACGAGAAGAAACCCAAAAAGAGTAATACGGTGTGTCCAATGTACAGACACATGGCACATAATGCTTAGTCCATATTTTATTTTACATTTTTGATAAGTCCAAAGTTTTCGAAAAAAAAAAATATAATGTATGAAACAGTTTGTCATTTTAATGTTGGGCATTTTTCTAGTAGATAAAGGAATGTCATGTGCAAGTAAAATTAAGTATGACACATAGAACAATGAATAGACAGCCGAATGTCAAATATATCAGTAATTTTCTATGTATGATCACTCATCCCCACCCCCCCCCCCCTCTTTTTTTTTTATAAGAGATAGTGAGAATCATGTGGTGTACTCACACTCACGCACTAAAATTATAAAGTTTCTCACATTTAGAAAATGACACTCACCTAATAACTTGTAAAGATCACTGTTGCTATGTATTGGTACGCCATGAGTTTTAAAAGAAATTATGTCATGGCATCGGGACGAGTGTGTGTGTGTGTCAGACAAAAATCGAATTTTCTATTATTATTATTTTTTGGTGACACTTGAATCCAAGAAAAAAAAAAAAACCTGCATTTATTTTCTCATTGGTGTGGGTTTTCTCTGACTTTCCCGCTTTTGCATTTTTTTGTTTTATCATCTGATTTAAAACAAACACGTCTAAAAAAATGATCCGCTAATGTGTTTGCGTGGTGCCATATATATATAAATAAAATTAAAAGGTGGAGAATGTCAAGAAACTGAGGCATATAGTTTTTCTCTTGCAGATGACGCTTAGTTGAATGATCGGTTTTATGATCTATCAGATTCAACCATGACTTTTTTCATTTTAGTCAGAACATGTTTATTATTTGGGGGGGTGGAGGGATGAACCCCACATTCTTGTATTATTTTATCATGATAATTTCAGAAGTTGTGTCAATATATTTGTCATACCACTGTAGTTGGGTTTTCACGAGCCTTTTTTTTTTCATAAAAATAGTAAACAAAGGAAGAAAAAAAAAAAAAAAAAACTTTGCCACACACACACACACTCCGTATCGGAAGCGCACGAACCATAAATTGTGTATGGAGCGGGCTAGTCTTTTTTAAATGAAACATACAAGCCTTTTTTGCGAAAATAAACTTTTTACCATGTACTCATGATGCTGTTCTCACACTGAACAATAAAATGGCAGCATGTATAGAATATGTAATAATGTCGTCTAATAATAATTATCATCATCATGCTATAATGAATATGATTGCGTAGCAACAAAAAAAAAATCTTTTATACAAATCAGGTTAATAATAACTTCTTGGCATTATTTTTGTTTAGTGATGACTTTTTTCGTGTGTGCATAAAAAGTAGGATAGAAAAAAGAATGAGTGGATTCGTGAGAAGGTCACTTTTGTGTAAGAGAAAACAAGGCTTTTTTTTTTTTATGTATACATATTCTTTGTTATAGATCAGAAAACTTAGAAAGTAATTCTCGTGAAATGAATTACACTTGTAATGGATTAGCAAATAATTTAAGTCTAATCATGACATGAAGTATTTGCTTCAACAACTGGCTTTTTACTAGTTGGATCATAATATTCTAGACTTTTTTTACGTTACACTAAATGCAAAAGAAAAAAAAAGAACGGAAAAACACAATGCAACGAAAACTCACATGTAGTCGATTTACGATAAATAAAAATAGAAATAAAGATGACACGACTTTGTCCGATTTAGTTAAATGGGATATTTTTACCGGTTTATAATTGATATAAAGTGACACATCAGCCTCTTTCCTTTTCCTTTTTTTTTTTTTTCTTTATACAAAAACATTTTTCTTTTTCTATAACAACCTTATTAAACAAACACCCTTTTTTTTAAAAACTTTTTTTTACCCATTTGATGACAATTAGCCCATCAAACGATCCCATTATAAGTATATCTATTGAACTTCTTCCAGAATTTGGTTTTACAGTACAAGATGAGCCAGTATACGGACCTGGATCTGTATTCCAAGGTAACAAAAATATATAAAAAAAAAAGAGAGATAAAAACCCTTTCACTTTATAAGCTAACATAACGCTACTTCAAGGTATCGTTCATCTCCGCATGAAAGAATCGCCTGTTGCAGCAGATCGTATAGTAATTGCATTTAAAGGAGCAGAAAATGCTACGGCTGTCCATGACGGAGTCAAATTCTTAGTTCCCTTGTTAAAAAACCCATTTTTCGGTATGCAACAAACTCTTTGGCAGCGTACACGAGAGGACTGTTTATTGACAGAAGACCACTATCAATTCCCTTTCACTATCCAAATGCCAATGATTCAGTTCCCGCCTTCCATGAGCCACGCTTTATATCAGTGCAAGTTTGATTTATCAGCAAAACTCATTCGTACCACGTTCACGTTACCTACCGTAGTCTCACACAGATCCATCAACTACATGCCTTTTATCGAAACTACGCTTTTGAAGCAACCGATTATCGAATTGGGTTCTGATAGCGGATTGGATGCATCCGTTAGACTTCATTCGTTAGCTTATGTACCAGGTGACAGCATTCCCATCACGATTGTGGCCTCGCGTCGTCACACGCACAGCAATAGTAGCAGCAAGCAAAAGGAAGACCAACCTGCTGAAGTGAACTCTATCCTACTTGAGCTCTGTGAAACCGTAGCTCTCGTTCAAAGCAGAGCTGTGACCATGACAAAAGTGGTTGCCTCTCACCTGTACAAACCCAATGCCAAGGGATACAAATATGCGCTTGTGAAGACAGCCAACGGTACTGGCGCTGAGTATCAAGTGAGCTTACCATTACCTGTCGATCTAACTCCTTCCATCAATTACTCGAAAATCGTCAAGGTCTCTTATACCCTTCGTGTCAAGATCAAGAGTAATCACAGTGGATTTTTGATTGGATCTATTTGGAACTCCAATGTCGATATGGAAATGCCATTAATGATTGGCACATTAGGATACGGTATTCGTGCTTCTCAAGATTTGCAGGTGTACTATGTAGATACAGAAGATTCACCAAGGTTTTTACGGTCCTTGGAATACGAGGAATCTTTGCCACTTTACGAATCGGCTAAATTACCTTCTTATCGTGACACGGATGCTCATACATTGATAGAAACCCCAAAATTTTACTGCTTAAACACTTAGATTCATCATTTTTTTTATTATATACAATTTACTTCCACCCAACAATCTTGTACATAGCATTTATATTTATTTTTTCATCTTTTTTATACCTATATTTTTTTAATGCAATATTATTTATACCACACAATAGCTTCTTTGTCTTTTTTTTTGGGTTTTGGTTTTGGTTTGTTTGCTTAGTTTTCATCACCAATCTTGGGAGCCAAATAATATCTAACATAACCCAAGTTGTCGAGCTTGTAATCAACCAAGAGAGGAACCTCTGCTGATAAGTTCAAGGTGACACGAGTTGAGAGAGGTGTGGCTTTTGTGAAGTTGACGAGGTATTTGATGGAGAAGGTCATGGAAACACTTTGTTGAAGTTCAATGATGGTGGCATCATCGTCTTTATCGACAGTGCTGTTGGCCTTCAAAGTGATGGAACCCTTACCAATCTCACCATCAGCAGAGAACTTGATGCCTTCCTTTGTACATTCAATATTAACTATTTTTAAAAAATATGTTTAGTCCTTTTTGTAACTCTCTCTTTACTAACCAAAAAAAAAACTTACCAGAATCACTAAGACCTTGTAAATCACGAACGATTTCTGCGAATCTGACAGATGACATAGAGACAACAGCTTCATAAGAAGTCTCGGGAATACCCAAATGCTCACTATCAATATCCATCAACTTGAGATCATATTCACTAATCTTTTCACTGTCTAATATAAAAAAAAAAAAAAAAAAAAAAAAAAAAAACGCGTGTAAGAAAATAATAAAAAAAAAGACACCAGAAAATAAATTATTTTACCTTTGCTCTCGAAAACCAAGCTCAATACATCACCGTTATCATCAGCCTTGATGGTCAAGATATCATCGTTACGAGCACACTTTAAAATCTTACTCAAACTAGCCAAGTTGATACCCAAGGGTAAGTTACGGTCACAACGGTAAGGATCGAAACCATCGGAACGCAAAAGCATAGCAACCAAGGCAACGTGAGAGTTATCCATGGCTTGAAGTGCAATACCGCTATCATTACATTCAAAATTACATTCTGTCACGAGTTCTCTGACAGCTTCAAGGAGAGACTTGAGAAGTTTGGCTTGTTGGAGACGGGCTTCAAGCATTTTTCTAGAATAAGAAGGATGTCATTAATATAAATCAACTACTTTTTTTTTGTTCATTTACTGAATCCTTACATAGGGTTTGTGAAAAAGGTAAGAAAAGAAAAAGAAAAAAAAAATCTTTTTATTTTTTTAAGCAACGCGTTAATAAAAAAAAAAAAAAAAGTTTGAACTCGCGGCAGGCGCGCCCAAGAAGAATGGTGGCGTCATCATAAGCCTCATAAACTTTGCTTTTATCCCTTCAGTACCTTAAAAAAAAAAACTCAGTAAAATCGTTCTTCTCATTGAAAAATATTTCTTCTTTAAGAACTGTTGTGTCGTTCTCCAAAGATCCATCTGTATAACTGCCACCTATATTTTTATACAGATAAAGTGCGTCCACTCTCAAATCGAATATTTTTTGAACTCAGTGGTACATCTTCTGAAAAACAAATTGGAACATTCACCCAATAAAAATGTAGCAAAATTTGGAGACACTTATCGAAATTAAATAGGAACACAATGTGAATTCAATTTGAACACTTTTTTGGACTTACTATGGAGCTTTTAATTAAATAGGAGCAGTTTTCAAAATGATTTTTAGACTGTTGAGTAATGTTGACAAGCTGAGATAAAGGGACATTATTACATGCTTCAGTCACAGTATTTTCTTCTAAAATTAGACGAGTTCAAAACTTTATTAGACACTTTCAATTTTAGTTTGGACGTTTTTTTTTTTTTCATTAAAGCCGTCAGTTCTCTACTTCTTGAACTTGCTTACTATTTTTGGGACAAAAGGTGCAGAAGTAGTAGAGAGCCAGTTCTCCAGCAGCTTCAGCAACTGCTGATAGCGAAGTAACGAAAGCGAATTCGAACACATTTACTTGAGTTGAGTTTTTGAATTCCATTTTTAATTTTTCAACAACTGCTTGTAAGGGAATCCATGCTTTGCTATCTTTTATAACTGTATCATAAAGAATCATAAATTTTGCCAATTAATCTTCTGTTAGAATATTTGTGTGGCTATAAATATGCACGAGCAAATGCAGCCAGCAATTGCGAAGACAGCATTGTTACTGAGGTTGAGTTTGATCCGTATCCTTTAAAACTTGGTAAGTCGCAAAGTGTAAAGATTGTGGCAGGTGAGCAATGTATGTCAGAGAAATGTTCAAACGAACGTCTCCAGCTGCTGAACGTACTTGCATGGTAAAAAGATGTTGTTACTTGACGAAGTTGGGACATTGATATCTTAGTGTGCAGCTGACTGGTGTCTAAAGCAACAGTTTTCTTAAATTTGGCCACGGCAGCAGATGCCACAAATAACTGGTTGTCGTTTGGGTGAAGTTTGGATATATACCCTGGACCAATCGCGACTTAAGGTTGGTCACTGTTTGCATGGAGAACAAAATTAAAATAAACCAAAAGTGATACTGTTAGAACTTGGATACCACTTTATTATGGACGAGAAAAATAAATTAATTAAAAAATGTATTCAAAATGTATTGATGGTCTATGAGAAAAAACTATGGATATTTATATATAGAACTGGGATAGTTCCAGGGAGAATATTAAGCGCCTTATTGGAGCATGATGTAATAATCTGATGATAGTAAATAATCAACATGTATTTAAATTTAGCCCTTCCATACTGAATAGATAAATATTAGTCAGAGAGATCAACAGTTATAACATCGAATGACAAGAGTCATATTTGTGCTCAGGATCAATTAATATTCCATAACCCAGGCCCATTCGATTGTATTGCTTTTTGCAGAATAAATATTTACTCGCCACAGGGTTGTGCCCTGTGTACAGACTTCAACGGTAGGATGAGAACAAGCGAGGTAATGTGTGATTCATGATTAACTTTTATATTTATTATCCATCCTTAATATGATGTGACAATTAACTTTATTATTATATCTATGATATCCCCAACAGTACATCCCTCACAGATTGCGGAGTAACCACACATACAATCTTAATTTCCGGCTACTAATGGATCATCTTATCAAACTGTATTAAGAATTATGAAAGAGAGGTATCATTTACTTGTCTTTTGCACCAAATAAAACTGTCAGAATTCCTAAATTTATTTTATGTTAAAGCCAGCTGCAATTGCCGGGCGGTTTGGATGTGGAGCTTTGTTCCTGACATTAATTGCTCTTTAAAGCGTTGTTTCAATATCCTGGGTTTCACCGTTTACTTTATAATGCAAAACCGTATCCTGTGGAAGACTTGAGACAACGGGACAGTCTTTTCAAAGTTTAGCTTTTAAAGAGGTCTTTGACAATAACCTTGTCAATAATCATTGCTGCTTGCCTTTGACATTTAAAACTAATTTCTGCGCATTTTGCCATGTTTTGGGTTTGAAAATTTTCAGGCTGGCTTTTGAACAAGTAGCACAAAATACGTAGTCAAACTGAACTTTGGCTCAAGAGCATTATAATAAATAAGCATACTGTTTGAGCATTTCAAATTGTCAGCCCTTTTTTGGCAGCATCTGGTGTAGGAATTTTTTGGCGGAAGTATCATCCAATGACTGCCCCGGATCTATTACTCTATTTGATGACGTCAAAATGTTTTTTATAAAGTTGTTTATTTTCCCACCTAACTACGCCCTTTTTCTTTTCTTTTCTTTATGCACAGTTTCGAGTAAAGCTGCTGTTAGGTGATTCTGGCATGTACGTCTTGCTCGTGGGTGTACCTGCTCTACCTCTACCTACCGTCTAGGCTCTAGGCAGGCGTGGCTATCTTCTGGTTTTTTACACGGTAATGCTTTTAAAAACTGTTGTTGTGTTAATGTCAACAGGCTAATTTTTTCTTTCTTTTTTTCATGTAGCTTGTACGAGGTAGTTTGTGTAGGTTTATGGAGTCGAATATTTGGCATGCTCTTGTACCGCGACAGAGATGCAGACGGTGTTTTCAACAAACATTCGCGTAAATACTAGACATTACAGAGCTGACATGGCGAGTGAGAGATCGAAAGGACACCGTGAAACCGCTAGTACGGACCTTCTTGTGAATCCTAGTTTATCCTCTCATAGTTGGGCGACCTTATCTACGAAAAGGTGTGACATACTTTTTTTGACCACTTTCCAACGATTGTGTCCGTTTTATAATTGTCAACTAAAGCATAAAAAACGGGGTGAGTGCAGACAGAGACTGACTTCCACGCAGTTGCACTTGGGCAATTTTCTTTTTACTGGAAATTGGCGAACAGGTCTCTAAACTTTTATCTTGTTTAAAATAAAGCTTTCTTTTTCTTTTTTTCTTTTTGTCTTCAATTGCCACACCTTTAAAAGACTACACTGTATTAATGTTGAATCGTTTTGTAAAATAGAGATTTGGGTTACGAAAGTATATGTGTGAGCAAATCGTTGCTTATTCTGATCGAGCTGAATCAGCTGGACCAACAGATTAATTAGCAGGTGGTAGTGCTTGACCCGTATCTATAAAAACTTGTTAATCTTAAAATAAACAATGAAAGGTTGGATAGAATATAACAGTACAATTTAATGCTTTAAAGGTTAGGATTACTGATAAAAACTAAAGTTAAATTAAAAGTTACCTGTGAATAAAGATGGTATGGCTTTCAATCACTAATCAGAAACAAGTCTAAGTCAAAATATACTAGCAGTGAACGTATTATATGTATATCTAGACATCTATTGATGTTGATAGCAAAAAATGAAAGCCAATATAATGAGAACTTTTTTTTTTATATACACTGAAAAGGGGATGTGTCTCATTTACTAAGGACGCAAGTAAAACATGCGAAATTAAACAAAGTTATTGAACTCTTTGTTTCAATAAATGCATTCAAAAGATGCATTTGTAAATTGTGAGATTTTTTCTCAGGGTATACCCTCTGTGTTTTGGCCAATTTTAGATGTTTGAAAAATCAAAAAAACCGTACTAGTAGTATGGTAAATATCAAACATTTGGCTATATTATATCACTCTTTGTGGATGATCTACGAGTCGTGTTATGAAAGCGCAAACCTCAAAGACGTTCCCTGTATCAAATAAATCCCCTGCCTAGGGTCTCGACCAACATCAATCAAGACTCGCCTAGCTGCTTATATGCAGTTTTGTCTTTAACAAAAAAAAAAAGCCTGGGAAGACACTCACATGATTTACCGTGCGAAGTACACTAGCGCCACGGTATTTCGGCAGGCTCCGAAACTAAACAAAAAAAAAAAAAAAAAAAGGGCTAGGATCACTATAATCCTCCGCTCAGACGGGGGAATCGATCGTGCATGCCACGATAATTTCTTAGGGCAGTGAGCACCGGCGAAACTAGCCAATAAGAAACAAGATTCACACGGATGTAATTGTTTTAAGATATTTTTATTATATTTTTTTTTATATGTGAGTTTTGTTTTAAAAAAAAGGGATGTGGGGGGGTAATAAATTTATTTGGCAACGTGTTGTTCAAGTTGACCAGCAGATTTGCTTCGTTGAGAGGTAGGATACTTGGGCTTTGAATTGTGAGAGAAACTAGCACCGTTATCACGGAGCCACATGTATTCAGGTTGCTTACGAGAAGGCCAATCATGGTCAGCAATGACGGTGCTTGAACGTCTACGGGCAAGAGCAATAGGAGATGTATCTTCACTATCAGAGGTCATGGAGCTTCGACGGTTGGATGCGTAGACTGCAGCAGCTCCAACTGCTCCTAATGAAAAAATAGTACCGGGACCAGGCATTGTATAATATGTTTCTTTTTCTTTTAAAAAAATGTAAGAGAGTTAAAAAAAGATTTAATTTATTCCTGCTGGTGGGGAGATTTCAAGTGTGTATTTATACAAAAAAAAAAAAAAAAAAAAAAAAAAAAAAAAAACGCCATCCACGTCATGTGTCTACTCATATTTATGCAAAACTTAATCAATGAAACATCTTAACTATTTTTGTAATTTGTATGAGAGTTTTTATATGTGCTGAAATTATGGAAGAGGGAGGGGATATGGTACAATGAAGAAAAAGGAATGAAAGAGATACCTAAAAGAGAGATAAAATGTCTATTTTTTGTGAGCATAAGCATCGGTTGGCATATCTATTTAAAAAAAAAATAGTTAGTTCATATATATTTGTTTGTTTAAAATTAGAGTTACAAACATACATTGCCATTGTTCAATGGAATCCAACAGCCAGGTATCATTCACCGCAATCTTATCAGTTTCCTTTAAGGGTGTATCGCTAATCACGACATTTGCCTCACTCACAGATTCTACAAGGGATGCACCCGATAAGCTAACCATTTGTTTAATTAAATCTAACCCGGTGCTGGAAGAGGCCACATAAATATGCGTTGTAGATGGTAACAATGGTATGCGTTTTCTATCAAGTGCATTACGTGGATACCAATCTATCAATTCGTACTCTAGTTCTGGTTGATATTCGTTCTTTAGTTCACTTTGAATTAGCCTAAAGATAGAAAAAAGAGTTAGATGATCTCGTTATCATCGTCTATTTGTAAAAATATTACCATTCAGGTTTTAACATCCAAGCGCCTCTTAATAATCCGAAAGTTGCCGTCTTTGTTCTTCTTTTGACACCAACTAAAAAAAAATAAAAAAATGTTAGTTAATGCAGATGGAATTGATCCAATAAACACATACTTATGACATGCGTCGTATTTTCCGTCACTCTAATAAATAAAAAAATAAAATAAAAAAAATTACTTATTTGCATGAAAAGAGACAATACCAATCAAAACATAGACTTACTCTGTTGCTAATTCATATTGACCGAGTCTTTTTATGGCATCTTCACATTGTTTACGAACGGAAGCGGACAAACTCGTGAGTACGATTGTTTTAGGTTGGTTGGTAATACTCATATCTTCTATCGATGTACTTGCTGTTTTGGACACACTTGGTCTGGCGACGATCATGTCGTCTGATGATGTGGTTGTTGTCCTAGACAGGTTACCTGTCAATTTCCTTCGTCTCTTTAGAGGTGATGCACCAGTAAAACAGGTGGTGATGGGCGTGGTACCAATTTTGATTGGTGGAGATTCTCTGGTCACAGCACTTCCAATTGAAAATCTAGCCTTAATTTGTTCCTTCTTTTCGGTACTTGGTGCATGAATTGGTGTTGAATTTTGTTTGTTGGCGCTATTATTGTGTTTGTTAGCAATAGATTCGACCGATACAGGTAATGACAGTCTAGGTGGATTTAATTTAATTTCTGCTGCTAATCCATCCAGCGGATCCTCGTCTTCGAAATCTGGCCTTGACGTCTTTCCAAGCCCTCTGGTTCTATCTCTGCTGTTAAAATCTCTCGCTTTCCAACTACATGTTGCAATTGTCTTTCTTCTACTCGAATCGCCATCCTCATTACCTGATCCTTCACTTGATGATGATGCTGTGTGTTATATCGTTAGTTTAAACCCCTTTTCTCTCTCTCTCACACATTCTCTCTCTTCTAATGTGCATATAAAACATACTTGTGGGTTGCATTAATTCGTTCATGGCAAGTGCTCTTACTTTGCCCGGTTCCATTGACTTGCGTCTTTTTTTTCCTGTTGTCACTGATAGACCTTGAGTCTGATCAATCATATATTTGTGTTCTGCTACCTTCTTTCCTTCTCGTTTGCAATTGGAAATCCATAACAAATTGATGATAAAGACGTTTTTGCTAATTGCTCTTCTTAACGTTGCTGGTGATCCATTCTTAAATACTAAATGCGTGACAGAATCTATATACACATATGAGAAATTGAAAAACAGGGTGAATGGGAGGGGGGGGGGGCTGATAGCTCATCCTGTCCCTATATTTGAAATCATCTTACCACTAAAGGTTCTTCGAGTCTATCACAATGAAGAGAAAGACAAGGATTAAAATTACAAAGAACATATATTTAGCTGTGTTTATTGTCATTCTTTACCTTGGCACCCATAGACTGTAAGGCTCGTTCAAAGTTTTGCGATACATCGTCACCATCTTCCGTTCTGGAAAAAAAAAACCCTGAATTAAAATAAACTGCTAAAAAAGAAAGATTTATGAACAAAAATGCTTTACCTCACGTCTAAACAAGCGACAACGCCATTTAATATTTTGTCACTCTGAATAGGCGTACTTGACTGAGATTCAGATAATGGAGGTGCTCTTTGTTTTGTCACAGGTGTTTTATGAGGTGTACGACGAACAGACATTGGCAAAGGATTATTTTGTTTAAGGAAATCACTAATGCCTGACTGTTGCTGGTGTGTTTGAGGTCTGGGTCTGCTATTTCTAGCATTTCGTAAGGCTGTTAAACGAGAGGTTGAGGGTGGTGGTAAGACCATTACGAATAAAAAAAAAATGAAGACACTACGTGTAAAAAAAAAAAAAGAGGACAAGTAAACTTTCCCAGAAGGTTTTTTAAGGGTAAAAAAAAAAAAAAAGCAAGGTCACACGTTATCCGTATGTATTTTTTTTTTAAGGGCAATTATTATATATAGAGTGAGGAAATGTGGGGTGATTCCCCCTAAATCGATAAACACACAGACCAAGTCTAATGGGGATTATTTGTTACAAATGGTTATATTTTTTTTTATTAAGTAAAATGAAATGAAAAAAAAATAAAACAATTTAGAGCTTCTCTTGGATAAGACCATCCTTGAAGAAAGTGAAGTAAGGAGTGACACCATCTTCACGGTAGTTCAACAAAGCGACCATACCATCGGGATCCATGGATTCTCCAATATAGAATTCGTAGTCCTTGAAGTTACCCAAGATCTTCTTGATAAGAGTGGTGGCATTCTTTTCAAAGATGGGAACACGCTCGGGGGACTTCTCGTTCAACTTAGCCTTAAGAGCCTTCATGTAACCCTTGATGTAGGTCATGTAAGACTTCTTATCGAAGCTGGTGGCGGTGAGACGGAAAGAGTAAACAACGTTGTTAACAGTTTGGGCAGTATCCTCAGCAGCCTCTTCGTCACCACCTTCAGCAGAAGGGTTAGCTCCGATATCAACTTCACCATCGGCAACATTGATCATGGCACAATCGACTTCATAGGCAACATCATCAATTTCAGTGATGGGCTATTATTATAAAAAATCACAATACTGCATTAGCCATCATCATCTTTTCTGTAAAATAAAAAAATCTATAAAAAAAAACCTACGTAAGCGTCAGAGAATAACTCATCGCCTAAAATCAAAAAGTCAGTAAATCATGATTCTGCTGATGGATGGATGCATTTGAGTATTTACCGGCAAGAATATCACGGAACAAAAGCATATTTAGTGATGGATGGAAGAATAAAACCAAAGATGAAACAGGCCTAGAAAGAAACCGTGCAATTCATATATATACCCACATCCGTTTCGGTTGAAACACCGCCATTGTCTCTCTCTCTCTCTCTTTCTCTCTCGCTTTCTTGCCTGATTTGGATCTTTTCTTTTTTTTTTTTTTTTTTTTTTTTTTTCTTTGCCACACCTTGAATGTTGTATATAAATATTATATCTGATTATAGGAACTATCCATGTAAACATTTAATGACGGGTTTTGAATACTGTTTAGTCCCATACTAGACCGTTTAATGCAGATGATGTAGAGCCCTTTTTTAAAAAAAAGGAAAAGTCCGGCTGGAAGAAGAGTTGTTTCTAGATAAACTCTTTTGATTTATTGGGTTTAAGATGGAAGACGAATAATAGCTATCAACCTAGCAACCAATCGCATTTTCCTCTTCTTTTGATCAAAAATAAAGGGGAGGGGAGGGGAAGCAAAAGATATCCCCTCTTACCCATAAGAAGCTCCCTTGACTTTCTTCATAGTATGATTGAGTATGTACAAACCTGTAGCCACTGTAAGACCAAGGCTTGGGTAACAATGAGACAGGGAGTATGAGGCACCGCTTAGTTGCAGCATAAAGATTCATTACAAAAGTAAAGTTAGAATATCTTTATCCCTTGGTGTACCTAATTGTAATATAAGATAGCCCTTATTAAATCTCAATTAATCCATCCTATTTCATCAAGAAAGCGCACTACAGAAAAAAAAAAAAGCTCGGTTTTAAACACAAGCCGGATTAAGATAATCGAGTTATTTTTAATTTACAGCAAGCATCAGCCCAATTATTTTAGTATTTTATTTAGCCCTTTTTTTTTTTTTTTTTTTTTTTTTAGCAGAACACACTTTTCTTTTCCCTTTATCTTTACAAAAATATGACCAAAATATTGGCTTGTCTGTTGGCACTTTGTGGCCTGAGTCAGGCCTTATATTTACCTGGTGTTGCACCCAATGACTATGATTTGGGCAATGACGTGCCTTTATTCGTAAACTCACTGACACCAATGTCCAACTTACAAAAGTCCGTTCTATCCTATGATTACTATGACGAACGCTTTCACTTTTGTACACCTGACGGTGGGCCCAAGAAACAAGCAGAGAGCTTAGGTTCAGTGCTATTCGGTGATCGCATCTTTACATCTAAATTCCAGGTATTTTGTCTCTCATATATGCATAAAAAAACTTTCCCCACTAAGAATATAAATCTTACACACAATGATAGCTTTCGTTGGGAAATAAAGAAACCGATAAAGTGTTATGTACATCTACACCTATTCCAAAGGTTGATGTTGATTTCATCAATGAATGTATAAAGAATGAATATGCCATCAATTGGGTGGTGGATGGTCTTCCCGCTGCTCATCTCAGCAAAGATGAGCGTACCAATGAAGAATATTATAGCATCGGGTTCGCTCTTGGCTCGCATGATAACAACAGACCTGCGCTAAACAACCATTACGACATTACTATTGACTACCATCACCGCGAAGATGACAAATATCGCGTTGTAGGTGTACTTGTCACTCCTTCCAGTAGAGTTCAAAAATTGAAGGAAGGTCGTCTTGATATCGTTGGAGGTCCTTTGGTGATTTCTAATAACGAGGAAGTTGTTTATACCTATAGCGTAAACTGGAATGTAAGTAAAAGCATTTTTATTTGTGGGGGGAGGGGCATATGAAAACAACGGTGATATTAAAAAAAACAAAAATAGTTATCAAATAAACCTTGGGCAACACGATGGGATAATTACTTGAATGTATTGGATCCTTCTATTCATTGGTTTTCTCTGGTCAATTCAATTGTGATTGTTCTCTTTTTAACAGGTATGGTTGCTATGATTTTAATCCGTGGTCTTCACAAGGATATCTCTCGATATAATGCCGTTGATGCACAGGTAAGATTGCTAATTTTTTTAAAAGAAAAACAAAGGGGGAAGTAATAATTATGAAATCTGTAGGAGGATGTACAAGAGGATTATGGATGGAAGTTAGTTCATGGGGATGTATTCCGTCCCCCTCAACGTCCTATGCTTCTTTCAGTCTTGGTAGGTTCTGGTGCACAAATTGTGGCTATGACTGGATTGACACTTGTGTTTGCGGCACTTGGTTTCTTATCGCCTTCTAACCGGGGTGCTTTGGGAACTGTCATGATCATCTTTTTTATGGTCTTTAGTTGTATTTCTGGTTATGTTTCTGCACGTATCTACAAGATGAATGGCGGTGAAAATTGGAAGATGAATATTGGTTTGACCGCTACACTTGTACCTGGAGCCATCATGAGTTTCCTTTTTGCCATGAATTTCTTCTTAATTCATTCACACTCATCTGGTGCTGTTCCGTTTGGAACGATGTTTACTTTGTTGGGCCTCTGGCTTCTCATTTCTTTCCCACTCAGTGTAGCCGGTTCTTACTTGGGTTTCCGTAAACCTCGTATTGAACATCCTGTTCGCACAAACCAGATTCCCCGACAAATCCCTGATCAACCTACCTATCTGCGTAGTTTGCCTTCCATCATGATGGGTGGTATTTTACCCTTTGGTGCCATCTTTATCGAATTGTATTTTATCATGAATTCCATTTGGTTCCATCGTGTTTATTACGGTATCGGTTTTATGTTCCTGGTCTTTATTGTTCTTATTTTGACGTGTTCTCAAGTGACGATTTTGATGTGTTATTTCCATTTATGCAGCGAGGATTATCATTGGTCATGGCGCGCTTTCTTGACATCAGGTGCAGCAGGACTCTACGTGTTTATGTATTCCATTTTATACTATTTCACCAAATTGGACATCTCTACATTTACAAGTACTGTGCTTTATATCGGTTATTCAGCCGTCATCAGTATTCTTTTGACCGTTTTTACGGGCGCGGTTGGCTATCTGTCTTGCCTGGTCTTTTTACAAAAGATCTTTGCTAGTATTAAAGTAGATTAGACACTCTTCATTTATCCCCCCCCCCCTTTCTTTTTCTTTTTTTTTTCTTTTTTTTTCTAATAAAATTAATTATACTTAAATAGTGGTCCTTTTAAGCGTGTGTTTGGGTAGTTGTTACCTTTGGGAAAACGTATTCTTTGCTTAATGAAAATCTCATCCTCTGGTATGTAAACACTCGTCTTACAACGACTGTTAGGAGAGGCCTTTTTAAACTCATATTAAATAATTCCAACAAAATGCCAGGTAAAAATCTAGACTTTATTACTCTGCAGACATGACACTGTCGTTGCCCAAGGTAATGTATTTAACATTATTTAATCTCTTAATGTCCTGAGCTTTGGAGATGGCCGGCACACCTTCCGATCCAATAAACATGGGTGCAGTGGTAATAATCAGCCGATCAAATAAATTAGACGAGAGACAAGACTGAATGATTTTCGAACCTCCCTCAATCATTAAAGATTCGATCCCTCGATGCTTTAATTCTTCCAATACTAAAGTTAATGGCAAATGGTCTTTTTTTTTTTTTAAAAAAAAAACCGTGTTAGTTCTATAGGTACGCTTGTTTTTTTTTCCCTCTTGGAAACTGTTTCAATATACCATCATGAGTTGATATTTCGATTATCTTGACACCCAAACCCTCCAATAACTTTTTCTTCTCGGGGTTTTCATTACAGCCTCTGCTAGAGACCATGAGCAGGACCTGTTTACCGATATTGTTTTGATAGTTTTTGATGAGTTTACAGGTTGACGATAGTTTCAAGTAAGGATCAATAATGATGGGTTGTGGTTGCGTGATAGGAATGGTAGAAGAAACATATCTGGCGTTCAATTGAGGATCATCTACAAGAGCAGTACCCACACCAACCATAATACCATCATGAAGTGTGCGTAACCGATGTGTCATTGCCAGACTCTCTTTGCCACTCAATAGAATTTGTTGGCCTGGTTTAGAGATCTTTCCATCTAAACTTTGTGCAAATGTAAGTGTTACAAATGGTTTGTGGTTGTATTGAGGTAAATCTTGATAGAGTGGACCCAGAAACGTCTCTACTTGATCGTATATCCCTTGATCCATCACAGCACAAAAAGAAGGGATTATCTCCCAACACCCCGCGCCCAGCCTATTTTAAAATCTAATTGATGCTCCGCTATTTTTAATGCAATCTTCAAAGTACGTCACGCGAGATTACTAACAAAAAAAAAACGACACGCATTGATGGTGTGTTAAAAAGCGACGACATATTTATTAATGAAAATTGATTATGAAAGAGGGGGGAAGAGTATATTCAAGCGGCAACATTTGGCTTATTGACTCTTACAGTAGGAGCTTTTCTTGCTTTCTTGACGGGTTCGACGTTCTCAGCTGCAACGCGTTTTATGGCCTTCTTGACTGGAGCAGCTTTCTTGACTGGAGTTACTTTTTTAAGGCTCTTCTCATCTGTTACTTTCTTGACAGTAGTAGTTTTCTTTGTAGATGCAGTGGAGGTCTTTTTTTCTGGTTTGACCAACTTGATTGTACCAGAAATGCCTTGATTTGATTTTTTTTTTTTTTTAATTAAGGGCTTCCTGATATTTATAATATATATATATATACATGATTTTACCTTTGGGAATGGCAAATACGCCTTTTTCTACGCCGCGTCGTATGGCTGCAGAGATTTGCGCATCAAAGTGGGTACCCCCAGTCAATCCATAGTTTGCAAGAATGTACTTTTTGATGGCTGGACGAGAGCTACCATTACGTTCCTTTAATGAAGATATGGCACCTATTTTTTTTTTTATAGAATGTTATCAAACCATGAGTGAACATTTTGTGTTTTGGTTTTTTTTTTTTTTTTTTTTTTTTTTTAATTTACCGCTTATCATTTGTTGATACTAAATGTACAGATACAAATATACGATGAATATGAAGATCAATGATAAGAATAATGAAGGTAACTTACAGTAGCATGATTCTTCTTGGGAGTTACTTTTTTTTCAGCCATTTATTATTTAGATAGTTTATTTTTTTAAACAAGAGAGAGAGAGAAAAGGAAAGAAAATGAGAGAGATAGAAAATAATAAGGACCACCATCACTTTATTTTTTCAGGTAATTTTTTTGAGGAAAAACTACCCAATCAAAACAACATGTAAAAAATAATAGTTAAATTAATGTATCGACAGAATCGTTGAAGCAGAATTCGTGTTTCTTCTTCTTCGGTCTTCATTGAGATATTCTTGATACGAAAGCCTTGTGGATGAACTCCAACCTTCAAAAGGCTCTACTTGAACCCTATCTAAATTAGGCATACGTCTAGACTCCAAATCCAGCGCAATGTTCGATCCAGAAGCTATTTTATCAATCCATAGACTTACAGACGCATTGGATTGTGCTTTTATCAGAAGCTGTGGGCCATCCAGAGTAATAATTCGGAATACATGATCCTTCTTGGTATAATCCCAAGCTACTTCGGCCTTTATATTGGCCAAGGAGAGATTATATAATAAACTGTATTTCAACGGCTCATAATAGGATGCTAATGTGGCAAAATAAGGGTATCCACCGGCTGATGGTGTATTCGCTGGTTTGACTTGATATACCTTTAGCATTGTCCCTAATAACTCCAAGTAGACATCTTTCCATTTCCTACGACGAGGTTTGTTTCCTGGTGTTTCATATTCTACCTTTGCTTCTACCTTGCCCATTTTTTGAACAGTACATGTATACTTTGGTAGCTTTTCCTTGACATCATTTACAGATCGAACACAGCCTTCGGTATAGGAATGACGTCTGGGTTTGTCATCAATCGAATCACGATAACTAGGCGGTGATGATGATGAGGGTAAGGAATGACGATGGACTCTTTCGTCATGGTTAGGCTTTTTAATAATTGAATTGGGCCATGCTTGTTCGCCTCCTTCTTCTTCTTCTTCACGGTATCGTAGTGAGTAACCGTAATCGCTACTACTACTACTGATACTGTCACTATCATCAATTAAAGAAGGAGTAGTGATAGACAAGTGAAGACCATCTGACGTAGGTGTTAAAGGTACAATGGGATTCTCTTGTCCAGCTTTAGGATGGATATTTGACGAATATGAGGTGCTGCGCATGGATCTTGCACATACAGAGAGTTTTCGACGATCTTTTTCTTTACAAATACCAAACTGCATAAAATCCTTGTCTTCTGTCATTTGCATAAAACGATCCAAGTCGACTCCTTCCAGATGTGGACTGTATCGTATTAATTTGAGTTGGTCCAGAATTTCATCTTTTTATTTTAAACTGCGTTAAAAGTCATCTAGAGATGGCTATATAAAAAATTAATGAATAGCTTACTAGTTGTAGAGATAGTTCCGTAATTTGTATCTTGGACGAAAATTATAGGGTGATTTTTTTGTGAGCGAAACATTTTTATAAAGAAGAAGAGAAAAAGAGATGCTGATTTTATTTTTACTGCTTAGCTTATATGCGACTAAGCACGCTGGAGATTTTTTTATAAGGGGTTTATGATTGGACAAAATAAGATTTTTTTTTTTTTTTTCTACCACAGAATTCCGTGAAAAACAGTTTTCTTTCCAGAAGGCATGAAATAATATTGCTTTGTGAAACTCTTCTCAGATACCAACATCATAATTGGTTTATTCCTATTCCATGCATTCTTTTTTTGTCTGTGAAGTTTAAAGCCTATAAGCATTTTTTTTTTTCTGCTGGGATGGTGACTAGAGGGTTATTTTAAATTTCCATTACAAAAGGCGTCAGTTGATGGTCAAAAATCTACTAAACGCATAAATCCAAACCAGTTCTTAATAATATTCATTCTTAAAATGCGCCAAAAAGAAGGTGTATGCCATAACATACTTTCTTGTTAACAAAATGCCCAGTGTACCTCCAATTGGTTTTTGAACAAGAGTGTTCCACCCCATGTCATATGATTTCCTAAAAAGGATCGTAGACTCATATAGATATTCCAACAAAGGTCACTACTTCCGGGTGAGCTTATTTAAATGCCTCATCGGCTCCATTGCCCGTTTTTTTTTTCTTTGGTGGTGTAATATTTTAGAGTAAGATAATGAGATCAGCGATAGATTACCACGTAGTCGGTTTTTGAAGTATTAAAAAAATACCAAAGTCTTGGATAAAACAAACTACATGTATCCTTTACACGCAATTTAAGTAACTTTTGTAAGAAAGTCAGTTTTAAAATGATGGCAATCAGCATAACAATTGTTCATCCTTATTGTCCACTATATAAGTGGGGGGGTTAACATATTCAAAAATATCCGTCCAATAGAGTTTGTACTGACAAATGATCCACAGATACCCTCATCTCATTGATATATTACGCTTCTTCTTCCTGCATGCTTTTGTCTCACATTGTTATACTCCATCACAAACGCCACTTAGCTTTAACCCATCCTTGAGTTGCCGCGATATATGCAACCGCCAGACCAAAATTTCCCGGATAAAAAAACATACGGATTAGGCTCACTTGTATGATTATCTTCATCACCCTGCTTCGTTCGTTGTAATAATGGGACTTTAGCGACTGAAAATACGGGTGGATCGGTGGCCACACAACCGCATAAATGACAGATAACACCAGTATCCCCATAAAGAGCCGCACTTGACACATGAATGCATAATATTTCGCTTGATTAGAAAAAACTGATTAAGCCGTTGTTTGACTATAATTAATCTTGCAGTTGATGACTTGGTGTTTTTTTCAAAAGCAAGGCATTCAAATAGGCCTACAAACATGTTAGACACGATTCGGGTATGTCTCTTTATTATTCCTGCTAAACCTGTGCAATTATGTTAGCTAAGACCTGATGCATAAGATGCCCCCCTATTAATAATTCAATAATGTCTACCCTTTCTTTTTTCAGCATTGGTGGTTTATTCAAAAGATGAAAGGTAACGTAATCGACAAAGGTTATTCTTTTGGTTTTACCTATAGTTGCGTCGGACTAGACCGGACCGGACCCAGAAAAGAGCGTATTCCTACACAATTTTTTTCTGATAAAGAAGGCGAGTGTATCTCTCTTTTACTTTTATAACTCAAATCAAACAAATATGAGCAACTTTTCTTTCCGTGGTATTCTTGAAGGTAATAGGAAAAGATATGGACTGGATGTTTAGGGCAGGCTTTTATTAACGCAGTGTAATTTTTTTTTTTTTTTTCTTCAGGACATACTGGCTGGGGTAAAATATAATAGCAAACAAAAGACATAATGGACCTGAATGTTGACATTTTTATATGATTATAAAAAAAAAAAAAAGTTACTGCCATCGTTACTTCTTCCGAAGTTCCTGACATGGTCATTTCTGCCTCTCGTGGTATGTTGTTTAAAGTTTAATTGGGTTGACAGCATGACTAACTCTTGTGACAATAGATAAGTCTATCATTGTTTGGAATATTACAAGGTTTGGGGATAGAGCACAAAAATATATGTATAGATGATACTAATCATGTTTTGACAGGTAAACCATTTATTATAAAAATTTAGATATTTCTTTTCTTGTTGGTTTGATGTTTGAGCTTTTGTGGGGGAACGATAAAAGGGGGGGAATCATTGGCTTTATATCCTTTTTTTTTTTTTGTAAAAAAAAAGAAAGGGGGAGAGAATACATCTACAATAGTTAAAGTGAATGTCGAATTTTATTTGCAAAAATGAAATTATACTCACGATTGCCCGACTAAAATAGGGATGAAATTAACTACGGTGTTCCTCGTAAAAGCTTAATTGGTCACAACCATATTGTTTCTGATTTGGCAGTTTCGTCCGATGGACAATTTGCTTTATCCGCTTCATGGGATCATACTTTACGTCTTTGGGATTTATCAACTGGTAAGACTACACGTCGTTTCGTGGGTCATACAAAGGATGTTTTGTCCGTTGCTTTTTCTGCTGACAACCGTCAAATTGTTTCTGGTTCGCGTGATAAGACCATCAAGTTATGGAACACACTTGGTGAATGTAAATACGATATCACTCAGGATAACCATTCCGATTGGGTTTCATGTGTTCGTTTCTCTCCTAATCCTGCTGATCCTTTGATCGTTTCTGCTGGCTGGGATAAACTTGTCAAGGTTTGGGATTTAGCAAAGATGAAGTTACGCACTAATTTCATTGGTCACAATGGTTATGTGAATACCGTCACCATTTCTCCTGATGGCTCTCTTTGTGCTTCTGCTGGTAAGGACGGTCAAGTCATGTTATGGGATTTGAACGAAGCCAAGCATCTTTACTCTCTTGATGCTGGTAAGGAAGTACATGCCTTAACTTTCTCTCCTAATCGCTACTGGCTTTGTGCTGCTGTCGGTTCTTCCGTCAAAATTTGGGATCTTGAAAACAAAACTCTTTTGGATGTTCTTACACCTGAATTCGTCAAGCTCTCTCAAAAGCAAGTCGATCCTGACTGTCTTTCTCTTGCTTGGTCTGCTGATGGTACCACTCTTTACTCTGGCCATTCTGATCATCTTATCCGTATCTGGCAAATTGTTCGTACTTTGTAATAAATCTATAATTCATTGGGAATCTTCATCTAAGAATTTATTTCATCACTTTGGAAGCAATATTACGACTTATGGGGATAAAGGGATAAAAAGTGAAGGCTAGATATTGGTCTTCCATTTTTATTATTGTGGATCTTGTGTATGTTTTTAAATGGGGGGGTTCTGTCAAAGAAGACACCTGGATAAGGAAATCATGAGGACGAGAAAGAAAAACATGGAAGCATTTTTATTATTTATTGTCATTTGATGGAATAGGCATAGGGAATGGTATATGATGTTAGACATGTTGCCATATTCATGGGTAATGCATGTGTGCAATGTAAGCTGTTGTAATATAAGTTGATGATAGCCACGTTGTATTTAAGCCGGTAGAGAAGAACCTACTATTTTAAAATGACTTTGCGAAGGTATTACACTGGACCATGGTTGAATATATAATGAAAAACAATCAATAACTGGTAGGAGCATTGAACAAAAAGACCATCTATCGCCAAAGTATACACCTGTGTTTAGCACCCGTGCTGACATATGGTCCGTGCACGTTTTGCTGTGTGCGAATGTTTAGCATTTGTCAAGGACGATTAAAAATTACTTTTTAGATGTTTTGGCTTACCTTTTTTTTTTTTTTTTTTGGAAGAATAAGACAGGCGCGTATAATGAACCTTTTTCTATATTTCTCTTAGTTGCTTTTGTAATCAATTTTAGGAATCGAATAAACCATACCAGATCTGTAGTTGGTCTGTCTAGAGGTCGAAAAAAAAAAACGTGTATATAATAGTGTTCGAACTTTTCGAGCTTGCACCGATCTTGCGCCAGTTCGAACGAAGCTCGAACCGAGTTTTTGTACTCGAGCTTGCGCCACTTTTTTTTGGATTCGAGCGAGCTTCGATCGATGCTCGTTCGGCTAAAATGTCGATAGTAGTCACTTTAAAGTTAAGGTCCTTGAAAGACTACAGATGCCATTTCCCCTTGATTTTAATCTTTTCTTCCCTTTACCATTTTTTTTTTTATTTATGCTCTAATAATTCCAATTAAAATGCTTTGGACTTTTATTTAATTGTACAACCAACAAACACATTTACCATAGAAAATGAAAAAGTGTTGCACACTATACCCAACTAAGCCAATTTTTTACAGCAACCATAGTAACATGACGTAGCAGAATTAATTTAAACTTTCATGTTCAAAAATCCAAATGTATTATAATTATAGATGCAGTAATAGTTTGATTTAATTATCCGAATTTGGTGTTAAGGCTGGTGAAAAAAAAAGTTTTTTTTTTTTTCTTTTTCCAACTTCTATTTCAAAATAACAATTTTATTATCATAATTTTCTGTAATTAACATCACTTTGACGTGCACTTTGTGTAATAAAAAGGGCGAGCGAGTTCGAGCTATCGTATTCGCAACCGAGCCGAGCTTAAAAAACTTCGAGCGAGCTCGAGCTGCAAAAAAACGCATCCGAGCGAGCTTCGACTGGAACACTATCGAAGCTCGCTCGAGAGTCTCGATCTTCATTCCGAACACTAGCTCAGAGCTTCTTGGTTTGGTGCAAAGAAGGTCTGTTGTGACAACTCTGACAATGCTGCAGCGTCAAATCAAGAAAAGCTTGGAATTCGTAAGCGTTCACTTTGGTTTCTTATTTTTATGCAAAATAATTAGAAGGTTGGTTGCTTTTGATAAGGGACATGCGCTTAAATTAGCGTCGAAATAAAAAATAGTCCCAAAGTATGTAAAGCTTTCTAAGACTCAAGTATTTATTGAAATGTCATTTTTTTTTCATCAACTCAACTTCCCTATTCAGTTTCTTCTGATATCAATGCCTTTTTTTGTCATCTAGCTTAATAGTTTTATTGTTACTACTTTTACACTTCGCTAATGAACGTTTCTAAATTATACAGTAACTAGTTTTATTCATCCATAGAATGAAGCAGCTTTTCCTTTTTTTTTTTTTCGAAGAATAAGAAAGACAATTGCGAGCATGCATGTAAGTTTTGCTCCATTCCACGCTCATCAAAAAATTAGTATTGCAACCTCACTTACTCATTACTCAATAAGATGCTGCTTTACTCAAAATTGTTGCCTTTTTTTTTTTTACCCCCATGGCACTTGGGTTTTATTTAAAGAACTTTTAGTATTTCAAGCATGTAGAATTGTTTGATTCGCCTCGATCCAAGTGAGCTTTATTTTATTGTATACTGCTTAGTCACGTATCTTATCATATTTTTAATCAAAGCATTTAATGAAAGTACTTTATATAAGCATTATGTTCTTTCCGACCTTGTTAATAAAAAAATAACTTCTATTTAACATATATATTACCATCAGCAGGTCAGTTTCATCGTTTTAAGGTAAGCATTGATACCTAGTTAGGTTTTGAAGTGTTGTCCGATAGAATGATGTCGCACGTATTTTTAATCGCTACATATCTCTGCCTCCGCAATAATTAGCAGCAGAAGGGACATATTTAACCTGAAAGCAATTGAATGTATAATAAAAAATTCACATCACAATAAAGTACTTGTATTAAATGCAATTATATGTATAAGAAAAAAAAAAAAAGAGAGCGCACCATAAAATTGGTAACAATTTAATAATTATCAGTTGTTTTGCGACAAATATACAGGGAAAAAACAATAAAAATTGGTTGTTTAACAACTCTTGTACGTTTAACGATGAAAGTCGGTTAACTAACTGACAATAAACCTGTACTTTTTGCAACAAAAGTTGGCAATTGCATACAACACTTGTACGGTTTACGAACAAACAAGTCAATTTTGACAAGTCTGTACGCAAACTATTGATGCTAGCTATTTTTCAAACAAGTATTGGCTGTAGAATTTGTACATTTTGTCACGAAATTTAGGCACACATATAAATTTTTAATCGTCCAGACTAAGGTCTTTTTTTTTGTTGTTGTCAAAGGCTCCATTTTTCCTAATAGAATAATTAAGAAGTCCATTTTTTTTTTACAACAACGAAAAAAGACCTTAGTTTGAACGTTTAAAAATTTATTTGTGTGCCTGAGAAGTACTTAAACGAAACATTACCTAATTTTCCGCCATAGTGTAAGAGCTCACATCAAACAAGTTTTACACTCATGTGTTTTAAGTAAACAAAAAATATTATATATTTGTCGATTTCGTACACATAAATGCAGTATCACTTGAAGTATGGATGATGTAGTAGCATAGCACTTCAATTGTCCTTGTTGTTCTATCAAACAAGATAGACAGTTTATGAAATGAAGAAAAAGGTAGTTGTGAGATTGGGAAAATTGAATATCGTTTTATTATTGAATTAGAGGATGTTTTATATAGGAATTGACAAAGTCCTTTCGGTACTTGTCAATTAATAGAACAGGCTGAAAGAATGATTTATAATGTGAACATATTGCAGTAAGCATGTGTGGACCATGCGTGCAATGTAAGCTGTGGTATTATTTGAAAGTTGTTTTTTATCATTTTTTAATGCAGATGTTGCGTGTACGCGAGGTGACACAAAATAGCTTTTTCGAGTTTTATCGCTAAAGTAACTCACAAAATAATGCTTGTATACACTACGGGATATTTGTGTATAAAACACTTGTCCTTGTCGGCCTTTTGTTTTTTTTTAAAAAAAATCGAAACAAAACAAAAAAAAGAAAAATGTGAACGCACTGCAAAACTGATCCTTTTACTTCGCACTTGCTTTTTTTATCAATCGCATATTTAAACATACCAACTGTGTTACAGTGGTTCAATATTTGAAGTGAAAAAAAAAAGCAGGTTGTATAACTAATTTATTTTTATTGATAATTTTAGCCCCTTTACTGACACATGGCAGTTACAAAAATTAATACCTTTTGCCAAAGTGTAAAAATGCTGGTAATGTGGATTGTGCCGGATTTATTCTCAGGGACTTTATCTTCATTACTGTTAGTCATGAAAAGGACGTATATGCCTAAAAAAGTATTGATAATAGTAAAATTCATACAACAAGATACTATATGTATTGAGTATGCTAAAAAAAAGCTACATTGTGCAGAAAGTTAGTGATAAACGTAAATAACAAACATATAGGGAAGTAAGTAGTAGACAAAACAGATTTTGTTTGCCTGAGGCTATTCAAATTTTAAAAGTCATGCCAAACCACCCGACAGGGCAAGCTGCATTCCACTCAAAGGGGACCAAAACTGGAAGAAAACCCAGTCGCGCAAGAAGCGACTCTCAAAAGAGTAAAAAAATCAGGGGGCCGGGAAAAGGCTGGATTGCAATGAAAAGAAGGGCAGTAAGGAATAAAAAAAAATCTGAGGGGGGTGGGGGGGGGCAGAAAAAGGCTGGGTTGCAATTACAAGAAGGGCAGTAAAGAGTAAAAGATCTGAGTACAATCTTCAAGCGTTAAAAGGCTGGGTTGCGTAACTCATTTCTCCTAAATAAGCAAGGCTTTACTCGTTGAACAAATTTCTTGAGCTTGTTACCAATTTTATAAGCACTTACTATTTTTTATATGCATATACAAATGCGTTATTGGTATATAATGCTTTCGGTTAGATCACCAATAGCTTTTTTAGCATGTACTCAGACACTCTTTTCATGTCTAGCTGTATGAAGGTAAAATGACCATTTCTCCCTTTAAAATAAGTTCATCATTTACATCAGACTGTCCAACACAGACCCGAAATACTAAAAAGAAAAAATAAGGCACAATGATAGACGCAGGTACAGTGTCGTGATTGAGGCTATTATTACTTAATATATGACTCGATCTACACTTCTTAAATCTTCCATTTGATAATCCTAAATATATCTCTTATCGATACTTTACATTAAATACTGATCATTTGCTTTATGTACAGGCTGGATCTCATATCATCCTTCATACAAGTATAAGGCATACTCATTTAAAAATTAACATTAATATGAAAATATGTGAAGGTTACATTAGCTACAATGAGGTGCCACAGCTACCTTTATTAAGAACTACAATTTCCCCTGAATAGTGTGCTACAAGATATACACA